CTTTTTATATGTCGTCTGTTTCTCTTCGACTCTTTGTACATCCGTAACAAATACATTAATTAACTTTTTACTCTGTGTAATAAACCAAAAATATCGGTGGCGATTGCAAAATCTATAACCTCCGTCTCTGCCGGCGTAGAAACTGCTTCAACATAGTTTTAGATTCAGCAGCTTCCGAATCGCCGTTTCTGGTTGACGGCGTCGCCAAACCTTACATCTTTCCATACATCCTTTCGATTGTTGTCTGTTCTCGGCTTTCTGAACCCTAACTGCCAAAAACATTATACCGATTTGATCTCGTAATGGCAGGTAATCCCATTTATTAATGCTGATTTTTACCCATATTTATCCTCCATGGTCAGATTTAGTTCACCCGCATCCTATATATTGCATCCCAGAATTTATAAATCTTAATTTTTTTTTTTTATCTTCGTCCGTCATCGTTCACTTGATTTTATCGTCATATGTAATCCATCATCTCCTAATTAATACATACATGGGCCACATCTATATAGTTTTTTCATATATTGCATCCACATCAAACATCCACATAAATTATCCACATTCATTATCCACATTGTCATCCACCATCTATTAAATAATGTATTCATAGGTTATCTCCATATACCTCATTCATATTTCGCATCTAAATATAGCATCCACATCGGACATCCATATGATGCATCCACATACATTATCCACAACTGCCATCCACACAGATAGTCCACATATTTCATCCATATTGCATATTACTGAGTTAGCCACATACTCTGCAACCACATAGAGCATCCATATCCACGAGAAACATAACTTCTCCTCGTCCATATGGATCATCCACACATCACCGCCATGTTGCATATTAATGAGTTATCCACATATTCTGAAACCACATAGATGTCCACTACCACACACTGCATCCGTTTACCTCGTCCATATTGAGCATCCATCTAGATTTCGTTTGATCTGCTATTCGTTTGATCTAATGCAACTCATTGTATTTGTGGACAGAAACCGTTGTCCACCAGCTACCATCCACAAATCCAACAACGAATGTACAATGTTTCTTTTGTCCTCTTGTATATATCATATGATCTTATATTTGTCCCCTGATAAGAATGTAATTTCATAAAGGATTTGTGATTATTATACCGGCTTTGCTAATGCCAATGCTCTTATCTTACAATATATGTATATGGTATACTCATCCTAACAATTTTTCCACGGTATACTCATCCAAATACGAAATACCTATCTAAATATGAGATACTCATCCAAATACTTTGACCACGGTATCACTTTCACGGTATCACATCCACATTATTGCATCCACGACCTCATGCACGGTATCGTATTCACATCTTCACATCCACGGCTTCATGTCCATGGTAAATTCATGAATTTACCAAATTATCTATTCACTTGGACAATACAAATTGGTCAAAGGGACTAGGAAGCACCTAATCCAGCCATTCAGGCGTCGTAGAAAATTTGTTTAATAGACAATACTGTCATCAACCTTAGCATCGTCCACATAACACCGTCCACAAATTAAGCACAGTATGGCAGAAGCAATCCTATTTTCCTGACGTCCATAAACATTACTTCCCCTGTACGGTCCAATAACACAACCTCCACAAATTTTACTATTCTGTATCATACACTCAAACCATTACTGCGGATACCCGTACACAAAATATACCGCTTACCGTCATCAAGTTTAGCATCGTCCACATAATACCGTCCACAAATTAAGTACAGTATGGGCAGAGGCAATCCTACTTTCCTGACGTCCACAAACAATACTTCCCCTGTACGGTCCATTAATACAATGTCCACAAATTTTACTATTCTGTATGATACATTCCAACCACTACTGTGGAGACCCGTACACAAAATATACCGCTTACAAAACACAAGTCCAACGCGAACTACACACCGTCCACATTTCATTATCCATCTGGACTTGACTTTCCTACCACCATATGCTTTCTCGGTTCACAAACAACCACCTCATGCTCCACCGCCAATAAAAAAAATCCATTGATTTCTTCCTCGTGCACAAATTGAATAACTAACCAAACTGCCCCGCATTCCAGGCTCATGCTTATTGATTCCTCAACAAAAAGGCCACCACGCCTTCAATGATGGTAGATCGGTGGATATCTTCACTAGTTTTTGGTCAAATCAACGACCTAGACCTCCAAAGAGACGGCGCGTGAGTGTCGATATATCACTTTCCACCTTTTGGGTAAACTATAATTTTCAGTAAAACAACCAATATTTTAGAAAGGGTAAATTAGTCACTACAATGCAAAAGAGTACAGCAAAGTGCTTCAGTTCACAATAATGCCTGATTTTGCAACAAAATATTTCAAAGTGCCTCTGTGCGTATATGTCTCATGTATAATTGACTGTCAATTAATTGATTCAAATTAAAGTAAACCCTGCTAAACTGATTTTTAACTCGAATAACTGTAAAATTTATCACAAAGAGTGCTTTTTTTGTTCAACTTTTAAAATTCAAGTAAACTTAAATCGGTTCTAAATGTGCAAGATGGCCCAAACTCAAAATAGCAGATTTTACTAAACCGTCTGCTACAACATTTACAGAACAAGCAATAAAACGAAAAGATAGGGATGAGAAAACCCGTATAATGGACGGTTTCATTCTGATTGTAGAGATGTGTACTAGTGTCTCCCACCAAATATAAAATGTATGTATAGTACACTCGTCATATTCGTATTCATTTAATCTACCAAACATACTTTTTTGTACTCCGTTCTCATACATCGGATTCGTATTATAATATCGATCGAACTACAACAACTTACGTCGTAAATAATTTATTTTCCAATTTATATATAATATGAAGACATTCTGACTTTAAGAGAGACAAGAAAACCAGCAGCGATCATGCCAGAACAATGTACTTTTCTTTTCATTTATAACATGCATGCTAAAAGAACAATAAGCCGGAGAATCAATTCATTTGGTAATTAAATAAAATGCGATTATATACCATATAAGACTATAAAAAACGGTATAATGTAAAGACGCATTCCAAGAACCCGTGTGTACATGCACGGAATTCGGAAGTTAGAGGATTAATCCGTAAAACAAACAGATAAGCAAATCCGTAAGATGCATTGTACATTAACCCGTCCTCTAATTTTGAAACTTAGAGACAACGACATATCTTCAAGCTGTGATTTTATTTTCTTCAATATAAGTTTATTTTATGAAGAAGATTTTCTGTGGGGATGATCTTAAGACAAACGAACGAGTTTGAATCTCATCTTGTCGGAATCTCCAACTCTATTTTCTGCCGTCCTTAGTATTTTTTTAAATATGTTTATTTATCTTTTATCCTATGTACATACCTACTTGACCTTTTATAAGTTATAAGGCAATTTGCCTCCCAGCCGAACCAAAAAGATAAGAAGCTCAGATAACTTTAAAAAAATAAACTTGTTAAAACAGTCAACTATAATACATATATACAAATTAGCTTATTCTTTTGGCATGCCCATAACTAGATTAATTAATGTATACATGTATATATCATTGATAACAATCCCATTTATATATACACATATGATATATATTTTTTTTTCTAATGTATATATACATATTATATATAAAGTGTTGAATTTCGCCTTATTTGCATCTCATATTTTTAAAGTTCTTGTAGCTGACGGAGTTTAATGCATAAAACCAAATATACAAAGTTCCCGTAGTTCATGGCTTGATTTTCACTTCTGTATATTGGTCTGGTTTTGTTTTCTAATGGTTTAACCCCACATGACTGAAAATATAAAATCATGAATGGTAACATTTTACGTTAACAATGAGCTAGAACTTTATGCAAATTAAATTATTGATGAACGATGTTACCAATCACATCCACTGTAATTACACTTTGAGTTTTGGTTTTGTATTCTTGTTTTATTTTATCACAGAATAAATTACTACAAAATATATGCCACATATATTTAATATTTTTTGATTTTGTCTATAGGGACTTCAAAAGTTTTTATGTCTAGAAATTTATATGATTGCATAAGACGGATTTCTAAGGAATGTCAATTTTCTCTAGCTTTGCTGATCAATTCTTTTAGAAATTTATGTTTCACCCTCCCTGTCATGTTATGTATGCAATTGATTGTATCTTCAAAAACAAAGTTGACTAGAATAAAACTTGTATCTTCAAAAATCATAGTTGACTAGAATGAAACATTCTTTGTTATTGTTAGTATTTACAAGATAAATTATGCGAAACACAAATACAATCATCCTAATGAAAAAAATCGAAAAAAGAAAAACAAAATTTACAAGCGTAATGGTACTGTATTTGATTGTAGAGAAATGAGTACTATGAAAACATTTCTTCATCATTTTACATTTCATTCATCCATATTAAAATTCTTCTAGTCTATTAATATTTCTAGGCAAATATCAGAATAAGTTTGGATCATTCTTACGAATAAGTGATCGACGCCGGATATATCATGCTGCATTTCCTCCCTAAAAACAAATTAGCTAAGAGAGACCTACCGGACAATTAGTAATTTAAGGTTAAATACGGCATGTATTTTTAATTTTCTTGTTCTTTTAGTGTTCTTGAAGTTGCGATAAGGATTCCATTTATCGTGCATTGGTGTGGCTATATCTTATTCTTCACCGCTTCTCTTGTGTGGCCAATGTAGACTCTCCCTCATTATTATATACTAATCTCTAAGTCTCTAACCATCTTAGACGTATATACGTAATTAATCTAATTGAGATGAATGGATGGTTATAAAAAACAATATATTAATGTGTCGTGAAGGAACAAAGCTGCTCTCATCTATCATTGTCGACCCCACAAGTTGACTGATCGTGTTCATCATCATGCATGGCTCCATTTCATTTATTTAATAACGACTTGTTCACGACACAAATGATTGTAGCAGTTTAAGAATCTCTTGATTTCTCTTCATCATCACCAAATCTTCCCCAAGAGAAATATTCTCCTCATCATCAAGTGTTCTCCAACCTATATATAGAGTTGCACAAAGATCAACAACTAATATCACAACAAACAGAGAAGAAAGAAGACGAAGGAAGACAGGAGTTGAAGGTTAGAACGATGGACGTTTTTGTTGATGGTGAATTGGAGTCTCTCCTGGGGATGTTCAACTTTGATCAGTGTTCATCATCTAAGGAGGAGAGACCACGAGATGAGATGCTTGGCCTCTCTAGCCTCTACAATGATCATCTTCATCATCATCAGAACAATGTCTTGTCGTCTTCTGATCATCATGCTCTGTTGATTCCTGATATGTTCCCATTTGGTGCAATGCCGGGAGGGAATCTTCCAACAATGCTTGATTCTAATTGGGATCAAAATCACCTCCAAGAAACGCCAACTCTTAAGAGGAAACTACTTAACGTAGAGAATCTACACAATACTAACTCTAACTGTGACGTCACAAGACAAGTAAGTGCAAGAGCAGTATATATAATGTTTACTTTCATTCGTTCTTACTATGCAATAGACTAAATACAATACCATTAACGCTATACAGGAGCTTGTCAAAGCCAAGAAAAAGCAGAGGGTAAGCCCGGAAAGCAATACAGTCGACGAAAGCAACACTAATTGGAGAGATGGCCAGAGCCTAAGCAACAGTTCAGATGATGAGAAAGCTTCGGTCACAAGTGTTAAAGGCAAGACAAGAGCCACCAAAGGGACAGCTACTGATCCTCAAAGCCTTTATGCTCGGGTAAGAAAACGTGTTAAAATTTCTACGATTTCAATCTCAAAACCAATTGCAAATAATTAAAAGTATATCCATTATACGATTTTGATGGTTTTTTTTTTTATCGATGCAGAAACGAAGAGAGAAGATTAACGAAAGGCTCAAGACACTGCAAAACCTTGTACCGAACGGGACAAAAGTGGATATAAGCACGATGCTTGAAGAAGCAGTCCACTACGTGAAGTTCTTGCAGCTTCAAATCAAGGTACGTAAATTATTTTTAGGGTTTAATTAGTTTTTGTTAGAATCATTATATAACATTCATGTTCTAACGAACCGATATACGTATGTTATAAAATGTAGTTGTTGAGCTCGGATGATCTATGGATGTACGCACCATTGGCTTACAACGGACTCGACATGGGATTCCATCACAACCTATTGTCTCGGCTTATGTGAAGGACTTAACAAGTTGCAATGTCATTGTAAAGAAACCGATTTAGAACATATGAATCCCTTTAAGTTGGGCCCTACCAAAGAGGTCTACTTTCGGAACGTTCTATTTTCTCTTGATGTTCATTCTGGATTTATTTGTTATTCTATAACTTCTTTTTGTCTTTTTCTTCATCATGGTTCTAAGAACTTCTGGTACTTTTTTTTAATGTAATTAGTTATATGATTACAATATATAAAGTCAACTCAGACTAATAAAGTAACACAGTCTTTCCTCATACGTACGATTTTAAAAACGAATATATAATTCGGCCAGGTTTTCGGTTCGGTCATGATTTTAAAATGGATCTACGAAAAAGATATACTTGAACTATTCGACCGACTTTATTTTCTTATACACTCAACATAAAAATGAGGTTAGAGAGTAAGAATCAACAAAGAAATCAATAGACGAAAATGGTGTTGAAAGACATTGAAGAATTAATGTGTAAAATTAGCCAACTACTTTGGCTAAAGATCCTAAATGAAATTATGAGACGCCAATCCATGCCAAAGTCTTCTGATACAAAATCAAGTAATTATAAAACCTTTTTTGAGTAGTAGTACTACTGAATAACTGTTATTTGAGTTTTGGAGAAAATAAATTGATGAATAATCCCCCATCTGCTAAAAAGTTATGTTTCATCTTATTCAAGTGTCGTGTCTCACGTGAAACATGATCACTAGCACCAACTCCAACCCAAACTAGTATCTACTTGGTGCAAGCCTGAATCATAATACAATAAATATCATCAACGCTTTCAAAATGTTATCAAAGCAACATTTCTCCTATATACAATCCCCTTTTCTTTATGGAGAACTTGGAAATCCAGAAATGCTAATGTATATCAAAGAAATTAATTAATTTATTTGGTAATCTTGAAATTAATAAAAGAAAAACTGTTTTTTTTTTGTTTTTGTTTAAAGACAAAAAAAAAAGAAGAAGACAAATTTCACTTTTATCTTCAACTTTTTGGAAACTGAAAATTAGAAGACGTAGACAAAAAAAAAAAAAAAAAAAATTAGAAGACATATGATTTCGGTTCGGTTTGATGTTTTTATCGATAGGTTCGGTTTGATATTTTAAAAAGGCAATTTCGGTTTAATCAAACCAAATCGCGTCGTGATCGCCACCGTGGAGCTTCTCGACGAGGTAGAGGGTCTTAAACACTAACAACGAGGGAAGTGAACAACACAGCTCGCGCGATTCTCTCTCCCTCTCTCTCTTTCCGTCGCTGCCATGGCTTGCGCTGAGCAGCCTATCAAGAAGCGTCGGCTGTATGAATCAATCCCTGAATCGCAGCCTCCGCCACCGGAATCAGAGTCCCCATCCACTTCTACGCTGGTGAGCTCGTTCCCCGCTCCGGTGACGCCGCCGTCCACATCTCAGGAGGAAATTCAAACCAGAAGCAGGAACAGAGAAGAGATTCGAAGAGTGCATGAGTGCTATAAGCGTCTCAAATCTTGTATTGGTCAGAGAGATGGCGGCCGCTCTGCGATTATTGAACAAGCGTATCGCTCCCTCATCTCTGCTTCCCGAGGTTTGTCTTCTCGCATGCTTAGCCCTCTTTTTTTTGTTTTTTGTCCTCACTTCCGTTCGAGTCAGATTTACCGATTGGATGATTGATAACTCGCCGTTTCTCTGAGTTAATGGAGTTCGAATTTTGTTCTCTTTTTTTTTTTTTTCACATTTGAGTGTTAGATATGTTTGTGTGAGAGAGAATATTTCTAGTCGGCTTTTCTTAACTGAATCATGAGAAGATTAGGTTTAGGAGCTGAAATATTTTAGCTTTCAAGTGAGTTCACTATAATCGAAGTAGAGCAGAAGAACACGATGAGATAGATTCATTCTCTCTGCTACAAATGCGAAATCAAAGTACAAAGCCTATGATACGCCCTTTCGCTAGCATTCTGACTTTTGTATCCAATATTTCTCCTTCATACTCTGCACTAAAAATTGTGTATTTGTAGTTGGGATATCAAAAAAGTTATTGCTCTAGAGTCTCCTGGCTGGAATTAGGATTCCTGAACCATTTTCAAAGCTTGATAAACCCATGTATATGCTGGTTGAGGCTTCTCTGTGTTGCGCATATCACACTGTGTCAGAGTTCATGTGCTCCTTACATTTAATGTTACCCCTTCCGTAGATTTTTATGTATGCGAATGCCGAAAAGTATCACTACTTACTTACTTAGGGTTGTATCTATTTCTCAATTCTTGAACAAAGCCTGCTCTTGTGGGGGGGTTAATCTGTTGTTCCATTCAAACGTAAGGTGGGGTGTGGTGTGTGAAAACTTGTGCAACGGATGACAGTTAGAAAACTTTAGTCCTAAAGGTAGAAGTTGCAGTTAATTTCTGGAATTTTCTTATTTTTTGAAATTTGTACCTAATTTAAAAAAAGATTGGCAATCTCTCAAGCATTATAATGAAGTTTGTTGGAGTAATGATTTAGTTAGTTGATTATACTTGCAGGTTGTACCAGCGTTAAACGCCTTGTGGCTGATCTTGTTCCTCGATATGCACTCTACTGCCCTACTGCTATCGGAGACGCAGTGCAAGCTGTCATCGACATGCATAACTTCAGCTTGGAAGCACTAAATAGAGGACAGGATGCTGATGGTGTTGCTTTTCAAACTGCTAAAGCCTGCATATTTGGTCTGGTTGACCTATGTTCTGCTGCTTCTTCAAACAGACCAACGTCACCAGGGGCTCGGGATATCTGCTCTACTGTGTTCAGAAATGTGCTAACCTTCTTTGTGCTGTCCTTTGAGGCGAAAGATATCTTCCAGATAGTTGATAAGAGCGATTTGAAGGTGCAAGATCCTGATGAAATTTTTACTCAGCTGATGCAAAAAATTTCAGATGGAGACTCGTTACCTTCGATCAAACTATCCAAGTTTCGTGTTTTAGCTTTACTGAAAGTATTCTTCAACTTCCCAAAAAATTCAATTGCCACTTGTTTTGGGTTCTTCGATTCATCATCAACTGAGGAGGTAGCCACGGGGAGGTATCTCATTACTCATATGGCAGAAACGATAAATGATATTGATGCCGCTAGTAATGAACCTGAAGCAGACGAGAATTCTGGTCAGACAGGTTCTAACAAAATAGAGGCCACTGGTAAGCATGCGGAAGGGTTGAGTGGAATCAAAGAAGCATCCCACATTCTAAAGAGCTGCTTGTTAGGAATGGTAATACTCTTAGTGTAGTTGCATTTGCTTTCTTGTTTGTTTCTTATTTGTGTAGGGCTTTAGTTATTATTATTCCTGTCTTGACCACCAACCGTGTCACTCATATCATTTGCTTGCTCTTTTTCTTGGAACTCTGCATGGCTAAAGTGTAATGGGTGTATAGTGCTAAAAATCTGATAGTTTAGTCAATCGTTCATGCAGGTTCTTAGTAAGAGTCCCTCCACTGGTAGGTGGGCCTTCTTTAACTATAAGAAAGTATGTAGCCTGTCATCCTTCATGGATATATCCAGTGCTATTCCTTCTCTTGAGGAAATCTTTGGATTTGTTGGAAAAGATGTCAAGTTAGAAGATTGTCAAATGGAGAGTGACGAGGATGATAATGGAAAAATTTCAGCCTCACACGTGAAGCCTCACAGTTCTGCAGAAAACGATGTCCGTTCTAGTGCTGGATCAGTTTATGATGCTGGAGGTTCACGATCTATGGATTTTGAGACTGCTGACCAGAGAGACTTGTCATGCGGTAGATCTTCAGTCCCAAGGGGATTAATAAACCATCAGACACCATCTCCTTCTGCAAGAATGCATTCAGATTTGAGGAGTAACTCTGCAGATGGTAGGAACAATTTTGTTCTTGCAGGATCACCTCTTTATCAAGCAGCACCCTGTGGCCCTTCATCAGGGCAAATTGTTTGGTATTTGGATGGAGACCCTACTGCTTATGACATATTTCCGGCTTCTGGGCAGTTGTGGTTAGGGTATTTAGGACCAGATGAAACTGATGGCCACCTAAGGTTTCAGCTTGATAGGTACGGTCCAGTAGACCGTTTCTTTTTTGATCCATTGAAAGGATTTGCCCTAGCTGAATATAGAAGTATAATTGACGCAATTAGAGCTCGAGAATATCTGAGAGCGCAATTTCCTTGGCGCATTAGATTCATGGATATAGGAGTTGGTGCTAGGGGATCTTTGAATGGGGTAGCATATGGTTATTGTACTCATTTGTATATTGGAAGCATCTCTAGCCAGTGGGAGAGGGACGAAATTGTTCATGAGTCACGGCAAGCCCTTTATAAGGGACCTCGCATGGTGACTGACCTGTACTATGAACATGCCCTTCTGATGGAGTTTGATACACCTGATGATGCTGCCATTGTTATGGCCCATCTCAGGTTTTTTCGTGGAGAAAAGAGTAAATTTCACTTGGCATCAGTCAATCGTCCTTTGCCTCATGAAGATGGAGGAAGGTTTGTCTCCGCTTCTTCCAAGCTATGATTTCTTTGATGATTTTGGACTGTTGACGTTTTTAATATTTAAATATCCGTTAAGACATATCTTCTCACGCACTCTAAAGCGTCCTGTTCTTTGATGTAGTTATGCATTTATGTGTTGATTTTTTTTTGTCTCTTTGGTTTGACGTGGAAGTTTCTTGTTTGAACAGTCATCCAGAGAGGAACCTTCAAGTGCCTCCCACATCAAAACCGGATAGTGGATCAGGGGAATATGTGTCCCCCTTAATGAGTACGGATCCCCACTGTAATTCCGTACCTCCTGGAGCCACCTTTCAGCAAAACTGGCCTGCTTCGGGTAGCACTCTTGTGAATCCTGCTCAAGGAGGTTAGTTCTGTCTCTTATCTCTCCTGGAATCATGAATGGTTTATCGCTTGTGACAGCAAGAGATTTGTGTATGATTTTAAAACTACCATTCCTCAGTCTCAGGAAATCCTTCATGTGTGCCCATGTCAGCTCCAGGGCAGCCTGCTACACCGACATCTCAAATTCCTCCATCTCCGTTTGTCCAACATCCCATATACCCTCCTCCAAACAGCTCTTGGGATACAAGATCTCTAGGCCACCAAGTCTCTCCAAGTGGTAATGCAATAGCATCATCAGCACAGACTCAGGGACCTCCACCGCAGCAGGTTTCAGGCCCATTCATGCCGCCTCCCGTTCATCCAGTCTCTCAGCAACAAGGACCTCAAGTTCAGCATTATGATCAGGTGTATCAGCCTCCTTTGGGACATTCATTATCCTCTGTGACGCAGCCATCACTACAAGCTCCATCTCAGCCACCGCCACCGCCACCAGAAATGATGCCGCCTCCGCCTCAATCTCAGCCTCCTCTGGTTCCTCCTCCTCCTAGTACGCCACCATCTCCCCCGCCCTTACCTCCAGCGGTCACACAGTTGTCTGAACCAGCGGCTTCCAAGCAGAACGTAGAGCACCGTTGGCAGGGTGTTTTGTCCAAAAGTGGAGTCCATTACTCCACGATCGTTGCACAGAGATTGGATTCAAACATTTGCAGATATACCAACGGATCTTCAGAGCCTGTGCAGTGAGTAACAATTACCTCATTCTTATTTGATGCCTTGTGTTCTAATTATGTCTTTCTCTACAAATAATCAAGTGATGCGGTACAAGGATGAGCATTCGTTTCCTGTCTTTTTACTTCCTGCAGATGGCCACTTAAGTTGGATATGACCAAGCGCACAGATATGAAGAACCTAAAATCTACTTTTGCGAACACTCAGCCACACAAAGTGAGTTTCTATTATCTTGGTTCTCTCTAATCCACAAGCTCTTTTTTTGTTTCTTACAGTTTTATGAATTATGTTTTGCAGAGGGAGGTTTGTCAGTTAATTCCCGCAACTTTCAACGATCGTAAAGGGGTATGTGATACAAATTTTAAAACCCTGAATCATCTGATTTTCCTTTGTATAAATAAACTCTTAAGAACTCAATCTTTGTGGCAGCTCCAAGATTTCATGTCATACTTGAAGCAAAGAGATTGTGCGGGAGTGATAAAGGTACCTGCAACAAGTTCCATTTGGGCAAGGCATCTTTTCATTCTGCCATACTCGCAAGAGACATGTTCATTTCTTTCGGTTTCCCCGTCTTCCTCTGAATGCTTGCTCGGTTTGGTTTTGCCCAAGGAACCAAATGCTCAGTGCTCGTGACATATACTCATGTATCCAGGGACAAAAAAAGAGTAAATGAAAATCGTTTTTTGTGTGCTTAAGATAGTTTCTAAGCCACTTTGTAAATGAACCCACTAGTGTAATCTCACTCTTTGCTTTCTCCCTTTTGAGGGAACCAATTGTAGATTTGTGTCAACTATTAGCTGTTGCAGTTTTGTTCTCGCCTCGCATCTTCCTTATATGGATGAATTAATAGTTCGGTGAAGGTGTACGTTTTGCGTCTGGTTCGATATTACTACTACTACTGTATCAATTAACGCGTTCAGTCGCGATTTTATTTCATTACTGGTCAAACGCAAACGCAAACGCTATTCAGGGAATCTTAATCGATTGAACGAGACCGGTATATGTGTGACTGCGCCTTTGTCCCTTCCCTCCCGCCTCGTCGTCTGAATTACTCAGCTTCTCATCCGCCGAAGCTTGCTTCTCCTCTTTTCTTCCACCGCCGATCTTCTGATTGAAACAATCATGTCTCACCGACGTTCGAACCGGCAAGATGAGAGCGCCAGATACATCCCCAAGGTGCAGCAGAAGTTTGTTCCCAAACCCTTGAATCCAACTCCTACTTCTAATCCTGCCCCTTTCCCCGTTTCTCTTTCCTCTTCGCTTAGACAATCGGATTCATCAACGGCGACTTCCAGGGGCTCCGCTCCGGGTGGCAGTAGGGTTAGGATGGGGGATCAGGGACAGTGGGTACCCAGCAAAAGTCCGGCACAAGGCGGTGGGAGTTTCGTGAATTACTTGCCGCAGGACGAGGCTGTAGCCGCCGGTCTCGGCCCCGAGGAAGGAGGTTTCGATCCTGTGGAGTCTCAGGGAGTTGTGGATCTCCTCAACAGAGAGCTCACGAGGCTGCTCAAGCTGAATCCTAGAGAGTTTTGGAGAGAAGGTCTCTTTGAATTTTTTTATCAGTTTAGCTTTGGTCTTTCGAGTTTCGACTATTCGTGTGATGGATTTTGGGCTGATATCACTTTCCTTTGTTTGATGACAGTGGCTAGTGATGCATCTTTGCACGGTTTTCTGGATAGCTTCCTGCAATTTAGGAACAGATGGTACGATTTCCCTTTTCATGGTGTCAAGGGAATTGTCGCCGGCGTAATTGTGGGAGAAGAAGAGTTATGCCGCCGTATTTTCATGGTCTTGTATAGAATGTGAGTCGCCGAATCTGGATACAATGAAATTATGTTATTTCCGAATTCTTTTGGGACTTGCGAGTTGAGGAGTTTGTGTCGTGGTCGTGGCAGATCTTCCAATAGGGATCCCGGTGCTCGAGCTGCTGACAGCCTCAGTCAGAAAGATCATGAAGGTGGCCTTTTGCTCCTAGTCTCTGTTCAGTTGTTGTCATTTATTTCGTTCTACAAATGGAACTGAATATAGGATTAAATATTGACATGCCTCGCGCATTGATTCCTTTCCACTCAGATTTAGAACAAGCATACAAGTCTTATGTCTAGAATTTTTGCTTATATTCGTTGGCATTTGAGCTCAGGTGTTTTGACTGTATGTTAATTAGCGTAGTCTGTCTGTAAAAGATTGTTTCTTAGACCAGCACGGCACAGATAACTGACTAGAGTTGGTCAGTCTTTAGTCTGAGTAGAAGTCCTCGAATTGATCTAGACTTTCTAGGATGACTTGAGTTCGTCATTGCAGTAAACTTGAGTTTTAGTTCCCTCTTCTTAACTATCTTCTTCTTTTATGCTTTTTGCTGTGCCTGACGCTCCTGTGGGATTTGCTTGAGATTGTTTTCTAGCTTACAGCTGTTCACCATTTTTTTTTGTAGTTCTCTTGCAGGAAAATAACTTACTGGATTTGCCAAAGTTATTGGATATATGCGCTATCTATGGACATGAGAATGCAGAACTCACTAAATCTTTAGTAAGTCATTCCAGCAAAATCAATTTGGTCTGAAAGCTGAGATAAACTCGTACCTTTGTGCATATTTGGGATATGATTCTCCTTTTTCTGACATTTGACATCCTTGGATTCCTAATTGCCGCTGGATGTTGAAGCTGAGACCATCTTCTGTTATTTTGCTAATCTAATTGCTCATTTTCCCAGATTGAGAATGCTGTGAAATCACAAATTGGGATCCCTGACAGCTTGAATATGATGTTGTCTCATTTTTTGGGCATCCTGCACACAATGCATCGCCGTTGCACCTCATCTTTGGAGGTATGTTATTTGTACTTGATTTCAGAAATTTCATTTTAGGATAGATTAGAAAATTCAAACATGTATATACACAGTTATATAGGATCACACCCAGTGTTAAATTTAACATTCTGGGTCTGAAATTTCCTTCTTTGGTTATTTTGTATTTCAAATGTCCCTTGGATCTATACTTCTATTAACTTTTTTTATCTGCAGACCTTGTTATCGAGTGCAAATAATGAAGACCATGGACATAAACAACTCCATTCTGACCTGTTGGAGGTGAATATTCCTTCTTTTTTTTCCACTATTTATGTCTCTGTTTTTAAAATTGCTTTTACATGGTAAGATTAGCATTTGGTTCTGTAGACTAGTAGCATTCAAGTTCCTGGTGCTTGCGGTGCTTTTCTTGTCATATCTAGAACTATGAGTAGCAGAGTTTAGGAAATAATTGATACAGTGTTGCTTTGCTTAGCAAAGTACAGTTCAAATCTGAAACTATCAACATCAGCATTTAGAATATAGACGATAGTTTCTTTTGTTTGCTCAGGAAAGTTATTTAAAAATTTAAATCACTTCTTAAGGATATAAATTTTGAAGTTAACAAAGGTAAACTTTTCCCACTTTTAAACCCTCTTATATGGTTACATTTAAAAAAACTTGATTTGATACATCGGTCAGGCTGTTGGAGATGCTTCTTCCCTTGCTTCATTGTCATCTTGGATGTATAAATATAGCATGCGAAATAGTTTTTTCTCTTGTAATTTATCAAAATAAACAAAAAGATTTGCATGTTAGTAGTGTGGGCATGTGATGCATCTGTAATATTTCTATCTGATTAGGTTATGGACTTCATTAATGATGGAGTTGTGTCTTTGGATGCTTTCATTTCTGCTTATACGCCAGCAGCTTTAATCTTGGCATGCACTGTTGAGACAAGGTATGTATCATCTTCTGTTTAAATCTTTCAATTTCAGTTGTGAAAAATGTAAGCCGGAGAAACCGTTATAAGTGTACTCTGAGTAGTATCCCCAAGTCTTGCATCTTCACACATGATTCGTTGACAGAGTTTTTCTGTTACTGGATTTCCATTGGATTGCACTATGAGTTTCTCATGATTGATGAAAAACAGTACTAATTGTGGAACTTTTTTATTGGGCTTGTCTTGGATTTGTTTTGATCATTATCTAAATCCATCTGTGCAGCTATGGGAGCGATGAACTTCTCCGCAGCCTTGTTCGGTTGCATGATTCATTGCTTCCATCACTTCATCGTGGCTTTCAGGTCTTGTTCAAGGATGGAGACCATGATTCTCTTTCAGACATATTAACAAGTTTAAACATGTTGTCAGCGAGGATAGGAAGTTTATGCTGGAAAATCTTAGATATCTGTTATCTCAGCAATGATTTGTTCAGTCACGAATCTTCAATTCTTGCTGTCAAAAAGATGTTCCCGTCAAGTGTAGAGGACCCTATGGTAAGGGCAGATATACTGATCCAAACATTCAGAGAGATCAGTGGAGTTTCCGAGCAGTCGCTGGAAAGCAAGAACCGACTACTCCAAAAGATTGAGAAGAGTTACAGAATAATTGATAGACTTAGGAGTTTACAGAAAGCAGGTATTATCTTCTTTACAATTCTTTCCAGCTGTTACCTGATTTTTCATGTCAAAGTCGGTTTTAGTCTTTAGTGCGATAGATCGTGGGGTTTACTTAAGGTGAAATAAGCATCACATTAATTCATTGTTAGCTAGTGAAATTAATGTCTAAGTTTCAATAAAAGCTAGTTCTTTGTAAACATAGGGAAGTCTGGTTTCTTAATGCCATGGGTTAATAAACAGTATGGTCTAAAGTAGTTTGTTATTGGTTTCTACTCAGGATGGATATCAATGGAAGATGAGCAGCTTCAGTATTTGTCGATGATCATGTTGCATTCTGCAGAGACAGTCTCTATGAAGGAGTCGCCGCTTCTTCTAACTGATGGTGGAAACACCAAAGAGCTTATGGATGAAAATGCTGTAGTTTTGCAATCCAAGATAAGTCAAATAAAAGACATATTCCCTGAGTATGGGAATGGTTTCTTAGCTGCGTGTCTTGAAGCCTATAACCAGAATCCAGAAGAAGTCATACAGAGGATCCTTGAAGGAACACTCCATGAGGATTTGCAGCGGTTGGATACTTCACTGGAGACGATGCCACAACCTAAACCCGCTCCACCTCTTGGAAGCAAAGACAAAGGGAAAGGAAAGCTCATCGAATCTGACACTAGTAGCTCCGGTATCTACACGGAGCAACCGATCACACGTCCCTCGCTTCCAGCTTCATCAGCCTCATCCACAACGGTTGGCAGATTTGTCAGAAAGCCAAAGGATGATACTCCAAACTACAAAATTCTCGATGCAAGAAAAGAAGCCGACAGAGAGAGGAACGCGGCTTTACTTGCACAATATGAGTACGACGATGAATACGATGATTCTTTTGATGATCTGGGTTTCAGTGTTGGGGAATCAGCCACGGGAGAAAGCGAGTCATTTGGTAACAGAGCTGACTCTGCAGGATCTGAACCCTCTGCTGCTTCAAAGTGGGGAAGCAGAAAGAATCCTCAATTCTATGTCAAAGATGGTAAGAACTACAGTTACAAGGTTGCAGGCGCTGTTGCGGTAGCGAACGCAAACGAAGCTTCACTGGTGAATGAAGCTCAGGGAGACATGATACTTGGCTTGGGACGTGGAGGGAACATTCCTCTCGGTGCGGTTAGAAAGCTGACAGAGTATCAGGCACAGAGAGATGAAAAGGGTCAGTCTAATTTGAACATGAACGCAGGCGATGGAAGGGATAATGGGAGAAACGGGAGAGGAAGGGGAAGAGGAAGAGGAATGGCGAGAGAGCCTAACAGAGAGCAGCCGCAAGAGAATAATAACAACTCAGAGGCTGTTACAGAGGCGGAGAATGGAGGAGGAAGGGGTCGTGGGAGGGGAAGAAGAGGAGGAGGTGGAGGAAGAAATCATAATCATAAAGATAGAGCCATGAAGAAACACATTGCTAGTGTTTCTGGTTTCTAGAGGTTAAACACACATAACAGCACAAGATGTTTTTTTTTCTGAGTCGTTTTTTTAAAAAATACGGGCAACAAATTTAATGGTTACAAAATTAATACCTCCATTTGATTGTAATACCTGTTTCTGGTAATTAAAATAAGAAAATATAGCGTTTCCTCTTTGGTTAAACAAGTTTCTATCGATAATTACAACAGTAAACCCATTCCAATTTATTTTTATTTTATTACTTCTTTTTCAAGTAAAAACAAAATCTTTCTTTTGGCGACAATTAAGTAAAAGTTGGAAACTCAACTGAAAAGGGATATTGTTCTTCATATGATTATTAGTCTTTAATTAATTTAGAACATGTACATGGTCCTAATAACTAAAGACTAGTATAATATATTTTACCCAATATATATTATTGGTCACTGATTGTTATTATATTATTAATTGGCAAGCAAGTTGAGCTGTGGTTAAGAGTTATAATAGTTGATTACCTTTTGCCCTTCATGTAAATTTACTTTAATTATCTTTAGTGAAATCTATTGATTATTTATTTATTTATATTCTTGATAAAAAACTTAATTATTTTCTTAGGCTAATTTAATCTAATCTTATTAATAAATATTAGATTGTGTAATTATTTTCGGCTAAATTTAATTTTTTTAAAAATTAAGAAGAACCCTAATCTCTTTAAATTGTGAGGTTAAATCTGATTTTGAAGGAATTAAATCTCTTCACAAAGAAAAAAATTGTGAGGTTAAATCTCTTTAATCATCATTTATTAGAAAACCCTAAATTTCTTTAGCCACATGATTAGAACCATAATCTTCTATTCCTAGGGTTTCTTCAGCCTCATATGTTCTTTCTAGAAACAATGGCTCTATGACGTTCAACATCTGTCTCTTCAAACGATGAAGCTAAAAAAATAGTTACGTCTCGATCAAAATTGGAACCTTCTGATATGCAGAAGAGGGTGAGAGAATCAAAAGATTTTTGGCTTCATAATTTTCAAAGGATTTGGGATGAGATAGTGATGTTAACTTTTGTTTGTAGAGGATTAGTGAGATACATATAGAGATTTCGTTGCGATATCCAAGTGAGATACAATTTTCATATGGTATTGATTCATATTACTACTGGTTTAAGGGATGGAAGTGTATCAACAGACAACTAACTAACACTGCGTTTAATGGTGATCTCTTCTTCACTTGTCAAGATTGTTGTTCTACAAATATAAGTTTCTCTTCATCTTGAATTCCGGTATACATTTTCTTTGAACGTCTTTGCTCTGTTTTGATTTGGTCTTTGGGACTTTGTTATAATTCACAGAAATTCTTCTGTTTTTTTTTTCTTTTTTTCCAGACATGATATGGATTGTTTTGCGATTGATTGAGTGAATAATATATTAGTTGGTGCAGAGTGTGTCGATTGAATATGCGAGATTTGAGAGTTCAACAAAATAATTTTTCTGTTATCTATTCTTACATCTGAATTTTTTTTTTCTTTTTTCTTACATCTGATTTCTTTTTCTTGAAATTTTGGTTCTTACTCAGTCATACAGCTCTGCTTTTGTCTTTCGATGTGGTTGAAATTTTAGCGCACTGTTTTTTTCTTTTTCTTTTTTCTTTTTAGATAGCAGTTTACTCAATTGGATCGATGCTCCATGACAGTTTTAAGCTGCACTGCATTTGACTTCACAACTAAAGGAATTCGATATATATGAAGTTTCTATATAGAGTTTTGCAAACATATTTCTCGCCATTGAAAATCAGGAACTGCAACGAGATCGAAGGCACCCCCTAGCGTCTGTTTCGAGTCGTATGAGGTTTTGCATACCGGCGATCGCGAGCTACTTATTATTGATTCTGAGAACGGTAATATCTACAAGGTTTCATGCACTCTAATGCTATGTAAGTATCTGATTGTGCTGTTTTTTCTTTCAATTATATGATCTACATGTTATTCTACTAATGTTTTTTCCATGATCATAATGACTTCAAATTCACTATCTTGAAGATATTAAAGTTTGAGAGTTTATGTGATTTAGTCACGATTGTTATTTGTCTTAATCATAAAAACTGAATGCACCTGGACTACTGTACAAGATCCTGCATATGAAAATAGCAGGCCGAGACTCTGTCTATTGGTTCCCCTGAAGGATATACAGGATACATGGGTGAGAGAATATATGATGCGAGGCTGAACCATCCCAATGGTTAAGGGGTTTGCGGTTGATGACAAAGGAAACATAGTGAATATGGAGTTTCTACGGCTGACACGGTGAATAATGTTATCCGGAAAATAAGTGAAATGGTGTAATAGCTTTGGTTTATTTTTGAGATTAGATCATAATTGGATTTATGGAGAAATTTATGATCGATATAAAGAAAGAGAAGTGAGAGATTGAGAAAAATCTTGAAAGTAAAGTAAGAGAACAAGAGAGAGAAGGAGAAGAATACAAAGAGCAGGGGTTGGCTTGAAGGTTACTGGTTTTTTATTGGTGATTAGAGACAAAGTGGAAGAAGATTATTCAATATTGTCAAAGTCAAAAATAACTTTTCAAAACTTTTCAGAACTCTATAAATAATGTCTGAATTTTCTTAATCTCAAACTCCCATCTCAGCTCCATCAAAATCATAATCATAATCACAATCGTAATCGATCTTCGTTTCTTATGTTGCAAACTTTGATAATTTCTGTTAGAATATTGATGATCTGATGTGCCTCGAATTCAGAATTTAATTATGAAGATGATTTAGAGCCTCGATTTCATATGTTTTATGATCGTTTATATTGAATAATAACTTAAGAGGATATTTGGTCGACAAGAAAAATAAATAACTTCATCAATATTCAATCTCGATCTTCTTCATCTTCTTCCTTCTGCTTTGATCTTATGAATCTTATCGACTTCTCATAAGCGATCCAACCTACCAATTTAAAGGAATGGACCGAACACTTTCTCTCCAACCTGGTTCAATAGTGTTTCAATTTGAGCTCTGTGGCTAACTCTTTTAGAAAGGAGTTATTTACTCTGTTATTGGGGCTGTTTAGCGACAAAAAAAGGAATGAATTTACTGTTTCATGTTATTAATATAAAAAAGGAAATGCTATAATTTCTTGTTTTGATAATTAGAAACAAGCATTACAATCAAATGGAGGTATTGCTTTGTAACCATTAAATATGTTTCCCGTATCTAAAAAAAAAACCAAGAAAAAACATCTTGTGCTATTGTCATGTGATTTTACCTCAAAAAACCATTTGATTAGTCTTTGATCAATATATACATGGTTTAAATTTATCCAATTATTGGCACTAATTGTGATAAATCAATTAATTGTAGTTGGCTCTTGTCTACACATTAGTTGGCTTAATTTTGAATGCTAGGTTCTATCCTTTGCATAGAATTTATGGCTATAGTATACAATATGACTTTTATTAAGAAAAAATGCTATACTATTTTAATTTATTTGCTATAATTTTTTTGTAATTTATCAGTTTTAAATTTAATTTATTAATTAAATAATACATCTATAAATTAATATAATTTCATAAAATTTCATGGTTCTATTCATAAAGTTACGATTATGTATATGCTTTTAGAAAATTCATTTTATTCGGTGAAAAAGCTTATCGTTAGAGAGAACAAAAAACAAAAACTAAGATACACCGCCACCGAAAGATTCTCCCTATAGAATGGGCCTTACAAGTAAGCCCATTAATAGCATTTATCTTGTCAACAAAGTTTCCGATCGCCGAATATCTGATTTTTCCCCAAACGTAAGTCGGCAGATATCTCAGTAGTAGTGTCTATAAATAATGACCATAACCCTCAGTCTTCAGTCTCTCACCTTTAGTTTCCCAATCGCAATTGTGATTATTTTCCGCGTTCTCTCTCTCAGGTTGCGTAACAGTACGATCGTTGGGATTTTTTAGGGTTTCTTCACCGTCTCTGAAACCACATAGAGTTGTCATAGGGGCGATCTGAAAGAAACCTAGTTTCGATTCGATTAGCCCAGAAGCCGAAGATGGAAAGACAAGTCGTAGTCGCTTCTTCAAGAAAGGCGCAACTGGAAGAGAAGAAAGAGGAGGAGGAAAAATCCGTCGATAAATCGGAATACTTGGAAAGCAAGCAAGCCTCAGATGAATCAGACGAACTTGAGAAGAGTTGTTTGACAGAAGAAGGAGAAGATGACTACTTGTCTGATCAGAACAGTCGGAAGAGGACACGGGAGGTTGATACGACTTGTGAATCAAACAAGAGAATTAAGCTTAATGATCCGCCAAGCAAAGAATCTGATCCGCACGATACGTTGTTGTCTGATGATGACTGGCTTTTTGGTACCGTTGATCAGCAAAATAAGGCTGCTGCTATCAAGAATGATGTTGAAGACATGAAATTGCAGAAATCATCATCAGATTCGGTTCTTGTCTATTTTCCCAGGGCTCAGTTTTTGCCTCTAGTCGGAATTTTTGCATTACCATATACAGTCCTGTTTTAGGTCATTACCATAAAGTTTGCATATTTGTTTTATTTCTCTCGGTAGCCTTTTAGAGTTTAGCTGTGTACGCTTCTGACTAATTGTAATGCAATCAGAGTAATCCTTGTCTTTTATTTTTATGATCATCTATGAATACTTTTTTGAAATATTAATTAATCTCGATCTTCTTCATTTTCTCCTATCTGCTTCGATCTCATGATTGTCATCAGCTTTACGTAAGCGATTCAGCCTTTATAAGTGCATACCCAATTTTGAAGATTGTGCAGAGATGCTCCATTGCACTTTCTCTCCACCTAGTTCAATTGGGATTGAATTTAAGCACCGTGACTAACTCTTATAGAATGATGGTTATGCTTTCTGTTCTTTTGCTTCTAAATTCTCTAAACAATGGAAAGAAAAAAGTCTATCCAAAAACCAAAACATTTAAAAGGTTTGTAAGGGAATTAGTAAAAGATCTTACCTATATTTTTCATTTACCACGCCATCTACTTATTAGTTTATTTTCTTTTTTTTTGATTTATAAAGATTATATTAAGCCTTCCCTATATTTCTCAAATTTTCTAAAAAACTACTACGATAAATCATGATAAAATCTTTTATATTAAAGATACAACATATCTTTACCATGATTTATTAATACATCACAGTTATTTTTTATTTGTGGTAGATAACGATTCTAAAAGGCACAAGCAAACGATTTGTGCGGTCTACGTACCTCCAGAGAGTTCCTAATGGCCCACCGTTCGACTCTCATTTTTTTTTCTTCATATGAAACTTCACTCTTATAATACTCGGACCACAGTTTTAATTGTAGATGACACTAATCAATCATGACGATCAACCTTGTTCACTAAATACTAATCCCTCCATAGCATTTCAATAGTTTTCTTTTATATATAAAGAGGCGTATATAATTAACGATTTTTTTTTTTTGGTTTTAATGTTAAGAGTATAATTAAGAATTTGTAAATAATCGTTTGTTTTCAAACCCCCTAACCAAATACTATTTTTAGTGAAAACATTCAGTCAGGTATAAAATCTACAGAACACTAATATAAAATCTACATAACACTACAATAAATTATGATAAAAATTTCACTAAAATTTTCAACCAGATCTTTTTTTTTTTCCTTTTTTTCAAGATCAACCAACACATTAGAATGAAAAACTATAAATTATAAAATGTAGGTGGGCCCAATGAGAATGAATCATCGTCACGTCGGCATGCGATGATCCAACGGTGGAAAACCGGCCACGTCTAAGAGCATATTCCGTAGGTGTGAATGGGTTGATTATTCATTCTTGTTCGTTTTCACCGAGCCGAGTCCTCTACGCCTCTTATATATAAAACTCACCACTTTCCTCCTCACGTTTTTCTTCCTTCCGCAAAGACGAAAGTCTGATTCAATTTTCTCGACCTCTCTCTCCCCCAGAAAACATTTGCTCTTTAATGGATATATCGCCTCTCCGATCTCATTCCTCCTCGTTTTCTTCCAAACTTTTGTTGCTCTTCTTTTGTAGTTTTCGTGCTTCGATTCCTTCTTCTTCAGTCGTTTCCCATCGTAATCCTTCTAGTTTTCAGTTTCTTTGTAAGCCCTTTTGACGCCTTTTTTTTCTCTTCTAAATCCCGCATATAATCAGCCGCCGACAAGACGACAACAACAACCATGGGGAAGAGTAAGCTTTCTCTGCTCGATTTGAAATCTGATTGATTTGATTTAGTTCAATTTCACCTGGATTCGAATTAGGTTTTTCGAAATCTGATTCCTCGTTTCATCTCGAGTTTATGAATTTACTGTTAAATTCTCTGGTACACCGAAATTTAGTGCTTAAGAAATTGTTTGACATTGACTAGTTTTACACTTGGTTGAGATTTTGATTCAGCGCATCTTTTGATAGATTCATACTTATCTAGATAAGACTTGTTATTTCCATTTTTCTGTTTTTGAGTGTTTTTCCTTTTTTCCTAGTTTTTTTCTTTTCTAAATTAGTTTTGTTTTTCCGCTTCTTCACATCTGCTCCACACAGAATCAAATACTTGTTCCGCTCCGTCAGTAAGTTGATTTGGATTTGATATAGGAAACCATGGGGAGTAGTAGTAAGCTCCTGTTCCTGATTCTGAATCTTATTGATTGAATTTAGTTCAGCTTCACCTTAGATTTCTTTGTTTTAGGTTCAATTGCCTTGGAATGATTCCATGTTGACGTTTGTTGGTGAGGTTGGGAAGTTGAATTCGTTCGATATAATATGAAACTAAGATTCACTTTTGCCAATTTGCAGAATCTCACCGTAAGAACGCACAGATGGATTTGTTTGATAGTGACGATGATACAAGTAGTGTAAGCTCTTCCTCCACCATGCAATCTGAGAGACCCGGCACGGATGAAGTTCAGGTTCACAAAGATGCTAGGTTAGATGAATCCCTTGATGCCCTGTATGAGAAAAGGTGCGTTTGTCTTCTGTCCATCACTTTTTGTTTTATTCTTCTTCGATAGTTTTACTGTGCTTTTGCTTGGTTTTGTGCGAAACTGATCATATTTGGGTTCCTTTGTGGATGCGAAGGAGTTCAACGAGAGAGCAAGCTTTGGCCTCCATGATTGACGCTTTCAACAGCGACTTGCAGCATGAGTTTGTTGAAAAGAAGTAACTATCTGATACTCTATCCCTTCTGATAAATCTGAGTTTATACATCGTACAGAAGTTGTAGTTGTTCAGTATTGATGACACCTGATTGTTGTCTAATGTTCCCTCTTAACGATGCAGGTTTGCCACTTTACTGCATCAGTGTTTACACTGCACCAAGAAAGGGTCCACTAAGGAGACCTCATTAGCATCACATGTTATTGGTTAGTGTCCCTGAGTGAAAGGCAACTTATGCATCATCTTCTGCAGTTTATTTATTGAGCTGCACTAACAGTTCATGTGGTGTTTGCAGGGTTGCTATCATTGACTGTTGGACTCGGGGATCAAGCGCAAGAGGTTCTGGAAGAATCCGTCACTCCTCTTTCTCAGGCCCTTAAATCTGGTCGCGAAGCTTTGAAAATAACTTCGGTATGGATGATTTGATAATCCACTATAGTGTGTTATTCTGTTAAAGATTTCTAAATAAGGTTCATCTTGTATTCACGCTTATTGATATCCTGCCATTTCATTGCAGATTCTTGAGTGTTTAGCAGTCATAACCTTTGTTGGTGGGACCAATGCAGAGCAAACCGAGAGATCTATGCAAATAATCTGGCAAATGATTCACCCCAAACTCGGTTCTAATGTATGCATCTTACTCTTGCCTCTTCAAATAGTCTACCATTTCATTGCTATTTTGGTTTATTAAGTAAGTTGTTTGTTTAATCTAAAGTATATACTAGGTTCACATGTAAGTTGGCATTTTGTGTAGGTTGTTGCAACCAAACCTTCACCTGCTGTAATAACTACTGTTGTCTCTTCCTGGGCGTTTCTGCTCACAACAGTTAATCGATGGACCCTAGGTCCCAAAATTTGGCTAGAGTAAGTGGAGCTTCGTGCATTTATTTGACCTATTGTCACTTATTAATGGAATCATTAGCTGATTAGATATCGATGTGATTGCAGGATCGTAACTTATCTCTCCTCACTGTTGGAAAAAGATGATCGATCTGTACGTATAGCTGCTGGTGAAGCGCTTGCTATTATATTTGAGTTGGGAACTCTAGAGAAGTTCGCTGCCGAAGCCAAAGGGTCTGCTGCTAATGGATCAATGAAAGAAGGAACTGTGTCTCCGGAGGCGTTGATAAACATGCATGGCTTGAAATCTAAAGTCACTAATCAAGTTAGAGACCTCTCTGCAGAGGCAGGTGGTAAAGGCTCTGCTAAGAAAGATCTCAACACCCAGCGAAATTTGTTCAGAGATCTTGTTGAATTTTTTGAGGTATTACCTTCACCTTTTTCTTTGATTATATATAGGCTCTTGATATGATGACTCTTGTGGTCGGATTATTTATATGTGATATGTTTTAATTATGATTAGGGTGGATACGCACCTGAAACCTCTACAAAGGTTGGAGGGGACCTTTTACATACAACAACGTGGTATCAGATGATACAGGTTTGTCTCAATCTTTACAGGACTTGTTCTGTTCTTTGTCTTTCTTGTGACTGGTTTTAACATATACACATGTTGTGTTTCCAACAGTTGAATTTTTTGAAGCATTTCCTTGGGGGTGGCTTCATCAAGCATATGCAGGTATTTGCCTTTGTTTCCAAGTGTCTCCACTCTCTCTTAGGTTTTGTTTGATCTTTAGAAGCTGACGCTTTTGCTGTTTCATTCAAATTTGTGGCAACCAGGAGAATGAATTCCTTCATGATGTATTCAGTTTCACTCCAAAGAAGAGTGGACGAGGGTCTGCTATGTCCACTGACGAAAAGGTTCGTTTGTGACTTGACTTCATTCCCCTTTGTTCCTTTAATTGCTAGGCAGAGATTATTTTCAGGTATTAACCATTTTATGTTCTCATCCGCTTATTTGTTGCAGAGGTTGTTTAAATCACCAAACTCAGCTCTCAACAAAGCAAGGACACAATTCCTGAACCGGCAGAGGATGTTAGCTAAGGTATTTTAAACTGCAGTTGATTATTGTCTTCTCTGGACATTTTTGCTGTACATTAAAAAATAACGAAAATGTGTTTTTGTTTCCTATTACAGAACATGAACGTTGGACATTACGCAGCCACGGTGGAGAACGAAGGATGATGACGGCTTTTATTATTAATTATTAATATAATCTCATCCGCTGTTTTGTTTGGTGTTGTCACTTATACTGTTTCAATGTTTTGATTATATTTTCACCGTTGCTGTTTCACCTTCGGAATTGGTCCTTTGATGATATTTTTACATCACTTTTATAAGTCTATTTCATTATTGTCTGTCACCTATATTATGGAGATTGTTTATTGAATTTTATATGGAAACCCGTTTAGTCAAGAAAGTGAAAGATGCAAAACTTTCTAACGCAATGGATGAGAGAAACAGTATTTCATTTAAGTTAAAAAAAAAAAAGCACTCCTAAAATGTAAGAAAAAAGCAACTAGTTTCCAGGACCATTTGGGATATCAAACTTCCATGGCCGGAGAAAAAAAATTTGGTCCCTCTCAAAGCTAAAAAGGAACCACATGTCTAATAATAATAATATGCTTTGACTTAGTGTGAACCAACGGGGATCATCTTCAAGGCAGCAGCAACAGGCATGCCAAGGAACCCTAGCACGATGCTAACGAACCATTGACCCCAATTTAGTGGTGTTGTATCTGCAAATGTACCCAGTAGCTCGATTATGATGACTTGAAACACCACCGTACACGTTAGAACCCCTACGAATACGTAGTTCTTTAGTATCCCCTTGAACACGTCAATCTTTTCCATTTCCCTCGAGCTTATCTCATTGAATACCTGAAAAAAAAGGATTATACGTAGTATGAGAGAAGATGGTTAGCGTCAAAATGTTGGTTGGTTATTATTTCTTTTTTAAGATTCAGATTTGAGGGAAGTATCATTACCTGGCAGAAGACAAAGGTGTTGAAGATAAGGGTATTAAGTGTCAGATCAGAGTCGAGGCCATCGAGACCAAACATTGTCTTTCCCTTTGTTTGAAGACACCATATGATGGCAAGCTGGTATAGTGACTGGCCAAGGATGTTCCTCCACATCACATTACTTATGAAGTTTCCTTTCCTTCCCACTGGAGTTCTCTTCATCAGGTCGTCCTGTGGTGGTTCGGTGGCTAGCGCGAGCGCTCCAAGTGTGTCCATTATCATGTTAACCCACAGTAGCTGGACAGCTGTCAGAGGCGCGTTTCCTGTGGCACGCATCAGCAATCAATGCAATGACGAGTTAGTTATAATCTCTAAGGAGATTGGTCTTTCGAACAATGTGAAAACAAATATGGTTTGGAACTAACCAGTAAGGCAGGCTGATAAGAAGTTGACAATAAGAGCCACAACGTTTACTGTCAGCTGGAACTGAACAAATTTCTGAATGTTTATGTACACAGAACGGCCCCATTTGGCCACCGTGACAATCGTCGAGAAGTTATCATCTAGGATAATCACATCCGCACTCTCTTTTGCCACCTACGAATATTTGACAATAAAAAAAATGAGAACGCTATTCCTCTTTGAATGAACTGGAACTATGTATCTGAGAATCTAGAGTCGAATGTACTGTACAGATTATTTTTTACTAGGGGGAGATTTTTTCATAAACCAGATGATAAAATAGGGACAAGGAAGACTGAGGACGCACCTCAGTTCCAGAAATGCCCATAGCAAGTCCAATATCAGCCTCATGAAGGGCAGGAGCATCATTTGTCCCATCACCTGTCACTGCAACGACTTCCTGAAACATTGTACGGAGGTGTCTCACCAAAGTATGCTTATCCATAGGTGACGACCGAGCCATCACCTGCAAGAAGGAAATGAATGTTTGAATCCCTTGTAAAAAAGTATGTCCTAAGGAATTTGTAAGAATCAATTGGTTCTGAGCTACCAACACAGACTGCACAATAGAGTATAGTTTAATACTAGTAACATGTGTTTGACAGACGATCACCTGCAAATTTGGGATTAGCTTGAGCAATTCCTCTTCACTTTTCTCCCGAAATTCGGGGCCTTCGATAGCTATGCCATCATCAGTCAATATCCCGCACTCCCTGGCTATGGCCTTTGCAGTAGTAATGTTATCTCCAGTAACCATTCTGACAGTGATGCCAGCAGATCTACAAATCGCAACAGACTCCTTGACACCAGGGCGAACAGGGTCTTTGATCCCCACAATACCTATACAAGTGTATCCTCCGCTTGGAAGAGGATCTTCTAAGGAAAATTCATCACCGGTTTCCAGATAAGCGAGGCAAAGAGTTCGAAGTGCTTCACTCGCAAATTCTTCGATTACGTTCTTCAGGTGACTAGTAGATTCTTCATCAAGGGGAACAACTTCACCATCTTTGTTGACGTACTTATCACAAGCATCTAAAACTATCTCAGAAGCGCCTTTACAATGCACCCGAAAATGTCCTTCAGGCAGCTCAATGACAACTCCCATTCTTTTCTTTGTAGAGTTGAAGGGCTCAACTTTCACAACATTTGAGGCTTGTCTTTCTCCTTGAAAGTCACCTCCGAGTGACAACCCAAACTCTAACAGAGCAGTTTCTGTGGGAGATCCCAGTATCTCGGTTTTGTTTCCTTTGCCCACAACAATCTCACCACCTGTGTTAGTAAATATGGATTGCAGTAGAACTTTCACAGCAGGCTCAGGGATACTAGAGGCAAACTTCCTAGCAGCATCAGAACCATTAACCTCTTTGGCTTGTTCACAGATGCAGGCTTTTACAACTGTCATGTGATTTGTTGTCAGAGTTCCAGTCTTGTCGCTACAAATAGTTGTTGCAGATCCCATCGTCTCGCAAGCAGCTAGATTGCGCACTAGCGCTTTGTCATTCATCATCTTTTTCATGGCAAAAGCAAGACTTAATGTCACAGCCAACGGCAGACCCTCTGGGACCGCAACCACAACAATGGTTACAGCAACGGCAAAGTATTCCAGCACCGCCATCAATTCTTCACCAGTCCAGACCCAGTGAGAACCATCTTGGAGCTTCCGAGTAGCCAATCCTTGCACCAGAACAGCAAACGTAATGACAGCGAAAAATAGACCTATTTTACCAATGATGGTTGCCACACCGTTTAGTTTTACTTGCAAAGGTGTCTCATCATCGCCACCTTCACTTAGTGTAGCCATCAGTTTACCCCATTGAGTCCTCATTCCAACTGTAGTCACCAACATTTTGCAAGATCCATCCTGAACCTTGGTACCAGAGAGAAGAAAGGGGTGTTCAACACTGACACTAATCGGTTCGCTTTCTCCGGTCAAGCTCGATTCATCAATCAGAACAGAGAACCCTGAGATAAAAAGCCCATCAGCTGGAACCTGGTCTCCAATGCCAAGGTGAACAATATCGCCAGGCAGTAGATCATATATCGAGATTTTTTGCCTCATTTTGTCTCTAGTAACCTGAACCACAATCTTCTTCTTCTCTGCATCCAGGTCCTTGAATTGCAAGGACTGCCTATAATCACTGGTGGCGGTGACAAACACAACAAGCAGAATACTCGCCACTATACCAAGTCCGTCATGGGCACCAACTGGCCAACCTTCCATCAGTATCCCAACGATGAGCGACACAAAAGCGCATGCAGCTAGAATCATGAGTGTGGTATCCTGAAGGGCTTCCCAAACAAATAACCAAAAGCCACGAATGGGGCTTTCTGTGAATTGGTTGATTCCGTAAATCTCTTTCCTTAGACTCAGCTGCTCTTCAGATGAACTAATGCCACTAGTAATTGACGTAGAGAGCTTTTCTGTGAGCCCCTCAGTTCCGCCATGAACTTTCAGCTTTTTCACATCGTGGCCCTCTACAATAGATCCCAACTCATCAGGACAAATCTCAAATCCTGCTTTTCTCACTTCCTCAGGTACTGTGTACTCACTGGACACCTTTAAGCCTGCAAGCACGCAGCACATTCTCGTTAAGGAAAGAAAACACATACAGAACCAACACTAAGGACTAGTCTAAACTCACCATTAATGAACTGGAGTGCAGCTTGTGAAACTAAGACCGCCACTCGAAATTTTTCCTGCATTCATAAGGTTGACAAAGGAAAACAGTATGAGAAGAAAGCACAAAGGAACAGTAAGCCTTTATATCTCTAATTAACGCCTCATTCTTACTAGCAAGCACCAAAAGTATAGCCTCAACTCTTAACGTCTTAAATTAGGAACAAAACCTTATGTAATCTCCGTCATACCTATAGTGATAACTCACACGCAAGTTTTAAGGTAACGATGATACTAAAGTAAAATGTAATTCGCCATTTCAGTCAAAAGTTTCAAATCCAACAGAAAGATCCGAATACTTACTAAAACCAGCTCACTAAGATGAGATCCCACCATTTTCAAAAAAAAAAAAAAAAAAGGATATCCCATCCAAAAAGAAACAAAACGAAGAAGAAGAAGAAGAAGAAGTAGGTGGGTCTAAAAACAGTGAGTCAACCAACCAAAAACTCGGAAGTGCATTTGACGCAAGAGATCCCCAAGAGTATGTAAGCAGAAACAGAGAGATTGAAACCAAAACTGAGGGAAGACGCACCTGATTGGAACGGCGAATCGCCTCCGCCTCGGAACGCTTGGAGAGATTGGCCGTGAATCTGAACCTCCTTTTCGGATTCTTCACGATCCAGCAGAGCTTCCTCCAACGCTGCAACGCCTCATCCGACGAGTTCTTCGGCTTCACATCGCCGAAGTTCTCGTTCAAGTACTTCTCCATTTCCTCAGCTTACTACTACACTCACACTTCCCCAACAACGAGCAAATCCTCAGCTTACTTCACAGGAGAGAGATTAGAGATTAGAGATTGGAGAGAGAATCAAGGATCTCGTAAATCGAAGAAGCAGAAGATATTAAATATAAAAACAAGTCACTGAAAAACTCCATTATATATATAGAAACCGGAAAAGGATAAAAAAGGAAAGAAGCAGTGAAGATTCATTCCATGGGAGCTTTCAGTTACTTACCCTTACTCGTCAAGAGAAATCGATGCTTAACGCGTCTTCTCGCACTTAGTGAGCTTCGTCGAAGCTTCCTCTGAAAAAGGGGTTTTTTCAAGTTTAAAGAAACTCGTTTACTCAGGGATGACTCGGAAGAGTCAAGAAAGTAACGTTGCTAAACTTTCTTTTTTTTACTGGCTTTGACTTTTTTTACACAGCTAGATTTATGATCACTTTTTTTTTTATTAATTGATTTGATGATAACTTAACTAATACTATAATTTTATCATTTTCAATATAGATCGAAACAGCAGTTACCGTCACATAGTTGTATATAGAGTTTATAGACCGAAAAAGAAAAAAAAAACTTTGAAACAGTAACGGGTTTGAGAAAAATTAGAAATACGATGCAGGTTTGCCTGTAGCTCCGTTATTGTTTCAAATTTTTTTTTCGAAAGTCATATAAACTGCATTTTAGCTGGATGAACATATTCTGATTAACTAACAAAACATTTCGGTTTTACAGCAAAAATATAACCATCGAAGCTATAATATAAGTTGTGAAGGAAAAAAACTGCCCCAAACTTGATTTCTTAGTCGCTCCAGTTGTCTTTATCTTCGGCAACTTCATCTTGCACCTGCAATAGACAAAACCGTGATCAATGAGACATCCCTCACCTTACTCGTGTAATCTCTAACACACCAACAAAAATTGGAGTGATTAAAATTAGCTTTAACCATTTCGCCTTCCATGGTTCCGCCTGGTGACCACACAAGTATTTGTCTATCTGCACCACCTGTGTATAGTTCCTATGAGCAAGCAAACATAACGAGTCAAGCAAACTTACAAAGTCAAATGACTCGGAAGATTTGGGAAGATTCAAAGGATTGAGTTTATACCTGATCAGTGGAATTGAAGCAGCAACAGTTCACGCTTTCGTAGTGTCCACGAAACATCAGTCTTGTTTTACCCGACCACATGCCAAAAGCCTTGTATACATTTATATGCAACACGAGTCACTGAATAATCCAAGTAATGGAATGAAAAGTTTATTTGATAAATAGTAAGTTGGTGCCTACCTTCACAGTCTTCATGCACGGGACAAATACAAGAGCTGGATCATCGCTTGTAGCTAACTGAATCGCTTTGTTGGTCTGGATGCGTCCAGTTTCAAAGTTCAAAAGGGTATTGCATCCAGATTCAGTATCCCATAATCGTATTCTTGAATCCGACCCTGAAACATAAGCGGGAAATGCAGGAGTCATTAACTCATTATAAACTCTTTAACTGCAGTAGAAGAGGAGACACTTAATCCGTATTAGCATTAGTAAGCAGTTCTTGCGACCATAAACTGATAAAGTTCACTAAAAGCGATCACTTACACACAAATTATGAAATGCTACTTCTAGGGTCCAATGACAACATAACTAAAGAACAAAAAGTAGTCATGCCATAGGAAGCTTACCAGCACTAAGAAGATACATCCCATCATTAGTTGCCTTCAATCCAGTAACAGCACCATAATGAGCCGTAGCACGATCTAGAGTAGATAACATTCCAGGGTGAAGTCTCTTCTGTCGAGATTTCTCCACTGAAGCTTTAGCGCTATATGATCCCTTTATAATCTGGCTGCCAGTGTGTTTACTTTGCAGTGATTTCAACCTATTTTGTGCCCCCGAAGAAGACTTTGCTGACTTCTTTCAGGAAGTTTACACAGGAAAAAAAACAATAAGAAATTCATAACTCTTCTGTCTTTTCAAGAAATATAAAGCAGTTAAAAGAAAGTTCAAGTTTTAAGGAACAAACCTTACTGCTAACCGCTGTGTGCTTTAAAACTGGTGGTCGAACCCCAAGTTGTGTTACCGATTGATCTAGAACACGGAAGCATCCAGCACGTCTAATGTCCCAAAAACGTATTGCACCATCACATCCTCCAGTGTACAAAACCCATTCGCTGGAAGTAGACCATTCCACTGACATAACACCATCTGTTGTATCATGACAACAATACAATTTAGTAGCATATTTCTAATCTCTTAAACTAGTGAAATTCGGATATGCAGATAAGCATGAGTCTAGTATCTCGTTGTTCCACTAGTCATCAATTCAACACCAATTCATATAGAAATCTGATTTACTTTCCTTTAAAAGGAACATAAAAAAGCAAACATACCACGGTGACCAGATAACGTGTGAGAGAATGCCCCAGAAGCTATATCACAGAGGCGGACCTGCACATCTTCAGTTCCAGCAGCAATCAACGTGTGAGACATTGCCAAAGAAGACATGGCAGTTCTATAAACCTTTCCAGGCATTTTAAAATCCACAACCGCCTAAAAAAGCATATCATAAAAGTCACAATTAGAGAGGCTGAAAAAAAGACATGAAAACCGTAAGTGCAAAAACTTTGTCGAAATGAGGTTGGTACCTGTGCAGTATTGGTATCCCAGACTTTTATGTAATGATCATATGAACCTGTAACGAACAGCCCAGTGTCAATGGGGTACCATATGGCAGAGGATATCGCATATTTATGTCCATTTTCATGTTGCTTGTCGACAGTAAATATACACTTGTGCTTCGCAATAAGACCACTTGCCTCGTACTCAGTGGCCCGCTGAATATCAAATACAGCAGCAGAGCCATCTGATGCTCCTGAGAGCAAGTATCTCCCCTCTGTCAAATCAGCCTGATGACATGGTTAACACAATATCGAAAGGCACTCCATATTCACCTTATCAAGGAAGAAACAACATCTACCACAAAACATGAGTATACTCTAGAAATAGCAGACCTATTGTAACTCTAGGGATAAGCTTCGAATTCCAAAACTAAACTTCAGCGATCATTCAACACTCGCGTTCAAAATCCTAATCCCAGAGTAGATTCAGCAGTTCATGTTCTTAACCATACCCTATGCCTATTAGCTTACTGACGATCATTGAACAACCCAAAGTAGGAAAGATTTAGTGATCTCAATTCTTAATTTCTCACCATGTCTCTGAGATTCCCAAAAGAAAACCATAACAGGGAGTCAAACTATCTGTGAGTGGAGAGTAAGGAGTACCTGAAGGGAGTTAACGGAGCCACGGTGAGGAGAAACAAAATCTTTTCGATTAGAGAGCTGGAGAGACAAAATCCGGCGGGATTTGAATTGATTGACGAAGGAATTAGAACGAACTCGACCAGTTTCTCTGCCTTGGATAGCTTCCCACATTCTCCTAGCATCTCCGCTTCTTATTCTCCTGAAATCTATCCGAGTTCGAATCTCCGCTCATGCTCCAGCTCCAACGCCCTAAAGAAGTTTCTGACGAATTCGACCAGTTTTTCTGAAGAATTTGATCTTCTTCTGCAAAAGTTTTCTCTCGCGAAGAAAAGATGACGAAAGCTGCAAAACGAAAGAAGGAAGCAAAATCTGAAAGTGAATATAACCTTTTCCGGTATATATAAACCTTCGGTTAATTTATTTTGGAAATATATATTTCTTCTATTTACTTAAGATACATAAAGTTAAGTAGATTATTTCTTTTATTGGACATCCCATAGTATTTTAGAAATATATATTTCATAAAGTTAAGTAGATTACAAATGTTCATTAGCGTTTAGTGTTTGCTTTGCAGAAGGAGTTCAAAATCGAAAATCAATGAGGAAGAAGGCGGAACCAGGCCCAAACAGCATAGTTATGTGATAAGCCAAAGTTTCGACACATCAGTAGTGAATACCAAAATGACAAATGTTGTAATATTCATTCGCGTAATCGTCTTTGAGGAACAAACTAAATCAAAATAACGTTGACATCTCAACAAAGAAGGTAGCCATATGATTAAAACATACATTTGTCAACTAACACCATTTTGATTGACAGAGACAATCATTTGGCACCTTGTTTTTAATTAGTAATGTTTATATTAATGAAAGATGTAGTATGTTTTTAATATGCTTACCACCTAAGCTTAATCATCAAGTGGATTGTCATACGGGTCATACGGTATGACTCATACTCATACCTATTGCCATCGTGCCGACTATTAAGATCCGACCCGGTTCTCCATGTACAGTCGGTATGCACACATGATATGTCAAATCTAGAAACATTAAAAGCACTTTTTAACTTACGACACCTTTTGTTTTATATTGTCATCAACTCTCTTACAAGTTTAATAATTAATGCCATATTGCCATGGTACACAAACAAAGCTAACAAAGTGAACTTTTTTTTTTGTTAAAGGATAAGAAAGTGAACTTAAATGTATGTGATTTAGTTTGGTTTCAATTAAATCTCAAAATCCATATGATAAGCACTTTTTGAACGCTTTCGGTTTCAATCTGGTTTAATTGACATTGTAAAATCAATTTGGTTTTCAGATTTTGAATTAGTTGACCTTTTCAACATCCGGTTAGCAATATTTATTCGACTTTTCCTGCATTCGTAAAATATATATTGAGAACCCAGTATATATATATATATATATATATCACACAAATCTTCACATTTATTTATAGCTATGGGTATATGACAAAATAAGCTTTCACACGAGTCAAATCGACATGTATGCTGGTATAAATTTTGTCACATATAAAATTTTAATATCAGACTATAATATGATATTGCATATTTTTATTGGGTTTTTAATTTTAAAATTTTAAATAAACTCTTAAGTCGCAAATGGCGCGGCTAAAACCTAACAAAACTGTATTATTTTAAATTACATAAATAGTTATAATGCCGCCATTATTAGACCAATGATAAAAGAGATAAGATCCATAATTGCGTATTAGTGAATCTTGACCTTATTAATTGAAGTCAGTTCGTTTATAATTTACGTGGAACATAAATAAAATAACTGGAGCAAAATTTAAGTCACCTGAAAAAATGTTCCATCACAAAGAGGCTGCATTCTTGCAATATTTATAGAAGAGCCCCAAACTTTAAAAACTACAGGCCAACCCCACTTGTCTCATATGAAACAAAACAAAAACTTTAAAATAAAATGTTCAGAATCCGGATCATAGATACGTAATGACTAATTACATACCAACTGCATATGATTATTGTATGAACGGTTACTTTATAATTTTTTAATTATAATGGTAATGGTTTTAAAATGATCTCTATATCATGGTTATATGAGCTAAAAGAGAATCCAATTTTTTTTTTCAAAGAATCCAAATTATATTATGTTAAATAAGATAACATGAAGAGGCTCTAATTTGAATACTCCCGAAAAGCAAATGGGTTTCTTTTAAGGAATTTTGTATGTCATGTACGATTTAGGATATTTACCAAGTTTGGGGGGTTTTGCAGTAATTGTCGTAAAAAATCGAAAAAAGAGTTATCAGAATGAGCTCTTTCGTCTGCATCCAAGTCTCTGCCTTTAATCAGAGCTTCGGTCACGGTTTCCAGAAATAATTACGATCACATAAACACAAAAGCCCCAAAAGCTCGAGAAAAGAGAAGTCTGTAGAATTAGAGAGAGAAGGTGAGAAAAAGAGAGAAGCCAGCTTTGTTGCGGTGCAAAGAAGCAAATCTGACAGTTTGCAGAAACAAGAGAGGGCAAGGAATCGAAGATTTGGTTCTTCTTTCAGAGGAAGCAAAGTAAATGCTATAGCAATTTAACATTTTCTTCACTTGCTTTCACTGAGGAGAGAGAGAGAGAGAGAGGAAAGTGCGCGAGCAAATTCCGTCGGGGAAGGAATGGAATCGATCTCACTCGGGTCTCTGCTATTTTGATCTGTACGGAATTAGCTTCTTCATTGTTCTCTAGTTTCGGCCTTTGAGGACCTGGGTTTGATCCGTAAGGCCGAGATCTTTCCATTTCTGAAGAGGGCTTCTGGTTAATTCTGGTAAGTTTCAAGCTTCTGCAGATGGTAGAATTTGGCGAGCTCCAATTGCAGTTAGAGCAAGTTATCGAAGGATTGGAGCTAGGGTTTATATTCTAGAACAATCTTACTCTGTCACGAGTTTGTTGTTAAAAAATTGTGAAAAAATTTAGGGTCTTTAGGTCAATACTGCTGAGCTTTGTCTTTTGTGTTAAGATTTGACTTTCTCTGCTCCAGAAGCTGATCCCATCTATCTATCAATTGACTATTCATTATTTTCAGGTGGTTTCAGTTTTGAACCCGTTGAGCCTGAGGGATATATATGTTTGGATTCATATGTGATTACAAAAGACGCGGCGCCTATTGGCCAGAAGTGAATTGTGGTCTATCAGGCTAGCGTTTCCTTTTGAGGTCGTACAGTTGTTGAGTAGTTAGGACAGTAGAGATGCCTCCTTCCCCGGCATTGAGATGCTCTCCTGGCAGGGAACTTCCAGGGAAGAAACACAGACGAGGACACAGCATTGAGTATGGGATACTATTCAGGGACAACGACGAAGATCTTGCGTTGTTTAATGAGATGCAAGACAAAGAGAGAGATGGTTTCTTGCTTCAGTCATCGGATGATCTTGAAGATGCATTTTGTAAGTTTGTTTTACTGGCTGCAAATCATTATATTTATTTTTCCTTTGATATGGGCTTAGATTGTTTCTGTTATCTGTCTCACCAATTCTTTTTTTTTTTTTCTAATTTTGGACATTTCTCTTCAGCTACAAAGTTGAAGCACTTTTCGGAGTTCACCATTCCTGTTCAAGGAGAGAGTAGCAGATTGCTGAGTGCAGAAGGAGATAAGAACGACTATGATTGGTAGCTTTCATATCTAACCTGGATCGTTTTTTTATTTTTTTTCTGGTTCATTGTTACAACAGATTTATAAACGTACTTTCAGTCCAATCGAGATCGAATTTAAATAGGGCATCTCCTTACTTTTGCTAATACTCAAAGACGTATGCTTCTCCATTCTGATTCCATAAACTTCTTGCTGGCATTGCTGTAGTATTTTGTTTTGCTCTTTTGGATGCCTATATTGTTTCAATCATTGTCTTCTTACAAAGCTTACTCCATGAAAGGTTGCTGACGCCTCCAGACACTCCACTTTTTCCTTCATTGGATGACGAACCGCCAGCAGCAACTGTTGTCAGAAGAGGGAGACCGCAGAGTCAGATTTCATTATCTAGATCTTCCACGGTATTCATCTATACGTAATTGAATGTTATTCTATGTATAACACTGATGGTGGTCTCGAACCAGATCTTGCTGTATCTCCTAATTCGCTATGCTGAATATGCATATATACATGTGTAGATGGAGAAGAGACGCCGTAGTAGTAAGGGTAGTGCAAGTCCTAATCGCTTAAGCACATCACCTCGAGCGGACAATATGCAGCAGATAAGGGGACGGCCATCATCAGCACGCCATCCTAGTCCCGCGTCTGGTCAACGATCGGTTACCCCAGTTAGGAGGATTTCTCCTACTCCAGGGAAACCCTCAGGACCTGTGTCAAGATCTTCGACCCCAACTTCACGAAGGATGAGCACTGGTTCAACTACCATGGCGTCGCCAGCTGTCAGAGGCACTTCTCCTGTCAGTTCTAGTCGAGGCAACTCTGCTTCACCCAAAATAAAAGTGTGGCAGTCAAACATTCCTGGTTTCTCCTTGGATGCGCCACCAAATCTCCGAACTTCTTTGGGTGATCGACCGGCGTCCTACGTAAGAGGTTCCTCACCAGCATCCAGAAATGGCAGGGATGCAGGCTCAACACGCAGCAGACAATCTGTTTCGCCGAGTGCTTCCAGAAGTGTCAGTTCATCTCACAGTCATGAGCGTGACCGGTTTAGCTCTCATAGTAAAGGCTCTGTAGCATCATCTGGAGATGATGATCATCATTCTATACAGTCTATTCCCGTAGGTGTCTCAGAACGTGCAGTTTCAAAGAGAGCTAGCCTTTCTCCAAATAGTAGAACTTCTAGATCTTCAAAATTACAGTCACCTGGTTCAGCACCGAGAAGACCGTTTGAGTCTGCTCTTCGTCAATTGGTACATATTAAGCAGCACACTGCACTATTTTCTTTTTCGTCCATTATTCTATGAATTTTCATTACCTTTTAAAAAATCAGGTTTTACACTGCCTGCATCAGCATGTTTGCACTTGTGACTTAGTTTTCTAACATACCACAAGCAGTCTATGAGAAAACATCATAGAACATTGTTGTTAGTCTGTCACATCTACCACAAAAATAGCTCATCTCTAAGTTCCCATTTGTTTTCTGTTACATTTCTTAGATTCCAAAGTCCCTGCTGCGTAGAGTACAGATAACACACATTAACTTCAGTGGAAATTTTAGTAGTTTTCCCTCGTTGAATATGCAGATATGTGAATTTTTTGTTTATGATCTACATTTTTAATGCAGGATCATCCTAAAAGCCATCATAGCATGTTTAGGCCTCTTGCTTCTAGCCTTCCTAGCACAGGCATATATTCTGGGAAAGGTAGTTCGTCTTACCATCACATTATGTTAAGACATTCTTCTGCAACGGTGGGGAGCAATTCAAGTTCTAGCCAAGTCACAGGGTTCATGGCAGATACTAAAGGGAGCGATCCAAGCCCTGTTTTCCAATCTGAAGTTGAAAATTTGGCTTACCCTGATAAACATGGAGAAGTTACTGCCTTTGGCATGGTGGATTTATTGAATGAAGGTAGTAGACATGAGAGTTCTTTCAGTGATCATCCTGGTGATATGGATCAAGGTTATGCTGTTGAATGCGAGTCTAGTGTGAATGAGGAGATCAACCACCATGTTTCTGATGGTGAAAATAGTCCGACTCATGCTAGTCTTCATGTAGGCAATGACTTTATAGAAGGGGTCGCTCTTGAAACTACGGAGTTGTGTGTTAGATGTGGTTCCCACTATCGTGCCACTGAAGCAGCTAGAAGCGAGATAAATATTTGTCCAGATTGCAGGGAGGAACACAATTTCGTGGAAACAGATTCCCCTGGAACACCAAAAGCTCTTGACAATTCCCCGAAGCAGTCTCAGGAAATTTTCGATGAAAAGGAGTCCTTTGTTGACCAAATTCCCGCGATAAATGTTCTAGAATCGCTGCCTGTTGCTTCGGAGGCAGATATAGTGGAGACGCGAGAGAACATTGAGCAAGAGCAAAACCATCTGCACGAGAGCTCTATTTCCAGGGATTTGGAAGAGCAAGCTGGGGAGACATTCATTCACCAGGATGATATTCAGTCTTCCACTGGCTGTGGTCTATTGAGTACAGACACAAAGGATACCCAAACTCAGCTTTCTGATACGCACAATGATGTGAAGATTAGTTCTTCAGAAATTAGGGGCGTTCCTTTGCTTATAAAGAGATCGGTCAGTATGAAGTCACCTTTCATGCAAGCTAATAACTCCAGTGGGTTTACCAGATCATATGAGGGCTTTTCTTATTTAAGAGATAAAAGTACGAGTCTTAGAAGCTCCACGGAAACTACTTCAGCATCTTCGTCTTGGGATTATGGTTCCTCTATAAGAAAGGGAAGCCATGTACGACATCAAAGCGGGAGTACCCTTGACATGGAAACTCATAGGTATGATACCAACTCCAAGTCCCTGAGCAGCATGTCGTCTTCATCAGGCGTGTCAAGCCACATCTGCCAGGCTCTAAATGTCATGCCAGCGGACAGTTTTGAAGTGTGTGCTGCCCAAATGACATGTACACACGATGAAAGTCATCAAGAATTTCATCCTGAGCTCCAAGATTCGGAATGTAAAGAAAGCAATGTGATGAATGCTGATTTGGGTGAAAGTGATGGACCAATTGGTCTTTCCTCCGATGTAGTTGGTGCTCTAGCAGAGCATAATCCGGTGATAATAGACAATGGATTTTGTGAAAATGGAGATGATGTAGCCAATACTGTGATGAGCAAAGTGGAGATAAGCGAATCTCCGGCACATGTAAGGAGCACATCAGAATTAGGCGCATCACCTGTCACTGATGATTGCTCTCTCTATGATCACTCTAGGCTACAAGAAGAGGATGGAAACGAAACTCTTAACCACGGTTTATCTACCACGACAGCCTCAGAAATAGAACCCGAGAGTTGTGAACACGAAACACCTGCTTTAGGGGTTCATGATGAAATTCCAGAGTCAGAGTGCAACCTAAATGCAGTGGATGACTGCTCAGAGAGTAGTATGGCACATGCTTCTATGGATCACCACAACTCCTTGGCAACTGTAAACGAAATTTTAGGTATTTACTCGATTTCCTGATACTGTCATCTCACTGTTTGTTGTTTGTATTTTTCTCACGACCTTGCGAAGTTTGAACATGGTTTCTTGCTCTGTGCAGATGAGTCAACCGTAATTGTGGAGTGTCCAGATAGAAAAGAGCCGAAGAGCCTCACACTTGAAGAAGCCACTGATACAATTCTATTCTGCAGCTCCATTGTTCATGATCTAGTTTACCAGGCTGCGACAATAGCAATGGATAAAGCAAAGGATGTGCCAGCGGAAGAAGAAATGTTGCGTCCAACAGTGACAGTACTTGGAAAGTCGAATGCGAACAGGAGTAGTTACGGACGCGGGGGCGGAACAAAGGCGAAGAAACAGAGTTCGAAATCCGCAAGAGCGAGCCGGAAGCAAACGGAAACAGAGGAGAAAGCAGAAGTGCATATAGAGAACGATGAAAATGCAGGTGAAGCAGCGATGATACGTAACGTTGGAGTACCTCCTAGTAAAGGAGAGAATTTGAAACCGCCTCCTAAGCTGGAGAACAAATGCAACTGCTCCATAATGTGATGTGACCATTTTTTTACTTAGTAAAGTTTTATGTTGTTTGTTCATAAAGTAAGTTTGTGGTTGGTTGGCTACTTTGTTGTTGTTGTTGTCTGGGTTTTCTTTGTTCTTAAGGTTTAGAGTATTTTACGTTTGTTGCAGCTAATTTGTGAGAGGAAACCACGATTTCAGTTGCCGGTTAGTGGCACGAATTGTAAAGTTTTTTTCTATTTTCATTTTGATTTGATTATTATCTTGATGTGTACCAATAAACTTTTTTTTTGGTTTTCCAATAAAATATTTTGTACTAATAAACCTTTTTTTGGCTGTGAATGATTAATTATTACTGTCATTTTATCAAATTAAACGCAAAACAAAAATCAGTCTAGTCGATTATCAAGTGATGATAATATAATATCTAATTTGAATTTCCGTTACAAAAGAAAAAAGGGTACTGTAAATTTTCTTTAATCGCTGACTGATTTTTTTTAATTTTTATTTTTAGTGATTCAGGATTCTCAATTTGGAAATTGACAAAAGTGTTTCAGACGGGAAACGAAGAACGCTGGCGGGAAAACGAGGAAGAGCGGTAAGGACCTTAAAACCCAAATTCTTAAAATGATTTCGCAAAAGTAAAATTTCAATGGATTCCGATTCAGACTCTGACGGTTCTCATGTCTCCGCCACCCCTCCCCGAGACCCATTTCCGCCACCGCCGCCGAGGCTAGTGCCGCAGCCACCGCCGCCAAGGCAAGTGCCGCCGGTCTCCCGGAAAGTTGCGTCCTCTTCCTCTCGATCGAAGCCCAAATCACCTGTACAGCCGCAGCCTCCGGATCACTCTCAGGAAGCTTCAGGACCATCTCCCTCTTCTCCGCCACCATCATTATTCACCAATCTCCCCTTCCGGATCTGCGAACCCTCGAACCTATCCCAACCCGCTGGGTTTTCCTCTTCTGCTTCGTCCTTCTATCGACTCCGCAGAGCTTCTCTCACATCTGAAGAGAAATCGAAACCGGAATGCCAATCCGACGCCGTCAATTGTGTGCCGGAGCTCCCTCAGGTAGTAATCGCTCCTCCAAAACCCGTTAGGAGAAAGCCTCCTAATCTCATCACGGATTCTGTAACTTCTCCGCCGGTGAAAGCTCCGGTGGTGTTTCGTAGTGGCGGCGAGGGCAATTTCGTGAAATTGAACTTAAATGGCAAGAGAGGGAAGAAGTTCCCCAGCAAATACAAGGGCCCCTCTAAAAGAAGCAAGTTCGCATACAGAGGGAAGAGATACAAAAAGTCGGAAGGGGATGGTGAAGAAGGCGAATCCTTGTTGGAAGAAGAGTCTGATTTGCAGAAACAGAGAGAAGAAGAAGCTAATGGTTTCATCAGCTCGGTAGAGGATGCGGTTCTTTCAGTGAAGACTGAGGCTTCCGATGAGAATCTGACGAAGCTGTTGAATTTAGTGTATGGTTATGATTCTTTTCGAGATGGGCAGTTGCAGGCGATCAAGATGGTCCTTGCCGGGAGTTCAACGATGCTGGTGTTGCCTACCGGTGCCGGTAAGTCTCTCTGCTACCAGATTCCGGCAATGATTCTTCCGGGAATCACACTTGTAGTGAGTCCTTTGGTTTCTCTGATGATCGATCAGTTGAAGCATTTGCCTTCAATTATCAAGGGTGGTCTCTTGAGCAGTAGCCAGGTGTGTGCCACAGAATGTTGTTTGTTGCCTATTCTTCATCTTTGGGTCATTTTATTGTCTTTAAAAGTTTCTAATGGAGTCTGCTTTGGAAATTTGTGCCATTAGAGACCTGAGGAAGCAACAGAAACACTGCGGAAACTTAAAGAAGGCTTAATAAAGGTGTGTTGTTGTATAATAAAGTTTTGGACGGCTTGCTTTCGATAAGGCTGCTTGATAAAGTCTAAGGAAATCAGCCAGTGGATACCCTTGTGAAAGTATCTGATAGCAATTTGTGTTGTTTAATTGCAGGTTCTCTTTGTATCGCCTGAGAGACTTCTGAATGTAGAGTTTTTGTCAATGTTTCGCATGTCTTTATCTGTGTCACTTGTCGTTGTGGATGAGGCACACTGCGTGTCAGAATGGTGAGCTTCTTGGCATTTGGTAGATTGTTATTAGCCTTTTCCTTGTTCTGTTTTTCATGCTTCTGAAAAGCTATTCTAAACAGGTCTCATAACTTCCGCCCTTCATACATGAGGCTCAAGGCATCAATGCTGTATGCTGCACTCAAGGCAGATTGCATTCTCGCAATGACTGCAACCGCCACTACTATGACTCTTCAGGCTGTCATGTCTGCACTAGAGATACCGTCATCCAATCTTATCCAGAAGTCACAACTGAGAGACAATTTTGAGCTGTCTGTCTCATTGAGTGGAGCTAACAGGCAAGTTCCTTTGTTTATATTTCCACCTTTTGTGTTTTTCCTCTAGTTGTAACTGATTGAAATCTCAAATCTAACAGATTGAAAGATCTATTGAGTTTGATGGAGTCTCATCCATATAAGAAGATTCGGAGCATCATTGTGTACTGCAAATTTCAGGTGAGAGTGTACCTATTTAGTCATCAACGCCTGTTTTTATTTCTTACTGGATCATGCATTATGCTAACTTAAGCAACTTTGGGATGCGTTTTCGCAGTATGAGACTGACAAGATAAGCAAGTATTTACGCGACAACAACATCAATGCCAAGGTTGTTTCCATATTGAAATCTCTGATATACCTTTATCTATGGCTAATTACACTCTAATCAAGCTTAGCTCGACCTGTTATCCAGGGTTATCACAGTGGTCTTCCAGCGAAAGACCGTGTTCGCATACAGGAGTCATTTTGTTCCAACAAGATTAAAGTGGTGAGAAATATGTTCATTGATTACCATTGACAGTTAAGTAGATGCGAAATACGCCCTGTATTCTAATATTTTCGAATGTTATGGAAGGTTGTTGCAACTGTGGCATTTGGCATGGGACTTGACAAGGGAGATGTTGGAGCTGTAAGTCGAAATGCAAAGCCTTAGGATGCTTGAAAATATCTTTCATCTTAGAATGTAACAATCTACATGCTTCTAAATTTTCTGAGTCTGTTTTAGGTCATCCACTTCAGCGTGCCAGGCAGTTTGGAGGAATACGTTCAGGTTCAAACTTTTTTTCGTTTACAGGATTCTTTTCAAGCTTAGTGATCAGTTTACTTATACGGTCTCGAGAAATTAAATGTATTTGTTACAGGAAATTGGACGTGCTGGTCGTGATGGGCGGTTGTCCTACTGCCATCTCTTTTATGATGAGTACACATATCTAAAGCTTCGGAGTCTTGCACACAGGTGATTGGTGTGGGTATTATCATCTGTCCTCGCATTGCATTGAGAGGCTTTTCAACTTCTTACCTTTTTGTTTTTTCCCCCTACTTGTTCAGTGATGGTGTCGATGAATATGCAGTTGGAAAATTTCTCACCCATGTGTTCTCCTCTGAGACAAAGCAACATGAGAAGATATGCTCGTTAGTCATTGAATCTGCCTCTCAAAAATTTGACATGAAGGAAGAGGTATTTTCTGAAACATAATGACATTTCTTGAAACCCGTTTCTGTATCATCAAGCGTGCTCTCGTGAGATAGCGAGCAGGAATATTCGTTTTCATAAAGCAATTCTCTGACTTCTCACTGCGGATCTGGCAGGTTATGCAAACGATTGTGACACATTTGGAGTTGGGGGAAGTGCAATACCTACGTATGCTTCCTCAGCTTAACGTATGCTGCACTCTGAATTTCCACAAGGTAGTGAATCTATTAGCTGAATACATTCCTGTTCTTTGTGGTGCATGCTTGAAGCTTTTGATACTGAGAACATTGTTATGCTATATGTGCAGTCTTCTCCAAACACTCTGGCTGCACGAAATATCATAGTTGCAGCAATTCTGAAGAAGTAAATGTCTATCCACTGTCTATGGATGGCTTTTCAGATCAAGCGATTCTGAAGAAGTATTATAGTTGTAGCAGTGCTTGAAATATTTTCTGCTTTTCTCAGGTCTCACGTGAAGCAAGGGTTACATGTCTTCGATATACCAGCGGTGGCCTCTAGCATAGGTGTTGCAACAACAGATGTCTTGACTGAGATTCAAACTCTGAAGGTTGATACACTATTCTCGCCAATATGAATATGTGGTTTAGTACAAGATTTCTCAAGTTTCATTTCATCTTCATTAGCATATTTAACTAACACAGGAACCATGAATAATTTGCATGCACTAAAAATGAAGAAGAACCTTAAGTCCACAGAACAGAAGGACATATGAATGAACAAAACTGATGAACACATGAATTATCTTCACGAATATGACTCTAGGATGACATAGAAGAGATAATTAGTATACTTTTCACATTTGACGATGTTGTGTGTAAAATTATATAATTTCCAAGATCTTGTCCGTTGATATGTCCTTTAAATGATTGTAGATGAAGGGAGAAGTAACATACGAGATGAAGGACCCTGCCTTTTGTTACACAATCTTAGAATCTCCAAAGGAAATATGTTCGTTGTCCAGTCATCTTACCAAATGGCTCGCAGAGGTTGAAACTTGCAAAGTAAGCTCTTCAGCTTCATCAACTGCAGCTAACAGTTCCTCGCCTCTTCTGGTCTATCTATGTATAAGTTCCGACACTTGTGCTTTATATGTAGCTATAATGTTGCGTTTGATATAGGTGAGAAAACTAGATATTATGTCTAGTGCAGCCGTGGCTGCGATAAATGTCTCCAATACTTCAGAAGTTAGTTCTGGTGCCAAGCAAACTCAGAGCCTGCAAAGCAGAATTTTGGATTACTTCAATGGAGACGACAAGTGTGACATGCCGAGCAAGACGACTCAAAACTGGTACTAACACATTGTTTCGCTTCTTTTCATAGATTCCAAATATAAATAAGAAATTGGCGCTATTAAATTTCTTCCCCTACTTTTCTTTGTTCGTCAAAGTTGTCTTTCCATAAAATTTAAAATTGATCAACACTTATTATATTGTGGATGCAGCTCCTTTCTACGAGCAGATATAAAGGTGAAGGTCCAAGAAGCCACACTGTTCACTTTTTAATTATATTTTGCTATATACATCCAAAGAATGGTGAGTTAATAATGTTTGTGGGGTGCAAAAACAGGTGTTTTTGCAGAGTAATCGCCAGGCCAAATTCACGCCGAGAGCCATAGCGAGAATAATGCACGGAGTTGGAAGTCCAGCTTTTCCGAATTCAATATGGTCCAAGACTCATTTCTGGTATAATGATCATCACCATTTAAGCCAAGCCATGCATATGATTTGATTCAATAACCATGATACATGTGATTTTATTGAAATATGGTTTTGCAGGGGAAGGTATATGAGCGTAGACTTCCGAGTGATAATGGAAGCGGCACAAACGGAGCTACTCAGTTTTGTTGACAGAAATGCAGCTTTAGCTACATAGAGTGTGGGCATGAACACACCTACTTGATGAACAAGTATGGCGAGTCTAAATGGATCACCCTTAACCACTGTCGCTGAGGTAACTTTTCCTGCTTACTTCAGAGAAAACGATAGAGATACCAATTCCAAAGCGAATACGAGGATTTGAGTATATTTTGTTTTCTTCTCCTTTGTTTAGTGTGCATGTTCTTACAGTCTAAACTGATCATTCATTGTTATACAAACAGTAGTAAAATAAATAATTCTGAATCTCGTTTTGTGGTTACATTATCCATCTTGGCAATGTCAACTTCTTATACTGAGATTTGAGCTTCGGTTTCCTGTTAATAGAATGTTGCAGTCATCTTTTAAGTTAGAGATTGAGCCTATTATTAGAGTTGTGTGCATTGTCTCTGAGGTTATGAGTTAGTAAAAAGATATTTTGAGATGAAAGTTAATATTTTCTTTGAAAGGAAATATTTGACAAAATCTAGAATATACATACACATATACTTGCATAAACGTAGAGAAGAACAGTGTTTCCTTAGTAGTCAAGTCAGTGAGTCTATTGAGATTGATCACACATAGTTTGGTGATCTCCATGTGACCGGCACAACAAAGCAGCCACCACCGTAAGACGGGTAAGGAGCGAACATGACAGGTCTCGGTGGCTGTATCGGTACATAACACTTTCGCATACGTCTCTTCATCATAAGCTCGTGTTCCACTTCCTTGACAGCAATGTAGCCACGCTTCATCATAAGCTCGTGTTCCACTTCCTTGACAGCGAGGTAGCCACGCTCCATCATCAGCTCGTGTTCCACTTCCTTGACGGCGAGGTAGCCACGCTCTCGATCCAGTTGAAACTGGTCGCGCTTTCTCTTTTGGTCCCGAGCTATTCTGGTAGACATGATGGTGAACACTCGAGCTGTGAGGTCACTGTCGGAACCAGCGTGATGTGCTTCTCCGGCACGCTTGATCTGAAGCTCGTCGGCTATTCTCTGCAGCCCGAAACGGCTATTCAGTCCTTCGCACAGTCCAGCCATCTGCTTCACATCGTAAGTTTGCCCAAGAAGTCTCTGAACCGTTTGGTCGAAATCTTTACGAGTCTCCGGCATAGGTTTTCCTCCGGTCAGGCCTTGAAGTAGATAAGCCAAGTCGTATGAGCCGTCGAAGGTGACCCAAGCCACGCGCTTATCCTCCTCTTTCAGAATCTGAGTAAATTCTCCGAAGAAGTCACTGATCGCGATTCCTTCCTCTCTGATTCTCTTCAAATCAAGACCGTTCCGCCTAAGAAAGTCGAGCGATTTCTCGTTCTTCGCGTCTTTTGTTCCGTCGAAGTCCGAGAAATTGACTTCCCAGGTACCGCGGGTTCTTCCGACCTTGTCGAATAGCGTGAAACCCAACTGAATTGGTTTGGTTCCGTCGACGTTAAACCTCATGTTTCCATACCGCGTTTCATCGCTCGCCCCCATCGCCGTCTCTATCAGACATCCCGGAAATTCAGTATCGATCGCTACGAAACTCGAAGATTTTATGGTTTTTCTTATTTTAACCATCTCCTGCGTTTTGTTGTAAGAGAATATCTGATTGAAATTTTTCATCATTTTTTTTGTTCTGAGAAACAACAAAGCATAGGAAACATGTTATATAGACGTTAGTTTAGGGTTTTCCATTTTTCAAATAACAAAAGTTTCCTTTTTTTTCTTTTTTTCGATACATAGTTTCCAATTTTTTTTTAGACAAAGTTTCCATTTTTATTTCCTTTTTCCTGAACAGAATACAAAATTATATTTAAACCAATATTTCCCGATTAGTCGATTGATTTACAATCATTAATCTTGGTTGATTGTAATTTAATTTTAGAAACCGAACCAATGTAGATATGAAAAAGAAAAAATGAAATAAAATAAATATTAGAGTCTGAAGCTAAAATATGAGTATATATTTTAACTTATTTAAATTGACATTAAAAGCAAAATTTTAAAATAAATTAAATATTATATATATGATTTTGGGGTAATTTATGCATAATTATACATGTAAAAAGTAAAGATATATATAGAAAAATATTTTTTATTTCTAATTTTCCCAATATTTTTCTATTAAAAGCCATATAAATAATTAGATATCAACTGAATTAGAAACTGAGTTACAAATAAAAATGAGATAAATATAAATGAGAAAAAAGCTCTTCTATCACTTTATTTTTTACTAAAAATTTTTTTACATTTTTCATCTCACCAACTCCATACAAACCTTCCTCCTCGATACAATTCGGCACAACATCGTCTCCTACATTCACAATGGCATCGCCCACCTACTGGTTGGAAGAAATGCAATTTTGATGGTTGTTTCACCATTAGAGGAACAACCGCAGGCTGGATAGTACGAGACAGACAGTGATGGCTTCTATAAAGGTTCGATACAAGCCAAAGGAATGACTCTATCAAATGCCCGCGAAAGTGAATATCAAGCATCGATAATGGCAATGCAACATTGCTGGAGCCAAAGATTCCGGAAAGTAATCTTTGAGGGTGATTGTAAACAGATTATAGACCAAATTAGTGGAAAGGTTCTTCACTTCGGTGATTACAACTGGCTCAGAGAAGTTCGACACTGGAGTACAAAATTTGATGAGGTATACAATTCGGATGGACAAATCGATCAAACAATGCAGTAGCTCATGTGCTCGCCAAACTACATTTTCAAGAAAATGTTAACTTCTGCTACCATTACTATGTCCCAAGATCAATTTCATATGTATTAAACAATGACTATGTAAACTACTTAATATAATGCAATGTGATGTTAAAAAAAAAAAGAGATGTTAGTCGATTAGGTAAGATCTTCAACAACAAAAAAAAATTAACAAATCTAGAAAAGCTGTTAACATTGTACTCAGTAGCAAATCTAGAATGTAAGTTTGTATGAGGCACAAATTGTTAAACAAAAGAATTAACCAATTAAACTACTATTTTTGTTAATTTTTGGTAACAATTTTAAAAAAAAATGAATATGTATGGAGTTTCTCTTATCACTCATCTCCTCCCTCTTATTAGAAGAAAATACTTTGCAGAATATCATGATTTGTTTGTGAGAAAAATAGAATTCGTCTGTGACTTGTGAGTAAAACAACACTGACAGCTATGTATATATAGATCATTGACAATGTAACTATTTTCATTTTCTTTTTCTTTTTGTCTTTATCTAACCAGTTAAACATTAACTTTAGTTTAGTCTAATTTTTAACATCAGCTATTTGCTAGTGATATACATTAATTATTATAACTATAACAAACATTACCGAGACAAACTTTAATATCATTTTTCATAACTGGCATATACTAACTTCTATTATAATAATTGATGCAAATATTTACATAATTTTTCCTTAAAAAGCTGATAGCAAAATATTTGCATCACTATTTTCAAAATCACTTTTTTAAGTGGTGAAAATATTTTTTACATCAATTATAACTAATGTTGATATACAAAATAAGTGATTCAATACATTTTTTTCTGTAGTGTGTTAAGCAAGAATTCTGCTAATACAATATAAAAATGGAAAATGTTAAAAATTCTGAAATATTAATATAAATGAATATTTTTTTAATTAGAAGTGATAAAAATCATTACAAATCAAATGAAATAGAAATTGAGTAACAACTAACAAGTAAAACTCACACACAAATAAACTGAAAAAAGTGTAAAAGAGAAAAAACAATAAAATTTTAGAAAGAATATGTATTTTTTGTGAAAAAAAAATTAAATAATTAAAATAAGAGTTGTATCTTATATAAATAGGTTTTTAGAATACCATTTTTTTAATCATCTCCTGCTCTTGTGAATGAGAACAGCAAAATGATTATATAAATAGGTCCGCGCGGCTGTATGGATATGGAAATACCATTATAGACAAAAATGGCCACAATTCTGCTCACTCATAGACGACGACGTCACCGAGTTGCCATTTTGAATGAAATAGAGGAAGCTATCGACGCTAAAAAACAGAGAGGTTTGAGTCAAGCAGTAGATATAGTATTATGGAGAAACAAGATGATACCTTCAAACCCAAATTCAGCTCCAAACAGACTTGGCAACTTATACGAGTTGCATCACCAACAAGAGAATGGTATAAAAGGGTGTGGTTCACACATGCTACTCCAAAATACTCATTCAAGACATGGTTGGCTGTACTCAATAGGCTCTCTACCGGTGATAGAATGCTAAGCTGGAACACAACCGCGAGTTCTTCATGTATATTCTGCACTGAGCCGATTGAAACTCGCAACCATCTTTTCTTCGATTGCTAATGGACAACACAGATCTGGCAAGCGCTTACGTGCAAGATGCTAGGACCGAAATACACAGCTCAATGGGAGCTCGTTCTTCAGCTGATCTTGGACGAGTCACAGGGGCAGATCAAATCTTTCATTCTTTGATATGTCTTTCAAACCACCATCCACACGATATGGTGCGAGAGAAATGGACGAAAACACGGAGAGACTGCTCTCTCCTCGGAACAGATGATTCAGTTTATCGATAAACAGATGCGGAATCGATTCAGTACAATAAGGAGGCTCAAGGATGAAAGATACAAAAAAGGTCTCGAAACTTGATTCTTGTATGGATAATGAAGAGGATTAGATAAACGTTGTTCTTTTCCTTTTAAAACAGTTCAAACCTTAGCCACAATTCTGTACAGCTATTTTTTTTTTTTGTTTGAATAAATTTTACATTCATTCAAAAAAAAAATGATTATTTCAGATTTTTGTAAAACAATCAAGAAACTCTATCATCTCCTCACTTTTGTTAGAACCTAAAATTCTGCTGTACATCATCTTTGATTTGTTTGGTTTGTGAGAGAATAGTGACATATATGAGTATCCATTACATATATATAGAGAATTCAATTTTCCTATTCCTTTTCTTTTTTTTTTTTCATTTTTCTTTCTCTAACTAGTCAAACATTGACGTTTTAAACGAAGATTTTATTGTTTTCTTTGATTACGTTATGCTTTAATTTTTTTTTTTTTTTTTTTTAAAATGGCCTTCATATTTAAAATGCAAGAAAGAAAAATAATACATGCCAACCTTTGGCTAGTGTTTTACGGGCCTAGCCCAGTACATATATATAATAAGTGATCATACTTTGAATCAAATGAAGGAGATTTAAGCCCAAATTGTGCAGTAATGATTGGTAGCCCATAGCAGTAACTTGCGTCTTCCTTACGAGAGAGAGACAATGGAGAGATATCCCTGCAAGTAAATCGACGGGACCAAATCGTGGCTAGTTAATCAGACCGAATTGAAGAAAGTTAATCTCCGTTTTGAAGGTAGGAGTAGACGAATCTGTGATAGATTGAAACAAATTGTCTCAGTCGGATCTAAGCAGAAGTGGCAAGCCATATTTGCATCAGATTAGAAGCACTTGTTTGATTTTTCTCTCTGAGACTGGAGATCCGATTTCGCACTAGATGGTCGATCAAGCCTGTGATTGAGTCAACAGTTCTGAAAGTATTACGGTGGAGCCTGCCATTTCGTTCAGACCAGATGAAGTAAATAACGGCCTGCCAACTTAGGAGCAAAAGTCTCTTTCTCAAATTCCCACCTGAGAAATTTTGCAATTGCTCAACAGTAGCATCCCAGTGCCGATGAGGAGGAGAAGGCATGGATCGGGCAGCAACTCGAAGCCATAAAGACCAACTGAAACTACACTCAAAATACAGATGATTTCTACTTTCCGGTAAATTATTGCACAGTAAGCAAATTGGATCTGTAGATAAACCCCAGTTGATGATTCTGTCTTTTGTTGGACAGCGATTGAGAACAAAAAGCCATGTGAGGAATTTGTGTTTCGAGATGCCTCCAGCCATCTGCTTCACATCGTAAGTTTGCCCAAGAAGTCTCTGAACCGTTTGGTCGAAATCTTTACGAGTCTCCGGCATAGGTTTTCCTCCGGTCAGGCCTTGAAGTAGATAAGCCAAGTCGTATGAGCCGTCGAAGGTGACCCAAGCCACGCGCTTATCCTCCTCTTTCAGAATCTGAGTAAATTCTCCGAAGAAGTCACTGATCGCGATTCCTTCCTCTCTGATTCTCTTCAAATCAAGACCGTTCCGCCTAAGAAAGTCGAGCGATTTCTCGTTCTTCGCGTCTTTTGTTCCGTCGAAGTCCGAGAAATTGACTTCCCAGGTACCGCGGGTTCTTCCGACCTTGTCGAATAGCGTGAAACCCAACTGAATTGGTTTGGTTCCGTCGACGTTAAACCTCATGTTTCCATACCGCGTTTCATCGCTCGCCCCCATCGCCGTCTCTATCAGACATCCCGGAAATTCAGTATCGATCGCTACGAAACTCGAAGATTTTAGGTTTTTTCTTATTTTAACCATCTCCTGCGTTTTGTTGTAAGAGAATATCTGATTGAAATTTTTCATCATTTTTTTTGTTCTCAGAAACAACAAAGCATAGGAAACATGTTATATAGACGTTAGTTTAGGGTTTTCCATTTTTCAAATAACAAAAGTTTCCTTTTTTTCTTTATTTCGATACATAGTTTCCAATTTTTTTTTCAGCCAAAGTTTCCATTTTTATTTCCTTTTTCCTGAACAGAATACAAAATTATATTTAAACCAATATTTCCCGATTAGTCGATTGATTTACAATCATTAATCTTGGTTGATTGTAATTTAATTTTAGAAACCGAACCAATGTAGATATGAAAAAGAAAAAATGAAATAAAATAAATATTAGAGTCTGAAGCTAAAATATGAGTATATATTTTAACTTATTTAAATTGACATTAAAAGCAAAATTTTAAAATAAATTAAATATTATATATATGATTTTGGGGTAATTTATGCATAATTATACATGTAAAAAGTAAAGATGTAAATAGAAAAATATTTTTTATTTCTAATTTTCCCAATATTTTTCTATTAAAAGCCATATAAATAATTAGATATCAACTGAATTAGAAACTGAGTTACAAATAAAAATGAGATAAATATAAATGAGAAAAAAGCTCTTCTATCACTTTATTTTTTACTAAAATTTTTTTTACATTTTTCATCTCACCAACTCCATACAAACCTTCCTCCTCGATACAATTCGGCACAACATCGTCTCCTACATTCACAATGGCAACGCCCACCTACTGGTTGGAAGAAATGCAATTTTGATGGTTGTTTCACCATTAGAGGAACAACCGCAGGCTGGATAGTACGAGACAGTGATGGCTTCTATAAAGGTTCGATACAAGCCAAAGGAATGACTCTATCAAATGCCCGCGAAAGTGAATATCAAGCATCGATAATGGCAATGCAACATTGCTGGAGCCAAAGATTCCGGAAAGTAATCTTTGAGGGTGATTGTAAACAGATTATAGACCAAATTAGTGGAAAGGTTCTTCACTTCGGTGATTACAACTGGCTCAGAGAAGTTCGACACTGGAGTACAAAATTTGATGAGGTATACAATTCGGATGGACAAATCGATCAAACAATGCAGTAGCTCATGTGCTCGCCAAACTACATTTTCAAGAAAATGTTAACTTCTGCTACCATTACTATGTCCCAAGATCAATTTCATATGTATTAAACAATGACTATGTAAACTACTTAATATAATGCAATGTGATGTTAAAAAAAAAAAAGAGATGTTAGTCGATTAGGTAAGATCTTCAACAACAAAAAAAAATTAACAAATCTAGAAAAGCTGTTAACATTGTACTCAGTAGCAAATCTAGAATGTAAGTTTGTATGAGGCACAAATTGTTTAAACAAAAGAATTAACCAATTAAACTACTATTTTTGTTAATTTTTGGTAACAATTTTAAAAAAAAATGAATATGTATGGAGTTTCTCTTATCACTCATCTCCTCCCTCTTATTAGAAGAAAATACTTTGCAGAATATCATGATTTGTTTGTGAGAAAAATAGAATTCGTCTGTGACTTGTGAGTAAAACAACACTGACAGCTATGTATATATAGATCATTGACAATGTAACTATTTTCATTTTCTTTTTCTTTTTGTCTTTATCTAACCAGTTAAACATTAACTTTAGTTTAGTCTAATTTTTAACATCAGCTATTTGCTAGTGATATACATTAATTATTATAACTATAACAAACATTACCGAGACAAACTTTAATATCATTTTTCATAACTGGCATATACTAACTTCTATTATAATAATTGATGCAAATATTTACATAATTTTTCCTTAAAAAGCTGATAGCAAAATATTTGCATCACTATTTTCAAAATCACTTTTTTAAGTGGTGAAAATATTTTTTACATCAATTATAACTAATGTTGATATACAAAATAAGTGATTCAATACATTTTTTTCTGTAGTGTGTTAAGCAAGAATTCTGCTAATACAATATAAAAATGGAAAATGTTAAAAATTCTGAAATATTAATATAAATGAATATTTTTTTAATTAGAAGTGATAAAAATCATTACAAATCAAATGAAATAGAAATTGAGTAACAACTAACAAGTAAAACTCACACACAAATAAACTGAAAAAAAAGTGTAAAAGAGAAAAAACAATAAAATTTTAGAAAGAATATGTATTTTTTTGTGAAAAAAAAAAATTAAATAATTAAAATAAGAGTTGTATCTTATATAAATAGGTTTTTAGAATACCATTTTTTTAATCATCTCCTGCTCTTGTGAATGAGAACAGCAAAATGATTATATAAATAGGTCCGCGCGGCTGTATGGATATGGAAATACCATTATAGACAAAAATGGCCACAATTCTGCTCACTCATAGACGACGACGTCACCGAGTTGCCATTTTGAATGAAATAGAGGAAGCTATCGACGCTAAAAAACAGAGAGGTTTGAGTCAAGCAGTAGATATAGTATTATGGAGAAACAAGATGATACCTTCAAACCCAAATTCAGCTCCAAACAGACTTGGCAACTTATACGAGTTGCATCACCAACAAGAGAATGGTATAAAAGGGTGTGGTTCACACATGCTACTCCAAAATACTCATTCAAGACATGGTTGGCTGTACTCAATAGGCTCTCTACCGGTGATAGAATGCTAAGCTGGAACACAACCGCGAGTTCTTCATGTATATTCTGCACTGAGCCGATTGAAACTCGCAACCATCTTTTCTTCGATTGCTAATGGACAACACAGATCTGGCAAGCGCTTACGTGCAAGATGCTAGGACCGAAATACACAGCTCAATGGGAGCTCGTTCTTCAGCTGATCTTGGACGAGTCACAGGGGCAGATCAAATCTTTCATTCTTTGATATGTCTTTCAAACCACCATCCACACGATATGGTGCGAGAGAAATGGACGAAAACACGGAGAGACTGCTCTCTCCTCGGAACAGATGATTCAGTTTATCGATAAACAGATGCGGAATCGATTCAGTACAATAAGGAGGCTCAAGGATGAAAGATACAAAAAAGGTCTCGAAACTTGATTCTTGTATGGATAATGAAGAGGATTAGATAAACGTTGTTCTTTTCCTTTTAAAACAGTTCAAACCTTAGCCACAATTCTGTACAGCTATTTTTTTTTTGGTTTGAATAAATTTTACATTCATTCAAAAAAAAAATGATTATTTCAGATTTTTGTAAAACAATCAAGAAACTCTATCATCTCCTCACTTTTGTTAGAACCTAAAATTCTGCTGTACATCATCTTTGATTTGTTTGGTTTGTGAGAGAATAGTGACATATATGAGTATCCATTACATATATATAGAGAATTCAATTTTCCTATTCCTTTTCTTTTTTTTTTCATTTTTCTTTCTCTAACTAGTCAAACATTGACGTTTTAAACGAAGATTTTATTGTTTTCTTTGATTACGTTATGCTTTAATTTTTTTTTTTTTTTTTTTTTTTTTAAAATGGCCTTCATATTTAAAATGCAAGAAAGAAAAATAATACATGCCAACCTTTGGCTAGTGTTTTACGGGCCTAGCCCAGTACATATATATAATAAGTGATCATACTTTGAATCAAATGAAGGAGATTTAAGCCCAAATTGTGCAGTAATGATTGGTAGCCCATAGCAGTAACTTGCGTCTTCCTTACGAGAGAGAGACAATGGAGAGATATCCCTGCAAGTAAATCGACGGGACCAAATCGTGGCTAGTTAATCAGACCGAATTGAAGAAAGTTAATCTCCGTTTTGAAGGTAGGAGTAGACGAATCTGTGATAGATTGAAACAAATTGTCTCAGTCGGATCTAAGCAGAAGTGGCAAGCCATATTTGCATCAGATTAGAAGCACTTGTTTGATTTTTCTCTCTGAGACTGGAGATCCGATTTCGCACTAGATGGTCGATCAAGCCTGTGATTGAGTCAACAGTTCTGAAAGTATTACGGTGGAGCCTGCCATTTCGTTCAGACCAGATGAAGTAAATAACGGCCTGCCAACTTAGGAGCAAAAGTCTCTTTCTCAAATTCCCACCTGAGAAATTTTGCAATTGCTCAACAGTAGCATCCCAGTGCCGATGAGGAGGAGAAGGCATGGATCGGGCAGCAACTCGAAGCCATAAAGACCAACTGAAACTACACTCAAAATACAGATGATTTCTACTTTCCGGTAAATTATTGCACAGTAAGCAAATTGGATCTGTAGATAAACCCCAGTTGATGATTCTGTCTTTTGTTGGACAGCGATTGAGAACAAAAAGCCATGTGAGGAATTTGTGTTTCGAGATGCCTCCAGCCATCTGCTTCACATCGTAAGTTTGCCCAAGAAGTCTCTGAACCGTTTGGTCGAAATCTTTACGAGTCTCCGGCATAGGTTTTCCTCCGGTCAGGCCTTGAAGTAGATAAGCCAAGTCGTATGAGCCGTCGAAGGTGACCCAAGCCACGCGCTTATCCTCCTCTTTCAGAATCTGAGTAAATTCTCCGAAGAAGTCACTGATCGCGATTCCTTCCTCTCTGATTCTCTTCAAATCAAGACCGTTCCGCCTAAGAAAGTCGAGCGATTTCTCGTTCTTCGCGTCTTTTGTTCCGTCGAAGTCCGAGAAATTGACTTCCCAGGTACCGCGGGTTCTTCCGACCTTGTCGAATAGCGTGAAACCCAACTGAATTGGTTTGGTTCCGTCGACGTTAAACCTCATGTTTCCATACCGCGTTTCATCGCTCGCCCCCATCGCCGTCTCTATCAGACATCCCGGAAATTCAGTATCGATCGCTACGAAACTCGAAGATTTTATGGTTTTTCTTATTTTAACCATCTCCTGCGTTTTGTTGTAAGAGAATATCTGATTGAAATTTTTCATCATTTTTTTTGTTCTCAGAAACAACAAAGCATAGGAAACATGTTATATAGACGTTAGTTTAGGGTTTTCCATTTTTCAAATAACAAAAGTTTCCTTTTTTTCTTTTTTTCGATACATAGTTTCCAATTTTTTTTTAGACAAAGTTTCCATTTTTATTTCCTTTTTCCTGAACAGAATACAAAATTATATTTAAACCAATATTTCCCGATTAGTCGATTGATTTACAATCATTAATCTTGGTTGATTGTAATTTAATTTTAGAAACCGAACCAATGTAGATAAAAAAAAAGAAAAAATGAAATAAAATAAATATTAGAGTCTGAAGCTAAAATATGAGTATATATTTTAACTTATTTAAATTGACATTAAAAGCAAAATTTTAAAATAAATTAAATATTATATATATGATTTTGTGGTAGTTTAGGCATAATTATACATATAAAAAGTAAAGATGTAAATAGAAAAATATTTTTTATTTCTAATTTTCCCAATATTTTTCTATTAAAAGTCATATAAATAATTGGTTTAGTTCCGTACCTCGTTTCATCACTCACCTCCATGGCTGTCTCTCTCAGGTATCCGGGAAATTTGGTGTCTATGACTATGAAACTTGCAGATTTTAAAGTTTTCTTATCTTAACCATATCCTCGCTCTTATTACAAAAAAATACGCTGCGAATAATCATGATTCGTTTGTAAGAAATAGAATTTTTTTTGTAACTTGTGAGAGAAGACAACAACTGACAGATATATGTAGAGAAAATTCACAACGTAACTATTTCCATTTTCCTTTTTTCCTTTTTCTTTTTGTTTTCCTTTTTCCCTTTTTTCTTTCTCTAACCAGTCAAATATTGAATTTACTTTTAATTTTTAACATACAACTATTTGCTAGTGATATACATTAATTAATATAACTATAACAAAAAATATTATTGAGACAAAATTTAATATCTTTCTTTATAACTGACATATACTAACTTCGATTACAATAATTGATGCAAATATTTACAACAATTTTTTTTAAAAAAAAACTGAAAAATATTTGCAATCACTATTTTCAAAATCACTTTTTAAGTGGTGAAAATATTTTCTACATCAATTATAACCAATGTTAATATACAAAATAAGTGATTCACTACACCTCTTTTTTGTAATGTGTTAACCAAGAATTCTGGTAATACAATATAAATATGGAAAATGTTAAAAATTCTGATATATGAATATGAATATCCTTTTTTAATTAGAAGTGACAAAGATAAATACAAATCAAATGAAATAGATATTGAGTAACAACTAACAAGTAAAAATCACACACAAATAAATTGAAATAAGTGTAAAGAAAAAAATAATAATAAAGTTTTAGAAAGAATCTGTATTTTTTGTGCAAAAAAAAATAAATAATTGAATAAGAGTATTATCTATACAGATATGTTATCTTTTTAACCTTTTGATATGTTCTATATCAATCATAACGAAACTATAATTTTATAGACACTCAGTTATCTTAACTATCTCCTTCATTTTGTTGTAAAACCATATTTGTCTCAAATTTTTCATCATCTTTGTTTTTGTGAGAAAACAACAAAACAAACTAACATGTTATATAGACGCTAAATAGTTTAGAGTTTTCTATTTTTCAAGTAACAAAATTTTTTTTTTTCTATCTATTCTCTTTACTTTTTTTTATCAAATATTTCCTTTTTATTTGATTTTGATATATAGTTTCCATTTTTTTTATTTTTTAAACAAATTTTTTATTTTTTATCTTTTTTTTCGGAATAGAATACAAATGTATATTTTAAACCAAGATTTTCCGATTATATATAAATATATGTTAGTCTGAAGCTGAAATATGAGTATATATTAATGCATATATAAAAGGAAAAAATGAAATAAAATAAATGTTAGTCTGAAGCTGAAATATGTGTATATATAAATATATTTTAACTTGTATAAATTAATATTAAAACTAATTTTAAAATAAATTAAATATTATATATATATATATATATTTAGAGAATTCACAATTTTTCATTTTAGATCTATGTAACTATTTCAATTTACCTTTTTCCTTTTTCTTTTCTTTTCTTTTTCTAACTAGTCAAATGTACTTTTAAAACTAGGATTTCATTTTTTCTTTAGTTATGATACAAAATTTTCTGTTTATCAAACATTTAAAAATCATTCTTTTCAGTCAAAAATATATTATATTTAAATTGAACGGAATTTTTGATTCTATAGAGATCTCCTGCAACCATTATATAGTATTAGATTCTTTCTTCAAGATCTTGAATCCTGCTGTGTTTATACATCAATATCATTTATGTCCTTTTACGAGCAAGAAACCGTTCTCTGGCTGCTTCAATCCTACTCTCGACAGTTTCGGAAACTGCAGTTGTTGTTTCAGCATTGTTCTTGTTCGTAGATAACTCCGTCTCCTTCTCCTCAGGTTCCTTGAAAGAGTTTGCCGGTCCACCACTACATAGCCAGGTTAGACGAGACCGATCAATTACATAAGATCCAAAAGAAGAAAGAAAAGCTAGAAACAAGACTCGATTCAACTTTGTAGGAATGCTTCTTGTTACCTCAGTTTTCTGACGTTTAACTTGTCGATCTTTGTTTTGATGGGAGCCACCCATGACATCTCAATCGAACAAACATTACGCATGAACGGTCGCGTGGTGGAAATCAGCTCATGGTACACCACATAATTTGGCAACATTCCCTCCTTGTCGGTGCTCAACACAGATGATGGATGCACCTGGAATCAACCAAAACTAGTCAACATGTGGCTGATCGCACCAAACTTTTTTAAAAAAAACTATCACATCTCCCAATTCCCATCTACAAGTTTTTGTCTCTCCTATACATCTGAGTTAACAGAATCTAACATTGTCACTGAAGGAGACTTGGTTTGACAAGTTAATAATACCTGGACTAGCTGGGGCTTGAAGCTAAGAGTTCGGAATCCATTATGACGAAGCATTCTCTCAGCAACTTGGTTTGCATTACCCACACACAGAGCTTTCCTCAACTTCCTGTAGTCGTCTCGGCTTGAACTCTTCCTTCCACTTGCCCCAACTTCCAATCGATCTAGTTTTTCAAGGAGACCAGTTATTTTAGTGACTGTTGGTTGTATATGTCACAACCAAACATAAACTATGGTTCCCTGGGAGTTATTACCATGTATGTAGGAGTGAAGGCCATAGAAAAAAAACTTGGGAGAGAGTAAAGGAAGAATTCTTCCATGGAATTTTCTTGTCATGAAACAATGCTAACCTTTGGATATTTTCTGCATAATCTGACATAGCTGTTTCCTAACATCTCTGACAAACACCATTCCTCGCACCTGCAAATTATTTTAAGAATATTTTTTTTATCCTTCTTCCCAATGGCATATGGAACCTGCGTAGTATATACCAAATGGAACATCTCTATACAAAGGAAGTAAAGTTCACCAACTCCCGAAATTGAAAAAGGATAATAAAACTATATGGACAGAAATTAAAAACATGAAATCCCAACAGATGACATCATATATCTTTTGACGATGCAAAATTTTGATGCTTTTGACGTGGAATGCTCGAAAATAGAGAATAAGAAATAGATAAAAAGGAACAATTACCTGCATGCCATTTTCTTTGCACCATTCAGTATCATAATTATTACGGTGCCAACATTCAAAAATCTGTAGCAGTTGAATGTGGTCACCAAATCCGGATCCATCAGGAAGGCTAGAATCATCATGTTTCCTCTTCTTTTCATTGGGTTTACTGTCATACAACCACAAATCATAACGAGAAGAATTTATGCATTCTGTTGTGATTTGAAACATTTCATAATCTGACTCAGGTCATTATATATCACAAAAAACTAACCTCCTACCAGGAAGTAGAGTAGTCTCCGCTGACAACATGGCAACGACCGTTAGAGCTTGAGATAAGCAACCATTTTCATTTGCTTCTATCAATGTTCTTGACAGTGATGGTTCTAGTGGAAGCTCTGTTGAACAACAAATATGCTCAGTTTGAGATAAAATCCCAAACTAAAAAATTTGCTAAACAGTGGAAGGATGCTCTAAACATACCAGACATCGTCCTTCCAATACTTGTTATTGCTCCATTCTCATCAATTGCATCAATGAGATACAATTGCTTCAATGCATCTTCTAATGACTCGGCTGTATATTATAGGCAGGATCATCGAAACCATAGAAATATAATATCAATGAAAATTTCATAAAATACCTCAAATTCAAAGAAAGCATAAAATCGAACTTTAAAGCATCTAACCCCGATAGAAATTAGTTCTTACATGATGGAGCGTCAAGAAAATCAAACTTGAGTATGTCAATATCAGGTAGATCCAACGATTTCAAGTAAAGAACACTCCCAGCAAGAGAAGTTCGTTGAATCTCAGGAATTGTTGCATCAAGAAAGTCATCCCGGAAGACGGCGAAGGGGTATAATCGATAACATTTCCCAGGTCTCGTTCTACCAGCACGTCCAGCACGTTGGTTAGCTTGCACTCTAGAACACCACAGTGAAACAGAAATCGAAGTACAATAAGTCAATAAGCATATAGGAGGAACTTGATGAAAACCAGAGTAAGAAACCACTATGATTCTTGAGTAAGCATAAGTTATATCTGATGAGGTCCTAATTAACCACTATTTGTATTCTTTTTTAGGAAAATGCAGATATTTTCTAGGTACAGTTGTAAATATCATGCCACGTCAACTACGAAGTTCATTCTATGCACCATTAGATTAATACAAGCTAGCTTCATATTTTAGCTGACAATTTAATGAAATAGACCAAGATATTTGAAATTCTTTGCTTACTTGCTAATTTGAATAACATCAAGCGAATACATTCCACTTGATGGGTTGTATTGTCTTTGCTTCACATACCCTGAATCAATTACATACCTGACATAGAGAAAATAGGCTAATCTGAGAATGATATCGATCTCCAAATGTCAAAAAACATGATCTGAAATTTGCTTAAAGTGTATACATACTCATGTTGCACCCGACTTTTGGCAACAGTAACAAAACAATCAAGCAGATTCAATAATGCAGTGTAAATATCTCATACTAAATTCATTTTCATCTTATGACAAAGAGACAGCACAACCTTAAAGATATTCATGTAGATCTGTATCAATACTCGATAGTCTGTTCCACGTCAAACTCCAAAGAATAGATCTCATAGATGTGGTTATGGGCAACATATATTGTGATCTGAAGTGAACTAAAAGAAGCGACGAGTATAACAACAAGATTAAGCCAACAACAAATATCTGACTGATTCAGTTACTGGACCTGATTACACGATTTGCAGCATTCATGATTAGACTATACAAGTCACCATCATATATCTATCGAGTTATTTCCTGGACTAGACTCAGAACCAAAAATAATTTTTAATATCAAAGCTGGAGGAAAAAGTATCAATATGTTTTGCAGTAAATGGAAAACGGTTGATATCAGACGTAAAAACAAAAAATAATTTCTAAAAACTCAGGTTTCAGGTTTCTTACACAACTCCGTCCACAGTAAGGGAAGTTTCAGCAATATTTGTAGCAACGATAAACCTCCGGCAGTTTGGAGGCGGTGGACTAAATACACGAACCTGCAGAAATGATGAAAGTCAAGACAAATTACCAAAACTGTTTAGACCACCAAGAGATCTTGATTACAGAAACAAAACTCAAAAAAACGTTACCTGCATTTCAGGTGGCAGAGATCCGTGAAGAGGGTAAATAATAGCATCCATACAGGATCCTTCTGCTAAGCTTCGTACTTTCTCCTCAAGCTTTGAGACTAGTTTTTCTATATCATCCTATTTAAAAACATGATACAGTAAGAAACGCAAGATTCTAGGATGGTTCTGCCAAGTTTGAATAAATAGAGTATAAACAAATGAAACATACCTGTCCAGTCATGAAGATTAAGATATCACCTTCTGGCTCACGAACATGTATATCTGCAAGGTTTTTTTGTAATGCAAGAGAGAAACTCTACTGTCAAAAATGAAAAAAAGCAAGATTAACCAAATCAGTTAAACTGACAACAGAAACACTCGACCTTAAACATACCTATTGCTACTCTCAGAGATGACTCAATATAACTGCCAGGACGCTCTTTGCTGTATAATATTTCCACGGGGTATAATTTTCCAGGTACATTCAGCACAGGGCAGCCAGAAAAGAACTCAGAAACCTTTTCGCCGTCAAGCGTTGCAGAGGTTATAAGAACTTTGAAGTTAGACGAACGGATTCTAACCAACCGTTTCATTAGACCCAACAGAATATCCCTGAAAACAAAAAAAAAATGGACCAAATTAAGATTTATATTCTAGAGCCTTTGTGCATGTTTGAAATGAGATCTTAATGCCATATGAAACAATGTTGCAGCAAAAGACGAAAGTGAAAAAGGTAATCAGCAGCAAACTCGAGATCAAATCTGAATAGATACAAAAGGACTTAACGTGTTTAAACTTCTCTCGTGAGCTTCATCCAATATGATTACAGAGTAATCATCGAGCATTGGATTCGACAGGCTCTCACGAAGTAGAACTCCATCTGTGAGGTACCTGGGAGCAATACACAATTGCCACAATGAGGAAACTAGTGGACAAATCATGTGAAGAGAAAAAAAAGATACTAACTAAACATTCTTTCTACATCTTCCATTACTTAATGCGTGTTTTGCTCGAAGTTCTGTCCTCGAAACGTATTGCATAACCAACATCCTCTCCGAGATTTACATCGAGCTCCTGTGCCACGCGCCTGAAGACCATAATAGCCCAGAAAGCCGACTTAATATCAGTTCTGAGATCTTAAGAGGAACCAACAGAGAGACTCTTGATGAGAGAATCGACAGAAAATCACCTGGCGACGGAAACGGCGGCGACACGTCGAGGCTGAGTGACGGCGATGACGCCGGACTTAGTGTAGCCACGTCGATGAAGTATCTGAGAGAGCTGAGTACTCTTCCCAGAGCCGGTTTCTCCGATGATAACAACCACTGGGTTCTTCTCCACTGTTTCCACGATCTTCTCTTCGAATTGAAGGATCGGGAGATTCGCCATATCGCAAAGAAAACACTCACAGAACCTATCACGCTCAACAAAATAAACTGTAACTGCAATTTCTGCTTGGCTTCAGTCTAAAGTCTCTCTCAAAAAAAAATTATCCTCCGACGAACGACCGAGAGATTCACAGTAGACCGAACGAAACCCTAATCGCACTCCGGCGCTTCGAGAAATTCAAATCAACACAATTTTTTCCATTCAAAATCTTCCCTGCGACTACATATTTTAGTTTTGTTAATATTTTGATTTTATTTCTTATTGACCTTTTTAGTTTTTTTTTTGGATTTGTTGTATATTTTAAACATTATTTTTAGAAGTTGCCGCAATGGGATATATCTTGTTATTTTTAATTAAAAGCAGGTAGAAAAATTGTTTTCCAGGTAAATTCTGAAGTATGATATTTTAAATTAATCACTCGTGCCGTTGTTTAGACATTATTATAGCACTCTAGAACCGTTTACACAGCCGATTAGTCAATCTTGACGGTTTAGACTCACTAGATGTTCTAACAGACATGTAATCTGTAATGACTCAAAAATTAATTATACATTTAGTACTCAGTAAAAGAGGAAGAGATGTTCCCTATCGACGACTGTAGCAAGATGGTTCCAATAATCAATTTTCCTTTGTTTATAACCAACTTTGACTCCAAAGTGATAACTTTGATGGATGGATGATGTTGAAGTTAGGGGTAAGCAAAATATCCGTTATATCCGCTTCAAACCGATATTTACTTCTATCCGATTCAAAAAATTCGGATATCCGTAAAGCTTCGGAGCAAAGTAAATAACAAAATGTAATATCCGTACAAAACAGAGCAAATCACAAATATGTTTTTAGATAACGCCGGATATCCGATCCGATCCGTATTTTTATAAATTTATTATAGATTATCATGTATATATCAATTCTATTATAAATTTTTATTAATATATTCTCAATTTTCTTCCTAAATTTTCAATTGTTTTTTTGATTATATAAAATAAATAACTAAATAACCAATTATAAAAAATAAATAATATGTTTAAACTTAAAATATGTTAATAAATAACATTTTATTTTATATTAGTAAATAAATATCAACAAAAGTTTTTTAGTAAAGTTTAATATTAAAGTTTCAAATAGCTAATATTATTTTTAAATATAAAATATCATTTTTTTCATCTTAATTTTGTAGGTTTATTTTTTATAGATTTTTTTATAAAATAAAATATTTTCTTTTAGTTATTTTTACTTAATAGTTTAGATGAAAAGTATATTTTTTTATAATAAAAATTGATGTACTTTCAGTTTTGTGTATATTAAACGGATCAAACTAAATATTCATAAATATCCGTAAATATCCGTAAATATCCACAAATACTTGTAAATTTTTCGGATATCCGAAAATCCGGATATCCGTATATTTCCGGAGCAAATCAAATTATAAAATTAAATATCCGTTAAAAACGGAGCAAACCACAAATACTAAAAAATATTCAATCCGCGCCCACCCGTAGTTGAAGTATTAGCTAGCTAATGAGCTGAATATAATGCCAAAAAGGAAAATACTTATTGGGTTTGACTCTGAAACTAGAGGCTTTGTAACTTCTTGTAATATAATTTTTTTTAATTCTTTTTTGCTTTTAAACAGAAAAATAAAACCTAAGAAAAAGAAAAAGATAGAAACAAGAAATGTCCCACATCGGCTATATCTCTAATATCACAACGGTATAAATAAAACAAGCAACAAAAGTGGTCAACAATCGTCACAGGATAAAGTGATTGGGCTTTGGGCTTGTCTAAGTCTCTGACCAGGAAAGTCGCCGGGCCACTATTCCGCAGAGATGCGGCCTCGGTAACGAGAGAGTCTTGTGCACGGGGGGACATATGGCTGAGACGCGTGTGTGGAGCCGTCTCTCCGGCGAAGATATCATGGCCAATGAAACAGTAATTCACTTGGGTCCCTCTCGGGGATTTAACAGAACGGGGCTTACTTCCTGTGACGTACAACTTTTTTTTGCAGATGAAGAATCTCTCAACCTGAGACATTGCCTTCTTAGAATGTTAAACAGCAAATCCAAAGTAAACTAGTGTGTGTCCGTCTTTAGTTTTGACCAAAAGTGGTGACTGCCATGTCTTGTCTGTAAAAGAGCCAAATTGATCGTATCAATTGAAGATTAAGGAGCACTTGCAAAAAAACATATTTATATGTATTGCAGTTACCAAAAAAAAAACCTATACAAAGTCTATATATTTTTTCCTTTTTTTCCTCCAAGACTTTCAAAAAGATATAATAATAAGTCTTTAGGAGGGTGAAAGACAAGTGTACAACTTTACATCAACTAAAGGTAAAAAAATCCCAACTCTCTCTCAACACTGGTAAACTGAGAAACTCTTGCTTTTCCATAGAAAACTGAATGCTCTTCCCATTTTCTTTCTCGAAGCTGACTTACACTGCGGTTTAGACTCTGTTACAGCTGCTGCAGCAACAGAGAACCCGCCCTCTTCCTGGCTTCTGTCCTCTGCTTGCGGTTCTGTTAGATGGGTTTGATCCCTCTGCCTCAGTTCCCTGAATAGTGTCAGCAGCTTCTGTGCCCTCTCTCTTCCTCGCTGAGTCCCGTTTACGGATATAGATACCAAAGAAGGTATGACACCTTCTTGTAAAACCATTTGGCTACAGATCTCACTGTGATTGCATAAGATCAGAAGCAAAGAAACTGACTGCTCTTGCTCATTTGGTTCACCCGTGTCAAGAATGGTGGCGAGGTTGCTCACAAGGCCAGGTACTGAAACCATCTCGTCTTTTCCTGCCTCGTTCAAAACCAGATTCAACAGAACAGCTAAGGACTTTTCAGTCCATCGTTGGTCATCACTGACAGTGAGTGACTGAAGGGCGTTGACGATGTCAGCAGAGAGAAGGCAGGGAATGTTGGGTGGGCAGGTGGACAGGTGAAAGAGGGCGTGAAGAGCATCGACTTTGCATTGGATCTCAGTCTCTGTCCAGAGGAGATTTACCAAGAAAGGAACTGCTAGACTCGAACCTATCACGGGCTTTGCATCTTCAAGACACGCGAGGTTCAGATAAAGTGCTGTCACTGAACCATGCGCATGTGGATTACAGAGCATTTCCTCCAGCAGAGGAATGATTCCTGATACTAACATCAACTCCTTGTTCCTGAAATTCTCACATAAAAAAGGAACACACAAGAAATGAGATCCTCGAATTTACAAAGATAAGAATATTCCCAAGATAATGATGATTTTGTATATAAAACACACTGCTAATATAGCGCAACTGAATGTATAGTGCATATGTTAGACTAACTAAACGTATGAGCTTGATCATAAGTAACGGGAAGGGAAAAAGAAATCAAGTGATACCTGTCGTTGTTCACAGCCAAGTTAAAGAGAGCCATGGCTCCAACTTTCTGGGCTGGAGCATTCTTTTCATGGAGAGCTGCTCTGAGAAACTGAAGCAACGCTTCAACACACCCATTTTCCCCCATGAGAATCCTGGCCTCCTCGTCATCTTTTAGCAGTACTCTTATTTGCTCAACAACTCTGCATTTCTTCCTTAAGTTATCCACGACACTCAAAGTGGTCAACAAACCCGTACATCGTTCAACAAGAGTAACTTGAGCTTCCTGGTATTCTGATTCACAGGCTTCCTCTTTAATAGTTCCACTTTCTTCCAAAGGAACCACCTTCACATCCTTCAACTTGCAAGAACCAACACATCTTGCTGTTCTCGTGTCGGTGGACTCAGACACAGACAATGCCAGCCTCCAATAGTTAAGGTCTAGAGACTCAGGGGGTCCATCAGGGACCTGAACGCCATTCTGTTCACACCAACTCGAAATTAGAGCCTTTACACAATAGTTAGGGGTCAAGCATAGATGAGACAGCTCCTGGTGAGTTTTGGGACATGTGCTGTGTCCATCGCTAAACCATTTCTCAATACAGATTCTCTCATAGGTTTGTCCAGAAGCGATAATGACAGGGTCGTACATAAGCTGCAATGATATCGGACACCTCAACTCTTCTGGCGGAACAGACATCTGCAGAGATTTCCTATTGTTATTGCAAGGTCTGAAGTTGAAGGAACTCAGTTTTGAAAGCTGGCGGTCGAAAGCACGACCAGGGGCATCGTCAAGAGAACCCTGAATAGTTGGCGAACAAGGCAATGAGCTACTACCCTGCGAGTCGTTGTCATCCCAGATCTCACTTCTAAACAGCTTTGAGTATTTCCTCATAAGGTGTAATAGGTAAGCCACAATTGATTCTTTCCTCTTGTCATCCTCCATACGGGCCCTGTCAATGAGTTTCTTGAGACATCTTCGCTCTGTTAGAGCTGCTCTTGAAGAAGTGATGCCTAGTCTAGTAGCAGCTTGATGGAAAATCTCAAGTTCATTATTGTCAGATGAGCTCTCAAAATTTCCACCTTGCTGCAGCAGTCCAATTATTTGATCGCCAACTTCCTTCACTGTCGGATCAAGTGAAAACTGAGTGTTCTCTAACTCCATCAAAATCTCCAGAATCTGCAAAGGAAAGTATACGAATGTAAATAAAAGCACTGAAAGCTAGAGTATAAACCGGAGCAGCAAGAAAGCGGAACACGGAGAACTAACTACCTGGGATCCAATTGACTGTTGGACTATATCTTCAACACGCCTTAGGCTATCAGTAAGAGAAGACTTCGCCTTCTCAAATTTCAAAACTACTGAGTCCCCTGTTATAGCCTACACATGTCAAACCAGCTGGTTAGCTAGAGTCTCCACAAGATTCGTTCTGAAATTTCCAAGACATAAATCAAACGAAAGCTTACCAAATAAAGTTTACTAGATTCAGTGCAATGACGTAGAATGTTCTTCACTTTTTCTAAAACCACGTGAAGTGAACACAAAGCTTGAATTCCAGATTTGCTTCTCGGCCGAGCTTCTTCGAGCGACGGGAAAACAGACATGATCTTGCAGTAGATCACAGAAAGGGCACTGCACATTTCTCCGTGTAGCTGAAAACAGGAATCTGTTAGCCGCTGCTTTACACTTATAGAGTCAAAGATAAGACATATTACAGTTCCTATCAACTATGATAAGATCAAAACAGATGGACATTTTTATACAGAATCGATCATGTTAATGTCTTAGGGAGAGATCTCAACAAAAACTATCATCTGAATTACTAAAAGAAACAAAAAAAAGGTACCTTGGCGTCACCAGGGGCAAAGAAACTTTCTTCAACCTCGTTAGCATCCATTGTTTCGGTAACTCGCTGTATATATCTATGAAAACAGCTCTATGTCGGCTTAGAATTCAATACTGCAAAAAGAAGAGAACCTGAATCACTGAGAAGCTAAACCAATTTGTAGAAAACAATCCAGGTCAGTGTTTTCACGACTGCAATGTTTTGTGCCCAGACAAACACAAAACCAAACGAGAAGCATATATGAACAGAGTGAAGAAGATAAAAGACAATGAAGACGAAAAAGTAACAAAAGCTTGTTGATTGGGGCATTTCAACAAACAATTAAGATGCAAAACCATCAAAGATACCAAAACCCAAAAAAAATTCACAATGAAGATTCTTGGTTGTCAAGAAACAGAGGGAAGAAACAACAAATCAGAACACAAGAACAAAAATCAAAACCCCCCAAAAAATCAATCTGTTTAAGCTTAACTCACCAACACATACCCAGATGAACATAAAAAAAAAAAAAATCTGCTTAAGAATCGGGTGAAAACAGAGGACGATACGTACCAAAACATGAATCGTTAATCTGCATCCGATTAAAAATAGGCAGAATAACGAAGAGCCGATCATAAACCAAAACAAGGAATCAAAGGAAGAGCATCAGGCATTATTATAATGACTGTTTCTTCTTGAGATGCTGTTTCCGGGTAGTTTCTGCGACGGTCTGATTTAGAGTTTCCGAGCTTTTCAAGGCAAAATTTCTCGATCCCAACAATCAGAGAGAAGGAGGGCTTCGGCTATGGCTTAAACACCGATTGGGAATTTTTTTTGAAGAGAAATTTAAAATAATAATAAATATATTAGTGAAAAAAGAAGAACTTCTTCTCAAGTCAAAGTAAAGCCAAAATTTGCGAGTTGATTGCAAGGTCGCGAGTACACACACACCCAACATACTGTATTTGTTACTAATTTCTTAATATTCTTTCTTCAGAGTGAAAAAAAGATTCTGCTATAATTTTATAATAATCAAACGACTCTATTCATTTTTATCTTTATTTTTAAAAATGATTGTTAGTGTTACTAGATTTGCATTAGCAACGGTATTATTAGGGGACATTTTGTAATTATTAAAGGGGAAAAAACAGCTTCTTAAAATTCTGATAATTTCTTTTAGATCATTATGGTCGTCCAATCTCTCGGATGTGATAAAAAAAAAAGAATTTTATCGTTATGGTGTTGCCCGTTTATATAATATTTTTTGATCTTTATGAAAAATGCAATGTAGTTTTCAAAATTTCAAATGAAAATAAACTGACGTTTATATTCGTGATCACTAATTTTTTTTTTTCTACAGCTATTCTTGATCAGTGCTTACTAAAAGTATTAAACTATAATCTTCAACTTTCTAATTTTGTAGATAATTTTTTTTTTTTGTCGTTCGATAGTTTTTTTCTTTTGTCGTCGACTGACAATAATAAATATGTGATGTAGAATAAACAGCTTTTGACATATTGGCTCGGTCGAAGTATGGTCAAGCCAATGAGAGGTCCATTTTTCACCGACGTTCATAAACACGTCTTTATTTCAAAGCTGCATCTTATTTTTGACATTTTCCTCTAAAAACTACATAAGCGCATTTATATATAAGAGTTCAATAATTATCTAACAATTTTTTTTCTCACCAAAATGTTACAGTTCCTTTAGACAATTTTACAAATATTAATTAAAAATGACAATATATGGTGGGTTACTGATTAAGTTTGAATTTTGTTCGTAACAAGAAGAACTAATCAAATTTGGATGAATCGACCTAGTCTCTAAATTTTAAATATCAAAATGAATTTTCTAACGTTCGATTGTTAATGTTACTTAAAGCAAATCTTATTATATAAAGAATAATACAAATGTTTGAATGGTATTGGAGGGAGACTTGAGGAGTTTACCGACTTCACGGCCGACAAGCGCCGACAATACATGCATATGTCGGCTGTTTAGATCTACATTAAATATCCTAAATTACAATAATACCTCCTCTCAATGTTCTTTGAAGCACCACCTTTATTAATTTCCTTTAAAATAATTGTTGTCAGCCATGTTCGCCTTTTCCAATTATTATTTTTCCTTTTTAGATGCCAAACTTTGTAATGATTTTTTTACACTATTAGCTCGATTTTGGGTTATATTCCAAAAAAAAAAAAATATTCACAACATAAAAAGCTAAAATTGTCGTTTATTATTTTTCTATTTAAGGAAAATTCAACTATCACCTAATAAAATTACCAAAGTTGATGTTAACAAACAAACAAAGAATTAGAGATAAGAAAATCAAAGTATGTGATCATACAAATCACATTCCATATATTATTATTAGTCATTTCACTCATTATATATTTTTTTTTTGAAAAAGACACTCATTATATTATTGAGGATCAAGTCACAGTTGATCAAAGTAATCTTAACAATTAACACATTTAAAATGCAAACACCTTCTCTAGCATAAAAGTGATTTCTATCTAACTAGGTCACTTATTTCTCATTTCCTTTCAACAATCTCACTTCTTTATCCTTTTCTGTATATATTTTTTAATCCAAAAAACCATTAAACCAATATGCATGTAATTAAGAGCGTACTTCAATTTGTATTCATCTAAAAAAAATATCACATAATCAAACAAAAACAAACAAACAAAATGCGAAATATATATCAGACAGACATAGATAATCAAATAAAAAGATGAAGATTTGATTCCATGAAACTAACATAAGCTTTTGTCAACATATTGATTCTCTTGAGCAGACCCACACACTGGGTATCAAAGAATATGCCTAACGTAAGAACAAGAGACTTAAAGTTTGAAAACACTTAGAAAAGTTTTCCGGAAACTCTTATGTATTCGACACTTAAGTCGGAAAACCATATAACTAAAGTAAAAAATAAACAGTAAATTGGGTATTTTAAAGTATTAAAATGTGCACCTCCAAGAAAATGGCTTAAGATTAAGACATATTTAAAAAAAAAGGTTGTGCAAGTTAGTGCACATTTCTGTATTAGGTTGAATTCTTATTTGTTCCTTTATACATATGTTTGTGATTTGTGAGATTTATAATTCCATGGTTCTGGAAACGAAAGTAGAAAATTCGATCAGACTTATATTTTCGGACAGGTTTTATTTTCTTATACGAAAATTGCTTTATGACCCTTGTAAGTTTGGATGCATTGAGAAAAGAATTAAAAGCAGAAAATGGCAATGCAGTAGGATCAGATCTCAGTTCCAGACTTTGAGGACGTTAGGCCTAAGTTAGGTTGGGCTGTGAATAGCTTAAAGTAAAGTCAAACATACTCGATAGCAAATAGATCCTAGTAATGGCACCCTCACCATTACAACACACCGTAGTCACATCGTGTTTGTAATACTTCACACACATTCTTGAAATTGAGGAAAGCGTTTCTCTCAAAAGTCAGAGCATTCTTATTTCTTGTGCTTCAAGAAAAGAAAAGCTGGAGAAGAAGAAGAGAGACATAAAGAAAATGGGCTGGATCAGCCTTACCATACCTGTGAGGCTGTGACAAACGTGTGTTGTTCTTTTAATGAAGTGAGAATATTTGATGCCAAGTGCTGTTGGTAAACAAACAAAGGAAACAGAAGTATTGTCCCTTTGAACGAGTCAAGAGTGTTCTGATCTTCAAACTTTCAAATATAATCGAATTTGATAACTGAATCATCGTTTGTCAAAGACTTTAAAGCTTTGTTTGGAAAGCAATGGTTGTCTCCAATTTTGATTAAAACTGAGTGTGGCCAGAAGTTACAAAGACAGCCTGTGGAGTGTGGGGATCAACAACACTTTCAGAAGCATTTATTAATGGTTCTTCCTGGTGGTCGTTGGAATATTCATTTTGCCAACTCTCTTGCTTTGAGAACGCTCAGCGCCAATTTGCTCTAAGTGAGCTGATATATGCATAAGGCAATGAGCATATCAACATAATCATTGTCTATCCGCACATGAATGTGTGGGCATCTGTATATCACGCAAGTATAATGTAAAAGACTTACCAGCAAAATCCAGAAAGCAGTTCACTAAGGCAAGTCTAACAGATATCAGGATCTTCTCAATATAGGCAGACATATCTTCTGAACTTTTACAAAATATATACTAAAAGGTTGTAACTATTGAAGAACACAAAGCTTAAGTACTTGTATACATGTAACAGCAAGATGCTAGAAACTTACAGATTAATTTGTTCAATCCCAGAAACCTCTTCCCGGATCCTTCTCCATATCCTCATCCCTGCTCGAAATGCTTAGCAACTCAAGCTACGATTCATCTTTGGCTTCCTTGCCGCTGCACCTTCCATCGACTTCTTTGGCTGAGGCGCTGCCGGCTTTTCCGGTTGCCGTGTTAAAAGGAAAACTCTTCTAAAAAAATCACGTGTCACCTGTCTTAAACTTATCAGAACGTATTTTATAACAAAAAGTTAAAAAACATATGACGTTATCGGTTCAGTTCGCTTTTGAACAAACCCAACTCAACCGAACCCAAATGGTTCGCTTTTGAATATAGGAATTTGGCAACTTTGTTTTTAGTTAAGTAAATTATTAATTATTTTAAGTAAATCTTAAATAGTTTTTTTAACACAAAAAACTTAATTTTTTTACCCACAATTTTATTGTATCTTTTAAATTTTAATTAAAATTGATTTAATTAATTTATCATCTCATATAATAAATTTAATATTTTTTTCCTTTTGATTACTTTACTATTTTTAGTTAATTAGAAACGAATTATTTTCATTTTTGGACCGACTTTGCACAAGAAAACTAATAGCACTATCAGGCAAACTTGAAGTTGAGAGAAATCTTTAACTTGTTTTCTTTGTGATTTAGTTAGGCCGTAAATGTGTCTGTCTATGCATCAAAGAAGTGAATGCTATGGAATTCAATGATCAAGATGTCTATATTGTGAGTATTTGGAACGATATGATCAAGCAGCGTCTTCTGAATAGACCTTTGGTTGCGTTTGTGATTTGGTTTCCTAGCTACGCCAGTGCACATAGAGGAATTGTAAGTTGTTTTTATTTTGTACTTTGGTTTTGAATATTTTTTATCATCATTGGATAATTGAATTGTTTTTATATTTCAGGAAATTCTTGCACCAACTAACAGCAGAATTGGAGTTTTATAATGCAAATCTTAATGCTAAGTATGCTGTGCACACCATGCTACGGAAGAGTCTATTGAGAATTTCATGACAGCTATGGAACCTTTCTAACGGAGATTAGGCTATGTGCGGATTTACTTTGGTGAAGACTCCATCTTAATCTGCGAGTATTTTGTTATTTGAGAGATAAAAATTCTCATACTAATTTTATGTTATGTATATAATTTTCTTTTAGATTAGGATAAGCTAGTTTTGATTTAGTGTTATTTGTATAATATTTTTTCGTGAATTTTTAAATCAGAAACACTCAGTGTATTAATTTTTAGAAATATATATAAACTCATTGCAATTTTAAATAGCTATTCATTATCGATATTAATACTTTAAAAAATTGATATTATTAAATTTAATTTAATTTCCACCAAATATCCCCAGTGGAAGCTGGAATTCCTATTAATTTTGTTAAGTCTTCCCTCCGACTCAGAAATTATTATTATATCTGTTCGTTAGAGTTAGTTGAGGGTCTTCTCTCCTCTACGAATTTATTTAGTATACGTATCAAACAAGTCATTATAATGTATAATTGTCCACGAGTAACACTATGAAGAATATATATATGATTTTAAAATGATCATCCACAACAGAAAAATCGAAAGGACAGGTTGATCTTGTTAGGGATCATAGTGTTTTTTTTTTCCTTCTAAACGTCATAGCTGTAATTCTACTAATAGTTTTGAATATTACATTATGTTGGTTTTCTATTTAGAAATTTATTGGTCAATGACGCAATATGGTTGCAATAAGCCTTAATAATTTTTCGACAATTTGGTACAACTAATCATTTATCAATTATACCAAAATCCGTGGAAGTTCTTTTTCTTAGGGTAAGATCCAAATAAACAAATTTAATTTATCATAGGAACATCCAGTATATCTCGGATACTAAAGGGGAAAAATTCACAAGAACTTTACCTAATCCACGAATAAGAAAGAAAAAAAAAACAAATCTAATTTGTAAGAACCACATGGTAAAGAAAACTACAGAGATTTCGATTTCGGGTATAGATAAAACAGTAATCAGAGCTTGCTTAGGAATCAAGTTTCTGTCATGTATAAGAAAAATAAACATCCCTCTCTGGCTTTTTCATACAGCGAGAAGCAAACGCATTAAGCGCAAAAGCGACTCCTAAACTTTACCAAATTTAGATAAATAATAAATAAGTTGAGACAGAGAAAAAGAGAAAGAGACATAAACTGAAGAATCAAAGAGGAGGAGGGAGATGCGGAAGAGCCATCACTTAAACAAGAAGCTTCTGTAGCAGAATTTGTGTCACTTTCACACTTGTCTTCAAAGCAAAACCAGCACCAATAGCACAAAGCTCACACCTCATTTCCCTCAATCCCAACATTGGAGAATCATCTGTTCGAAAGATGGGTTCACTTCAGACACCGATAGGCATGAGAAGCTCCTCGCTGTTAGATACGTCCTGCGGATATTTGCTCAGAGAGTTACAGGCAAGTTTGTCTCAAGGGTGCTTTTTTTTCCTTTCAAGTAAAATGGTTCATAAGTAAAGAGTATTGTGATTGATGGATGGTTACTGTTTTGTACAATTGTACACAGATGATATGGGATGAAGTTGGAGAAGATAAGTTTGAGAGAGAGAAAGTGTTGCTTGATATAGAGCAGGAATGTGTAGAGGCTTACCGGAGAAAAGTTGACCATGCCAATATTTCGAGGTCTCGTCTACATCAAGAGCTCGCGGAATCTGAAGCTGAACTCACACATCTTCTTTTGTGCCTCGGTGAAAGATCAGTACCTGGAAGGGTAAGTCTCATTCTTTATATCCAGCAAAAGATTATTCAAAACAAGCCGTGAACAACAACAATCCTCTAGACGGTTTATTATATGGGTGCTGGTAAACAAAGCCCTACATTTTTAGATAACCTATATCATATAGATTATGTTTTCATCATTCTCTATACAGCCGGAGAAAAAGGGCGGAACACTGAGGGAGCAGCTGGATTCTATTGCGCCTGCACTGCGTGAGATGAGGCTGAGGAAAGACGAGAGAGTGAAGCAGGTCCGATCTCTCAAAGGGGAGATTCAGAAAATATCAGCAGAGATAGCAGGTAGATCAACATATGAAGACTCATCCACAAATATAACCATAGACGACAACGATCTTTCTATTAAGAAACTGGAGGAATATCAGAATGAACTGCATAGGCTCCATGATGAGAAGGTACGGTACATTTGTAGTACTAATTTTGGAACACAATGTATCAGACAGCTTTGGCTTATCCATCATGTTGTCTTTAATTTTTTTGTCACACAAGAATGAGAGACTACAGAAGGTTGAAATATATATATGCGCCATAAGAGATCTATCAGCAACTTTGGAAACAGAAGCATCGATGATCATAACAAAGATTCACCCAAGCCTTAATGACCTCTATGGAATATCCAAAAACATCAGTGATGATATCCTAAAAAAGCTTAATGGCACTGTTGTCTCTCTAGAAGAGGAAAAGCATAATCGCCTTGAAAAGGTGAAGCTAATTACACAAGTAGATTTTCTATCATTTCTTTGGGCGTGCTTGAGAATATAGCTTGACAAATAATTTAAAACACAAAGCAGTAAAGAGACTCAACATCTATTTATCAAGTAGAAAAAGGGTAGAACCAAGATATTGTTATCTGACCTTCTTACTAATGGCAGATTCACCATCTTGGTAGAGCTTTATCGGACCTGTGGAATCTAATGGATGCATCTTATGAAGATCGTCAGAAGTTTTCTCACGTCATTGATTTACTCTCATTCGAACCATCAGACGTGTGTGCTCCTGGCAGCATTACATCTAGCGTAATTCAGCAGGTGAGTATATAATAATATAGGGCAAAGGTTTCATACCAATGATACATAGATGATGTAACTGCCTTTTCTTTTTTTGTTTTCCCAAGGCTGAGGCTGAAGTCAAGAGACTAGATCAACTGAAAGCAAGCAAAACCAAAGAACTTTTCCTCAAGAAGCAAAAGGAACTAGAGGATACATGCAACATATCGCATATGGAAACTCCATCAACCGAAATAAGAAATATAACCAACCTTGTAGACTCTGGTGGGGACTCACTGTAACTTTCTGCAACTGCTGCTTGTCTGTCTTTATAATATATGTCAAAACTCATTGCAGAGTTTTCATACTCTAGGTGAAATCGACCATGTGGAACTTCTGAACTCCATGGATGAAAAGATAGCAAGAGCAAAGGAAGAAGCAGCAAGTAGAAAAGGGATAATTGAAAAAGTGGATAGGTGGATGTTAGCAAGTGATGAAGAGCGCTGGCTAGAAGAATATGACCAGGTTTGGCTATTATTCGCTACTGCTCTCTCTATGACATTGACTGCTATTATATCTCTCTGTAGTCTTAACTCCAAGCAACCAAACCCACAGGACGAGAACCGATACTCAGTAAGTAGAAACGCTCATCGAAACCTAAGGCGAGCAGAACGGGCACGCATTACAGTCAGCAAAATCACAGGTAATATAAGCCAGTTTCACATACCACCACAAAGTCACGACATTTCGGACATGGAACATGCATCTTCTTAACTTATAATGCAAACTAAAGACTAAACCATCTACTATGATGTTCACACCAGGATTAGTGGAATCTATATTGGTTAAGACAAAGAGCTGGGAAGTTGAAAGACAGAAAGTTTTCTTGTACAATGAGGTGACACAACCAACTTTTATATGCCTTTTGTGAATAAACGATAAGCAACTCTGAATTGGACAGAAACACTCACTTGTGTGCTTCTTTCAGGTTCCTCTTGTTGCAATGTTACAAGAATACAACAGGCTGAGGCAGGAAAAGGAGGAGGAGAAGCAAAGGCTCCGGGAAATGAAGAAGATCGTTCCACAACCCGTGGCTGAGCAAGATAGCTTTTACGTGGCGAGGCCAAGTACCAGCAGTCGCCGGATCTCAAATCGAAGCATCAATGGTGGATTCAGCAGCAGTGGAAGTCCTCTAAACAAAAAGCTTTCCAGAGGATACAGCAATCATAGTAATTACACAGCTCTTGGCACATCTTTGAGAAGGGAAAGCAGAAAGAGTCAAACGCAGTCTTGCTTCGCATCACCGTGATGAGAACAGCTATCTGTTTGTTTTCCCAGGTCCATTTGTCTCCTTTAGACTTCAATCATGGTTTCCGAATTCACATAATAAAGTATTGTCCTGTAACAAGACTTTGAGTTATCACTTTTATCGGAAGTAAGCATCGATCTGTGTTTTCATCATGAAACGAAACCCAAAATGAGATTCAAGTGGAAATTACTTGACTTTTGGGTGGAAACTGATGGATTCGAGTCCAATTCAAGAGCCATAAAAAAAAAAACTAATGAAAAACTGAAAAGAGAATGAAGTCAGTCTACCGGAGATAATTTCCCTTCGGCGTAGACCTGCCGGAGCGATCCAGCATCTAAGCCAAAATTACCAATTTAACCAATTTTTTTTTCCTTACTTTTTCTTGCGTAATATACTAAAACCATATTATAAAAAGTAGAGAAGTCAGGAAAGTTACCTAAATATGATTACAAAAAAAGGCACTACATCTAAATACGGTGACTCTTTGGGTTATACGTAAAAGTTAAATTGTATGACATATTTTAAGTAGATTTTAGGAGACATCTCTTGTTGGTTTTCGTTTCCACTTGTAGTTGTGCAGGATCTAATATTGGTAAACGACCACATCGCAACTTGTACCATTTTTTTTTTTAATTTCCTTTTGGGCTTTAACGAAAATTCAACACAATTTTAACGAGAGATTCATGTCGTCACATATATTTTCCTTTTCATTACTTTTCTCAAGGTAAATTACAAAAAACTCGTTGGAAATAAATACGCAATACCCACCTTTTGTCAGGAAAAAAAGACGTCCTAACGAGGTAGACTTAGTCTGATAGAAAGTCTTGATAGAATTGCTAAATTCGTAACCATTTTATATCTTAACGTTCTCTGCAAACAGTCTAGTTAGTAGTATACTACAAGATATAAATGTCAAATTATCATATATGACAAAAGTATAATATTCAATGCCCTATGCAATATGAAAATTCCACGTAACTAGTAACAATAACGAGGCTTAATCAAAATAGGAGATGTAGATCCAAAACTATCGGCATTAACTCAGATCAATAAGTGAACCCTATGTAATAAGATCCCTTGAAAAAGGAAAAAAAGAAAAAAAAAGAAAAGAAAATATAAAGGGCAAAAGTGGAAAAGTGTCGTAATCTTAGCAAAACCTGTAATCGCCACCGTCAATGGAAGCGTTCGCAGCCACCGGAGGGATCGCGAAATGCCATAACCTCCCGGCGGCATGAACTCTGTACTTCCGGCATAAAAACTCCTCGGCGAAAGTCTTCTCCACTCTCCGGTTAACGTCGTGCAAGAACACGTGAGTGACTCCAGGTTTCTTCCGGTTCCTTGCCATAACCGCCGCCGAGAAAATCGCCGCCATTCTTCCCGGAGCTTCTGCAAAGTAACCTTTAGGAGCATCGAGCATAAGCAGATCCCACTCTGTGTCGTAGAACTCATCGGGAAGCCCCGTAAGAGCAAGCTTACACCGTTCGTTTCCTCGGAGGTACGCTTTCGCCGGAAAACAGCTAGGCTCCGATTTGTACGAGCGTAGAAGCGAGTCGGCTTGTTGAAGCTGCGTCCTGTAGCGCACGTGGTGCGCACGGAGGAAAGGAGAGTCTTTGGTCACTTTCTGAAACCACTCGAGATCTTCCTCTAGGAATAAGGTTTTGCCACGCGGATTCAGAGAAGCCCACATGAGTGAGTCACGGCCGAGTCCGAAGACGAGGAAGTTGGCCGGAGCTAGCTCTTTCAAGACGTTGAAGGAGATCGAGATCTCGGCGAGGTTCTGTTGTGGGACCACGTTAGAGGTCGCGTAGTGGACGATAGCTTGGAGCTGAATCGGTGTAGCTGCATAATCCGCCGCCGCGGCAATCGCTCGGCTTTTGGCGCTCGCGGAGGAGCAGAGGAAGAAAGCGTCGTCGGCGGCACGTAAGAAGCTTGTGAAGAGTAAAGAGCCTCCGACTAGACCGGCGAGTAAAACGGCGGTGATGATCCATCGTTTATCCGATGGGATTAAGTTGCTGCTCATCTTTATATTCTTTTTTTATTTTTGATCTCAGATCTGACTATTTCTTTCTCAGGTCGAGCAAAGACCTGTGATGAGAAATTCAGAGATGTGAAGAGGATTGTTGATTGGGGAGAAAATGAATATAAAAAAGTATTGGGATATATTTTCTTGGAGGAAGGCATATTTGATGACACGCGTTCATATCCGACCATTCAAGTAAGTGGACTGGATGGTATGTACATGACACGTAACTGCGACTTATTCGAATTTGAAAGAAATATCTGTGTTACACATATGTTATTTAATTGGAGTATGGGTCTTCGTGCCCACTTTGTAAACAAGATCGCCAAATGCCAAATATAAATAAAATAAAACTAGAGGTTGTCCATACTTTTTTAATGGCTTTCATGATGGTACACATAAGTAGGGGTTATCAACCTTACATCATTTACAACGGTGGAATTCTTAAAATAAGTATTTTAATAATTATTTTATTATAATTTAAGATATATATAATTAAATTTTAATATTTAAAAAAAAATTATACCAATCAAAATAAGACAACTGTATAAATAGGTCTCTTAAAAGCTTAAAACCAGTTTTTATTTGAGAAATTTAAGAGCTTTCTTTTTCATGTTTCTTCTAACTTTTTATTTTTTTCTTCTTTTTTTAATACTAAAATACTCTTCTTAAGAGTTTCCATTGCACATGATCTTATGAGCTTCATCGGTGGATTAAGGTTGATTTAATCTGTTATGGATTAAGCTGATATGTGAATTGTTAGGTTTATTTTGTTAAATAAACTAATCCGTGAATTGAAGACGAAATGAGTTATAAACTTTTTAATGTTGTTCTGCAATAAAATTTGTTTTTATTACATTTGAATACTGAGCTCAAATTTATCATCCAAAAATGTGCGCTTAGTTACTAAATATATGGCAAATCCAAAAACATAACATCTATTTTTAACATAAGCAAGCCCATTTTAAAGAGCCGAACATCCTCTATTACTTTATTTTTCCTTAATGTTAAAAAAAGGTAAAAGAAACATCAACGATCATAAGTCACGCCACTTCTTGAAGACTTGTCAACTGCTTATAAAAACCATCAGATATGGAAACAAGCTCTCTATGACTTCCTTTCTCCACAATTCTTCCTTTGTGCAAAACAGCGATGGTGTCTGCCTTTCTTATGGTCGAGAGCCTATGAGCCACTAACACCGTGGTTCGTCCTTTCATCAGCTTGTCCAACGCCTCTTGGACCAGTTTCTCAGAGCTTGTGTCTAAAGCACTCGTTGCCTCATCAAGGAGAAGCACCGAAGGATCCTTCAGAACCGCCCTCGCAATAGCCACTCTTTGTTTCTGACCACCTGATAACTGCACTCCCTTTTCACCCACGTGTGTCTCGTACCCTTCTTCCATCCTGCTTATGAACTCGTGCGCGTTCGCAGCTTTTGCGGACTCGATAATCTCTGCCTCCGACGCGTTCTCGTTACCGTACTTGATGTTATCATGTATGGTTGTTGAAAACAGAGCTGGTTCTTGCTGAACTAACGCTAGCTTCTTGCGCAAGCTACGCAGGTTTAGGGTTTTTATGCATTCCCCATCGATGAAGATATTTCCCTTTTTGGCATCGTAGAATCTCATGATCAGTCCAATCACCGTGCTCTTTCCTGAACCACTGGGTCCCACGACCGCAAGACTCTTCCCGGCTGAAACTCGGAGGTTTAGGTTTTGGAAAATGGCGATATCAGGTCTAGCCGGATACGCAAAGGTGACGTTTCTAAACTCTATATCTCCTTTGATCTGAGTGATCAGTCTTGAGTTAGGCTGGTCTGGAGGCATCTCAGTCTCTCTATGTAAAACCCTAAAAACCGACCCGAGTGCTTGCGTGCCCTTTACGATATCTGGTGTCAAAGCAAGCGTCTCCGATACCGAGAAAGCCGTAATGATCAACACCATGAAAGCTTTGATACTATCCGCGAAATTCGTCTCCTTGTGCTTAATCAATACCGAGACGTACCAGAGACCTAGAGCGTAGGAACAGAACGCGAGAAACTGAGAAAAACCATATCCAAATCCAGAGATATGACCTCTGAGAAAGGCATTCTTGGTGGGTTTGCTTAGCTCACAAGCAAACTGCTCCGATATCTGATTCTCAGCACCAAACGCAGCGACGGTTCTTATATTCCCAATCGCTTCACGAGCCACTGACGTTGCTCTAGAGTAAGCCCTTGTGTAATCTCCTCCAAAGCCTTTTAGAAACAGTTGCTGTAACATAACACATTGTCAAGCTTTTTCATATTCAAGATTCAGAATATGGTTGATAGGAACTTTGATTTTGCGTTACCTCGGTGAGTGCAGCGGCAATGAGAAGAGGGAAACAAGCAGTTACGACGGCTGCAACACGCCAACTGTAGTAAAAGGCAATTGCTAATGCCGTAACTGTAAGAGACAAGTTTTGGATTATTGTTGAGAGGCGATCCGCGAGAGAACTCCTCACCAGAGTTGCATCAGCAGCCAAGATTGAGGTGAGTGAGCCAGTGTTGTTCTCATCTAAATCAAACCATCCAATCTCATTTGAAAGAATCGCTGTAAGAAAAATATTAGCACTCAAGAAACGAATCATTCCCAAAAACAAGAATGTTTAAAATGTTTTGACTGGTGTTTACCTGAGAACAAAGATAAGCGAACCCGAGAAGTAAGACGCTCTCCCATAACTGTATAAAAGTAATGTTGGAGGAGATATATAGGAGCTGTTGCAAGTCCAGCTACAGCGAAGATAATAGCTACCTTTTCAACTTCGTGCTTCATCACATTAGGAAAAGGCGAATAAAACGCGTTTAAGACATAAGCAATCCCCATGGAGAACAATGGACTTTCTGCTCCTGCAAGAACTGCACCAATTGAGCCAAGTAATGCATAAGGCCACTCTGGAGCATTCATCTTTATAAGTTCCCATATCATCGAAGATGAGCTTAAATCTTCGCCATTTGAATCTTTTTCAGTCTTCTCTTGGTCTTCCCTGAAGCTTGAAGTCCTTCTTGAGCTAGAAACCCTTCTTGAACTAGAAGATCCAGCTTGAGATTTACAGGTTTCCGACATAACTGATCTCGGGTTTTCTTGAGGCTCTGTCTCTTGGCAATTCACAAGAGTCGCGTAGTCACCTCCTCTTGATATCAGTTCTGAGTGGCTACCAGTTTCCATGACCTGACCATTTCTCAATACAACAATCTTGTCAGCGTTTCTGATGGTGGATAATCTGTGTGCAACGACGATTGTTGTTCTTTTTTCCATGACATTGTCAAGTGCTTGCTGAACAATCTTCTCTGATTCGGCATCAAGTGCGCTTGTTGCTTCATCTAAGAGTAATATCTTTGGATTTCTTAAAACCGCTCGAGCAATCGCAATCCTCTGTTTCTGCCCTCCTGAGAGCTGAGTTCCTCCTTCTCCAACCTATTAGAATAGCTTGACCAATAAGGAAGTGAATTCTGAAAAGATGACTATGCAAATTCGAGTAAATTACCTGAGTATCATAACCATCAGGTAGTGATTTGATGAAAGTATCTGCGTTTGCTGCTTGAGCAGCTTCTATGATCTGATCCATATTTGCGTTCTCTTTACCGAGAAGAATATTGGAAGCTATGGTCGTGGCGAATAAGGCCGGTTCTTGACTCACTAAACCCATCTGTTCCCTCAACCATTTCAACTTCAAGCTCTTGATGTCCTTCCCATCCAAAAGAATCTCCCCTGATTTGGGTTCATAGAACCGTTGAACCATTGATATGATTGTGCTTTTCCCTGAACCGCTTGGACCGACAAACGCAAAAGTCTCGCCTGACCCTACTGTGAAACTAAGATTCTCAAAAACCATGTTTGGTCTCGAAGGATAAGCGAAAGACACTTGGTGAAACTCAATCCTCCCAGCTACATTTTGCAATGTTGTTCCATCGTCTAATCTTTTCGAACTTTGAAGATCGTTGTTCCCTATCATTCTGAATATATTTGCAGCAGCAACTCTGCCTTTGGCAATCGCGGATAAGCTAGGCGCGGCTTGACCTAAGGCGCTGCAAATGCAAACTAAACTATTTGTATTATTGCAATTTGATGACATATCAGGCCATATATCTTGGGGGTAGGGACTTACAATCCGCAAAAAATGACATTGAGGATGGTTGTGAATGCTTTTGCGCCGTTGACTTTGCCGTGGCGCACAAGAAGACTAGCGTACCACAGAAGCAAAGCCCAAGCACAGAACAAGAGGCTATATGTTAATCCAACTCCTAAGCCTTTGGCAAGACCTCCCCTTTTACCGAGTTTCAAAGCTTTCTTGAGAGAATTTGAGTAAGATTTCACAGCTTTGTCTTCTCCTACAAATGCATACACTGTTCTAACCTGTGACATAACCTGAAGATCCATTTAGAATTATGTTAAGAAATGAATACGAAGCTTAACACACATTTTTACCATATTATACAACATTTAGGTCTTGGTTGTAACTTTGTGTTTGATTTTGCGCTTAACCCACATTTTTAGCATATAATACAAAATTCCGTTGTTGTAAGCAAGAATGCTAAAGGCAAGTGGTCCTTCACATTTTGAAGAAAAAAATCTGTTATGAAAAAACTGAAAATGTTATTACTGTATATCTTTTACAATGTACATTTTTTTGGTGAAAACGTATCTCGCAAGTAATGACATAAATTAGTTTTTGAGACAATCTCAGCCTTAGTATATAAACAAACCTCTTCTGCAACTTTCCCTGCATCAGCATAAGCAGCTTCACTCTTCTCTGAGATTGTGGACATGACAATAGCATACCCTCCTCCTGCAATCGCTATCAATGGAACCACTGCTAACGTGAGCAGCGTAAGTTGCCATACCGACAAAAAGGCGACGACAAATCCGGCGATGAACTGAGATAGATACCGCAATACATGGTCTGTCTGATACAAAACAAAACATTTCACCAATTCAGTTACAATTTTGCTTTGTTTTTATTTTGGTTTTCGTCCTGAATATTAAGGTACCTTATCGCCAATTGCATCTTGAACCAAGATAGCATCGCTTGAGATGCGGAAAATGAGATTTGAATCTCTAGCTTCTGTATCGAAGAAAGTAATGTCTTTTGCCAAGATTGATTTGAGATAATCAATACGCAACCGAGCTGTTTGTCTTTCTCCTGTTTGCATCCAACAAGCAACTCCTGCCAATAAAACGTTGATCAATCAACTAAAACATGAAAAAAAATTACAGATAAAAAAACTTGATAAAACATTATAAAACAGAGCAATCAAAAACGCACCGATCCAGGCTGATACGAAAGTGGCCAGTCCTAAGTAGACTAAGTGCAGAGCATTCTTGAAAAGACAAAATCACCAAATTTCATGAACTTATGACAAGAAACCAAGAGAGAGCGTACTAAAAAAATCATACTTGATAGCAGTTTATGAAGAAAACCTGAGAAACGCGGGAAGATATGGCTTTAGGATCTGTAGAAAGATTGCCAAGAGAATCTAGCATTTCCCCAAAGAATACGAAGAAGAGGGGAAGCGTACCGCCATGAATACACGCGCCTAAACCTCCTAGGAACATGAGAAAGTAATCAACTTTGTCTGCTGCGCTAAACAAACCCATCAATGAAACTGAATCCTTGTTCATCTTTTTCTTCGATTCCGTCTGGGTCGGGTTACTTCCATTAGAGGATGGTTCAGTGTTGTCCATATTTTTTCAGTGAGAACAAAGACAGAGAAGCGATGGAGAAAGCGTAGACTGAGCACTGAGCAGGGAGGGATATATTAGGGTGTTGTTGGGTTTCTTGTGAGGAAAGCGAATGTAAAGGGTACAATAGGGATTATAAAAAAGAGCCAGTCTCCCTCGGCTTATTTAATGTATAGTGTTAATAGGGGAACACTAATCTCACCTAAAATCAAAGCGATCGTTCTACTTCTAACTGTTTTTGACAACTCAAAGTTAAAGCTTAGATATTAGGTAGGTGACTATATCAATGTGTTTACATCTGTTTAGACATAATCAATGTGGAGCCGCTCATTTTTATATCCTGTTTATAACCTTTTCGATTTTATGTGTGAAATAATATGTACCTTTTGATATAGTAACATTATATAGTTAACCATCTCCATTGGTGAACCTCAAATGAGTTTCTTAATAACTTTTTAAATTTAAATTTTCCATCATTCTATTTTAAGAACTTTGCTAAAAGACTTTTCATTTTTTCTCTTCCATTGGTAGAATCTTATTAAGGGTTTCTAAGAATTAAAAAAAAATTATATTTTAAAAAGTATTGATGAGAGATAAGTTTTTTAGAAGTAACACTTTGGAGCAATCAAAAGCAGAGATTTATTATCGGATACTGGTACAGGGGTCTGAATCATTTCCTTCGACACAAATCCAGCATAAATCCAGCATACAAATCCAGCATTTGTCGATAAGACATCCTTCCTTGTGGATACATCTACTTGGTAGCAACAGAAATTTCCAGAATGTTCACAGCCATGTCGTATATGTTATAATATCTAACAACTTGTAGAAGATTAATTTTGATATGAAAGCTCTGAGATTGTGAACAAAACACAGAGATTAATCAGGAGAGTGTAGTTAGAAGTAAGAAGATTAGACCTGCAACTGATGTGTTGTCTAATGGGAAGACCCAACACGGAGGTAATGGCGCAAACATATGTGATCGTAGATGAAAAGGGAGATTTCCAACTCCCTGTGAAGAATCTTCAAAGTGAATGATTTGCAAGTTGCAGTCTTGCAGACCAAGTGAAACATGGCACTTGCAGCTAGAAATATAGTGCTTAAGTAAGTCCATGACAAGATCATTGATAAAAGAATCAAAACAGATAGCCATGGCTGGTCTCACCGAATTCTGAAGACCAGCGTTCATTCAATTGCAAAACCAGGATTCATCATAATAAGGGGTATTTTAGCTTCTTAAACAGAGCACCTTAAGCATCTAAATGCATACAACATCAATCACAGATGAACTTACCAACAAGTTCTGGAGATGGTCAATTATATCCAAAGCTCCAGCACAATCTGCGGACGCAACAAACTGAACAATAACGAATCAAACTTCCATCAAGATAGGAAATACACAAAATTAGCCAACTTGATCATTGCTCAAAATTCAATTCAAGAGAACTCTTTTTTCATGATCAATCTAATTTTCGACACAACTCCATAACAACACACTAGATAAAAAGAGATTGCATTTTCTTTATGATGAAATTTTTATGTTTCATAGCAACAAAAAGTGCAGAGATTTGAAACGAAAATAAAAAGAAAAGAGGAAAAGGCAAACTCACTCCTTTTGAAAAGCGACAAAGGCTCTTTCCCATATTTATCGAGAAGAGCTTCGGGATTCATGGCGACAACATGCGTGACTTTCTTCCTTAACCGATCTTCCTCGATCACGGCTCCCATTTGAACCATCTTCTGCTTCCAGATCTTCATAGCATGTAATAATCAGAAGAGGAGAAAAAAAAAAGCTAATGAAATTTGTCGAAATTGATGAAGTATAAGCAAAACATCGAGCAATAAGCAAGCAATTTACCCGCAGATTCCGACAGTTTCCATCACGATCTCGATTTCAGATGGCTTGAAGAAGGAGAAAGACATGATATGATGATGATCAGAGTTGGAATTATGCAGTTAACTTGCTCGAATTTTAAGCTTTCACCCGAATTGTGGATCAAAAAAGAGAGAATTGTCGATCGGAAAAGAGAGAATCTGTCCATCACGACCTCAGCATTCTATTTTTTCTTTTATTTTATTATTTGTTTTTCATCTTTTTAATATGATTGACACGCAAGAATTTCTTATTAGTTCCAAAAACACTCAAATAAGAGACGTCTGCTACCAATTTTATACTTAAATCATTTTTTAAAATTATTTTTAACTTAAGAAATCTTCTAAAAACTTCATTAAATACCCCGATGGAGTTGCCATAGTAACATTATATAGTTAATGAACACGTGATGTGCCGTGCAAAGTTAAAAAAAAATACTGCAGAAAAGTAAATTTGTGACATTTATGGGATCAAAGAAAATCTAATACGACTTTTAAATTAAAAAAGAAAACTTTGTATAATTTGAGGACCAAATAGTATGTAATTTGAGGATCGAGCCCAATATTTCATCTGGCTTATGCTGAAGGCCGGCCCAGGTATCGAGTCTTCATTACTGTTGTGAACCGGCCCTACTAATTAAATTAACTTGTGTGGACCAAAATGAGTACATGGTCTGCAGAGGACAATGTGTTGAAGACTCTGTTCGTATTAATTTGCATCTTGTGTGTCGGTAGTAGGTAGCTCTATCAAGCGATTTTAGAGCAAATATCAAATATCAATTTAATATATAGTTATCATTTTTTAAAAACAAAACACTCATATCTATTGTTTGAACTCGAGACCTTCAACACTTTTCCTTGTGTATGGCCAGAGATAGCACATATATCTAGTTACCGACGCCGGAAATTACAATTTTGGGAAATTGGCTGTAATAACTACAAGACCAGTTGAAATTAATAGAATGATCATACGAAAAGAGATGCTATAGTATTCTTTATATTTTATATAATATATATTAAATTATTCTTTTCTTCTTTTTTTCTCTTCTTCTCCTCTTCTCTTCCCCTTCTTCTCCCTACCTTCACGTCTTCTCATCTCTTCTCTTCCTCTTCCCCTCCTCTCCCCTCCCTGTCTTCTCCTCTCCCATCCTTTCCCTCCCCTCCCTCCCCTCCCCTCCCTGTCTTCTCCTCTCCCATCCTTTCCCTCCCCTCCTCTCTCCTTTCCATTTGATAATTCATACTATACAAATTATGTGAAATAATTAATTTTGTAAACAGTATAGTACAATACAAAAATTAATATAGTATAATATGTTAATATAAAATTGATATATAATTAAAACCTTAAATATTATACTATATAAACCTTCTCGTATAAGAACATATATTATAGTATAGTCCAGAAAAAATCATATATTATAGTATAGTCTATAAGGAAATATGGGCAACATATGTTTCCAACGTTAAGAAGAATGAGTTTTTCGTAATTTTTATGTGGGTCATGGTTAGTTTGCATATTATTTAAATAATATGGCTATATTTTTCGATTATTTTGTAAATATGGTTATATAGCAAAAAAGCTCTACAATTTTCCTCTGAATTTTACTCAAGTCCAGTTTTAAAAATCAAATTAATGTATCAAGGGTATTCCGCATTTTGGATATACTTTTTTGTATTCTATATGTCCATTTACGTTTGACATTGTCTTATTAGAAATTAACATACGATTGATATTTGTGAAACAGTGTGAGCTAAACCTTACTGTTTTTTGCTAATTAAAAGATATGTCAGCTAAACCTTGCGAAGAGCCGAAGACTTACTAAGAGCATCTAATGGAAGTTCTTAAGAGAGGTTTTGATCAATAAATTGATCAAAATTAAATAAAAAATAGATAATTATGTGTAGAACAGATTTTGAAATGAGAGTTTTTAAAACCTATTAGAACATCTTTATCGATAAAAATTGTAAAAGACGTATTTAAAAGAAAAAAAATTAATATTTTAATAAAATTTAAAGAGAGATAAGTTTCAAATTTTCTAAAATCAATGTCTTTTAAAATCTTTATAAACGTATCTAAAGTTCTTTAATTAAGCAACGTTTGTTATTATCTTTTTTTCTTTTTATAATAATTGTTTATTATATAGATACTTGATAAAAATCATTGATAAAGGTGGTCTCAGACCCCCTAATGTCTCTCATTGTGATTGGATAAAGCTTTTTTATTTGTTTTTTTTATTTTTTTTATTTACTGATCAAATAATTTGGAATTCTACCATTGAAGAAAATAAATTTTAAAAACTCTTTTTAATTTCAGATTTCTTAAATTTTTATATTAAAAATATTGGTAAAAACCCACGAGAAGTTCTTGCCATTGACTATAGTATAAGTTTTGTTAACTATTGAAATGACATAGCAATCATTTTGAATAAACATTTTTTTTCTTGGGTCAACACTTGTGAATAGCTACATTTTAAGAGTCCTTTCATGTTTTAGCGTCCCAATACGAGAGGTATGATTGAGAATGGACCCAACATAAAGAGTCACATGCACATAGTTGATTGAAAGTTCAATGAATCCATTGTTCTAAAAAAATCTTTAGCCAAGATATTTTTGTGTAACCAAGACGCAAAGCAAGAAAAAAAAGAAGACTTCGTTCTTTGTTCATACGTAAACGATAAATCGCTAAAAATCCTATCCGCGTTGTAGCAATTCCTCTCGTGTGGATGCATTATTTTCTTTCCGTTGCATTCATCCTCGACACGTTGATTTTTGTTGTTGTTGTTGCTGTGATTACACACATATATATATCCTTCGGATTTAAAATTCGACATTTTTTTGTCAACTATAGTCCATATATTAAATTAAGTTTGCACTGTTTGGTGATTGTTCCGAATAACAAACCATCTCGGGTCGAAGATTCATAAAGTAACTGGATCGATATCTCTAAACAAACTAAGGAATTGTGAACAAATTAAAGAATATGGTTAAAATGTTAAAATTTACTTTACAGTATATTAGGAATGGCATATCGGTACTATACTACCAGCGTCACAGATACAGCTCCAGGCCCATCTAATATCTATTGATACAAAAGGAAAGAAGGCAGAGAGAATAAAGTAGGTCGGTGCGAAACAGAAAAATGGTAGTAAGAGAAAATTGCTAAAATAGATTATAAATGCTGATTTTGATATTTTTATTTATAACTTCTTTCAACTGTTTTGCATGCTTAAGAAGAAATGAAGAAAGTTATTTGAATCACCTTTCTAAGTTTCTATAGCGAGTTAAGATCAACATTTAGCAAAGTTATAAACAAACACCATGAAATTATGATGACATCCTATATATGGCTATCATTATTTTTCATGTCATTATATTTTCGTGACACATTAAGAAGCGTGTTATTCTCTTTGTTCATATGAAGTGATATTGAAAGATTTTGCATATATTTTCAATTTTCTTAGAAAAAGCATCAGTTATTACAACTAAAAAAAATTCAAACCAATTATAAAAAAATCTTAAAAGATAAACGATCAATTTTTTTTTGAAATTTTTTTAATTGTACATTAAAATATAAATATTATTTAGAATGAATCATTTTTTTGGGGGTAAACATCATTAAAGTGAAACAGAAAAAGCAAATAATTGTTCAAAAAAAAAAAAAAAAAAACAGAAAAAGCAAATTTGCATTATTTACATTATTTATACAGAAGCGTTATTTCACTCTGACGTCAATAATAGCACACGGAAACAACAACAAAAGGTCAGTAAGTCAACAATTATATTGAGCTTCGTTAATGTTAATATGTATAGGTAGGTGTCGAAGCTCCCAACTACGCACAACACAATGGCATTTACTACACAACACACAGCTCAAAGTTATTTTTGCTTTTAAATACGAACAAAATCCTCAACAACAAAAGAGAGAGAGAGAGAGAGAGAGAGAGGGAGAGAGATCAAAACCAGGAAAACAAAAGAAAGAAAAAAATCTGAAAATGAAGGGTCTTCATCTCCACCTCTTCCTAGTCACCATGACGGTCGTTGCGTACATCTCGGCGGCTACACCGGCGGCTCCTGCGGTGGGAGGACCTTTGGCGGATAAATGCAGCAAAGATATTCAACAAGTGACTTTGTGTTTGGATTTCGCGACCGGGAAGGCACCGACTCCGTCTAAGAAGTGTTGTGACGCTGTGGAAGACATAAAAGAGAAAGATCCAGAGTGTTTGTGTTATGTGATACAACAAGCCAAGTCAGGAGGACAAGCGATGAAGGATTTTGGTATCCAAGAAGGCAAACTTATTCAACTTCCTTCTTCTTGTCAGCTCCACAACGCTAGCATCTCCAACTGCCCAAGTACGTTTCTCTTTTTAACTCTACATTATTTTTTGTTCATATCTCTCGATCTGCTTTGTGATAACTTTCATGTGTCTATTAGTCAAATAGTTCGACCTAGAGACTTTTAGTTTAATAGTTTGTATTATATGATTTACATCGATGTGTCATACTGATACCCAAATCCGGTAGAATGCATGTTATTTCACCATTGCACATTTGAGGAAAGTTATTAACATGGTCTTAAAATTATGAACCTATTAATATTGAAGTCATTTTTTAGCTATCTCTAAATAGAGCATGAGTGCGAGTCACAAAACTTGCTTTCATGAGTTTTGTAAGTTTTAGTGTTCCAAGGTCATGGGTTGCAACTATATTTTTTTTTGCTAGTGAGTTTTATAGTATAATTGACTATTTTAAGCAGTACGTTAATTTCCTTTGTCATACAAATATCTTTTTTTTGTGTGTGTGTGCAATGTCATACAAATTATCTATATAAAAAATTGTTTTCGTATGCTTATTTTGGAGGAGAACCAGCAACCGTAAACCAGTAACCAATTTAGCTATAAATAATTTAATGCGACAGGTGCCTCGGGTTGCAACTATATTTTACAGAGAAGCGCATTTAATTTGTAGCACATTTATAAATACAGTAACCTACTTTTTTACACAACCAACTTATTTTAATTTTTTTTTCCAAAATACAGCCAATTTATTATATTTGATATGTCTTTGCAATAAAATAAGGAATTATGCTGGTCCCTTCTTTACTTACTCCTATATTATATGTTCACTACTATGAAGAATTTCGCATTGAATTGATTAACTGATTATTGTTGTTTCGTTATACCATACAAATTTTAACCAACGATATTAATGCCTTGTTATTAGGAATCTCAGTATAAAGCTATATTTTGGTTGAATTTTCGAGGGTATAATTAATGTAATAAAATCGTATTTTGGTTTATTGACATTTATTAAGTGACGCTATATGTTAAAATGTGCATGATACAGAACTTCTTGGGATTTCGCCGAGCTCGCCAGACGCAGCCGTATTCACAAACAATTCCACTTCAGCAACAACACCGACTGCTCCGGCAGGGAAGTCTCCAGCAACTCCAGCGACGTCTGCGGATAAGGGAGGATCAGCTTCCATAAGAGATGGTCACGCCTTCGTGGCTCTAGCCGTGGCTTTGATCGCCGTCTCCTTCATCTCGACCTTGCCTTGGATGGGTTTGGCCTAAACGTGTGACATTAGGGATGTAATCTTTCTGTATTATGTGGTGGTGCTTTTGTTTCAAAATTTCAAAACTATCTTTGTTAACTATGTTTCTTGGTTCGGACAATTGTTGTAATGAGTGAACTTACCATTTAAATCGGATTATCCACCGTTGAAATCATCGTTTAGTGTTAACACTAGCAACATTTTTACAAAAATATCATTTATAAACTTATTAAACCGAGGCCGATTTTTAGAGCCAATATATCTTACAACCTATGCTCCTTGAGTCTGTGGTCAGTAGTACATAATCAAGAGTCTAAAACCATAATCAAAGCCCCATCCGATCCAAATTCCAAAAGAGAAGAGAGTTTAAGAAAAAAAAACTTAAATGGGTTTGTGTTGCAAGGCCAAAGCCTCTGCAAAGCTTCGGGACATTTCCTTTACTAAATCGTCAGGGAGAGAACTTGTGGGATGATGTGTTGGAACAGAGGTTTGGGAGACACAGAAATTTTCAAGAACAGCACGTTGTCTGGCTTTTCTGGCTTGAATCGCTCTCTGTCGCTCTTCGCAGAAGCTGAAGTCATCGAGGATCGAAGAACGCATCTCACAGCTATTGAATATATTTAACATCTCTATACCTTGTTCCAGTCCCACCTGCAGATATACACACACACATACTTTTTTTTTACATCTTTATACTTTGAATGTCTACCAAATGTGCTGAAAGGAAAACATATAACTTGAAAACTATGTTCAATTGTTCATGGTCAGATCTTAGATATGTTTCCTAGAAATTACACACATTTGACTACCTTGATATTTAAGTACATGAGGGTTTATTTGGATAGTTGTGATATAAGCATTCTTTCATTTCAAAGAAGACATGCTCCACGTTGGAGAGATCCACACAGAGTGGAGAAAATTAAACGATACAAGATTCTATAGAAGCATCAATCTCATGGTGTAGTGACATCTAAGTTTCATTATAAAGGCAATTTGAGAATTGAAAATACGACTCACAACGCTCAAATCTATATGCATGGAATGGATCCTCAAGAAAAGAATGCACAAGACAAGAAGAGCTTAGTTTACCTCTTGGGTGTCTCTACTGTTAGTGACAGGCTTATTGTCATTGTTTTCAATTATGATGTGACGAAAGAGACTGTTGGGAACATCTTTAACAATTAGCCATTTGACCGGGAAGTGTCCTGACCACCTATCCTGTTGCCAGTACTCTACACTTGTGTTGAAATCAACCGGTCCAACCATCTCGGCCACTCCACAAAACTGGGCACTCGCATTCACCTGAAATCAAATGCTTTTAGCCCTTCTTCTGTTCGGAGTTTAAGATCAAAAACTCAGTGGATTCAATTATAGATACACATATATAGCCTGAGATGGATTGCTATAGTTTCAGTCAAAAAGACAAAAGTTTGACAATGCAGTTTCATAGCTGAATAAACAAGCAGGTGTAAGTTATCTTCCAATGTCACTCTCACAGTCACAATGCATAGCTTCCAAGCAACTTTTGATTTGTAATGAAGAAAAACTAGACAATTTACCGAAAACAAAAGAAAGACAGGGCATGCCACTTCTTTCTTCTTTGCTTCACGATAGGCAGCATCCAGCTTTTTGTTTCCATTTTTAGTGCTTGCCCAAACACAATACTTAACGCTCTTGTGGACATTGTCCTCGCTATATGACTTAATAACGAAGAACTTTGCGTCCCTGAACTGGGGGAGCAGATCTTGCTGACACAAACGATCAACGTGATCATAAGTGATCATTTTACTTTTACCGTTTAGCATGGAAGCCCTAGGCCCTCTGTTTCTCTCGGTAAGCATGTCAAGCATGGAAAGGCAATGGCAGAAGTCGCTGCAGCTTCCACTTCTTGTTTCATCAAGTGGTGGCAAGTTGTAATCAAGCTCCCAAGTTGGGATAGAAGAAGAAGCAGAGAAAGAGCCTCTTTTGCATTGATTATAAGCTTGCTCTCTGTAACTTAAGCTTGCAGCAGATTCAAAAGCATCATGCAAAACTCGATGTGGTGGACCCTGCGTAGATATCATCAGTTAGATCTACATAGAACTAAGCTTTGTCTATTAAAATACGTCTGGACAGATGGGGACAACAAAAGGCTTAAAGGTGTAAAGGTTTCAAGAAGCTAGAAACTGACCATATCGAAATCATTTGCAGATAAGTCCGCTGAACCAGGGTGCTTCATAGATCTTCTGGTATATGCCATTGGAAGAAACATGTTTTCTCCACTGAAGGGGTTAAGATTCGGACCTTTAGACTCTCCAAATGTATTATTTCTTAAGCCAAAGTTTCCCCTAGAGCGCATCATATAATCAGCCTCACTAATGTTTCTTTCATTCAAATGCCTATCAAAATGTCTAGAGTTCGCCTGAAACATGTAAGACTCTGGAGAAACATGAAATGGAAACTGCTGACTTGATGAGTCAAAAGGAACGAAATGTCTTGAATCATCAGCGTAGAGGTCACCATAATGCTGTGGCAATGACTGGTTTCCGGTGGAATGAGACGGCCTCTGAAAATCTGATGGTACACCATTATTATGGTAAAACATGTCATACCTCATGCCCTGTAACAATTGAAGATGAAAAAAGAAAATAAATGAAGACATGAAGAAGAACACCAAAGATCAAAAGCAAGTGGAGTAAAAAAAGGCGTAGGTTAAGATGATTTACTCACAGCAGAAAGTTCTTCAAAGCTTGGAATGTCCGTATGTTGTGAATGGTACGACCTTGGAGTATCAGCTGCATTGTCATAGCCTGAGAGAAAACAACGACATTAACAGGGAACTCCCAAAATTTGCAATAAAAATCTACAGTTTTTGGTCACAAATACAAACATGGCGAAGCAGAAATAAACGAATAGGTAAAGGACTTTTCATGGGCATGTGGCAATGTTTCCTTTCCCTTAATGCACCTAGAAAAATTGTATAACTAAACGAACATAACAATTTGGACAAGCTCCGCATAAGTAGGTGAGCTTCAGTGTAAGAGAAAAGCAAGCAGTTCTGTGGTGAAACAATAATAACAAAGAGAGGGAACAAAGATGAAGCTCACAACACAACAAGCCGGAGAATAGTTCTAACCAGTAAATTACAGTTAAATGTTAGAGAAGTGATAAAAGTATCAAAGAGACCTAACCTCAAGGAGTGTTGAAACATAAAATCAAACCACAGGCAAAAAGGAAAAGGCTTTACAAATTTACAAGCACAGTTTTTTTTTCTTTCTTTTCAAAAGGGCAAAAATCATCAGCGGACATCGTAATCTCTTAGTCACTGTGACGAAATCATAAAACCCATTTCAACCCTCACGAGCATAAAAGTGAAAAAAGTTTCGACATTTATCTTTTAACGAGACACCACGAGGCTTACCAGTGGAAGGTAACCAGTCGGTGCTTCGGTAAGAAGCGGCCATAGAAAATCAGTACAACGAAGAGAGACGATGTCGAAAAATGAGAGACAAGTGAGAGAATCTGTAAAATTGAAGGTGTCAAGGAGTCAGAGAAGAGAAAGTGTTAAGAATAGGAATAGTCAAAATTTTGACGATTTTTGAGTTTGGGAGTGTTTGGGTGCATGGAGAGACTCCTACTAAATAAATTAATTAGTAATAAATTTTATTTTTTAAGCCAATTAATTAATTGAAGCCTCACTTTTTAATATGATTGGGTTACACATCCTCTCATTTTCACTCTCTTGTCAATAAAATTCTATCAAATCACTTTAAATCAATACAACAATAACACCATGTTTCTCCTAAAGATGATCTATCAACTTTTTAAAGCTTTATAAACATGACATATCATTAAAAATAATCATCAATAAAAATATTTTATTAATACAAATCATCTACTTATTTTAATTTTTAAACTTAAACCCATTAAAACCCAAATATTTTTTCTATAAATTTTTGTTTTATTTTATACTAAACCTAAACGCAAATAATTAATAACAGCAAATTAAAAAAATCTCTATTTTATTTTTTTTGCTAAATTCAAGCCTAAATAATAAATAAAAACAAATAAAAAAATTAAATTTTTGTTTTTTTTTGCCAAAGCCTAACCCGAATAATAAATAACAGCAAATAAATAATAAAAAAAAGTTTTTAGCTATCTATTCGTTTGACCGAGATGTATATGATTGAAACAAGTGTAGGCTCATCATCAACTATCTTTCCATGACAACAACGCAAAAAGCCTTAAAAAGCTCACACATCAGTAAAAAGTTGAACCGATAAAAACATAACAGTTTCTTAGTTTTCGCGGAAAAACACAATTTCATATGAGATAATGCAATTTTTGGTTTTCGTGGGAAATTGTAGTTAATCTGTTTTTGTAAGAATGCGTGATTCTTGGTTTGACGAGAAAATAATTTTTTTTTTTAGTTTTGGCGAGAATAGACGATTTCTCAGTTTTTGCAAGAAAATAAACTTTTCGGTTTTGACGGGAAAAATACAAATTTTTTAGTTTTTGTAGGAAGATAATTTTTTTTGGTTTTTGTGAAAAACATAATTTCTTGGTTTTGACGGAAAAACACAAGTTCTCGCGGAAAAATAAAATTTCAGGTTTAGTTTTGACGAGAAAATGATTTTTTTTTTTGTTTAGGCGGGAATAAACGATTTCTCAGTTTTTGTAAGAAGATGAAATTTTTCTGTGCTAAATTTCCAAGTTAAAGTATGTTTACAATAACCAAAATTTAATTATTTAACTTCAACAAAAACGATATTAGAACAATTCAAACAGAATTTTCTATTTTGTTCTAAAGCATTGTTGATGAATGTTATTAATTACATTTGCCATTAGCATGAAGGTACTAAAAATGTATTGTTTTATTCTTATATATATATATATTTATAATTAGTTAGCTAAACAAATTTAATAGAAAATTATAATTTTGAAAAATAAAAAATATACAATATACAATATTTATTCAAATTTAAAATATATAAATACATAACTTAAGCTAATAAAAAATAAATATAATACTCATTTATATTATAAAAATAATTTTATTATATTGAAAATATATATAAAATTTAAAATAAAATCCCACAGCATAGCGCGAGTAAATACCTAGTACATATAAAGCATCATATTCCAAAATTTTAATAAAGCTAGTTACTTTTTATACAATGTTTTTTTAACAAAAATTTTGTTGCTAATTTTAATTATCTTAACCGTTTTAGAAATATTTTTTTCTTTCTTCAACAACCATTTTTGAAATAAATAAAAAGAAATACATAAAAGGTTGATATTGATAATAAATATTTTATTTGGTAAATTGTATAACAAATAAATAATTGGGTAAATAAAAAATTGGAAAAAGAGTGTATACTGTATATATAATAAAGAAAAGAAAAAACATTTGACAAAGGAAAAAAAAAAAGAGCAGCGTCGTTGCAACGCAAAGTTTCACAGGTAAGAGCGTCTCTTCATCTGAATAAATACAACACAAAACCCTTTCCTGCTACCAAAAATTCCTCCAATACTCGCCTCATCGTCTCTACTCTCTCTCTCTCTCTCTCTCTCTCTCTCTCTCTCTCTCTCCCCAATGGCGCAAATGGATCCCGATGCGGTGGCGAAGGCCTTCGTGGAACATTACTACTCGACCTTCGACACTAACCGTGCCGGTCTCGCCGGTCTCTACCAGGAAGCCTCCATGCTCACCTTCGAGGGTCAGAAGATCCAAGGAGTCCAGAGCATCGTCGCCAAGCTCACATCCCTCCCCTTCCAGCAGTGCAAGCACCACATCTCCACCGTCGATTGCCAGCCTTCTGGTCCCGCCTCCGGTATGCTCGTTTTCGTCTCCGGCAACCTCCAGCTGGCCGGCGAGGAGCACGCCCTCAAGTTCAGCCAGGTCTTCCTCTCTCTGTTTCTTACTATGTATTGCTTCTTTTCTGATTCTGTTCACCTCGATTTCTTGTCTGTTTACCGATTGATCTATCTGCTTGATTGTCGACTTGCCTGTGATTTTGATAATTAGATCCCTATGGTTTTAAATTGGGTGATAGATCTGTAAATCTAGCTAATTTCTCATGTGATGTAGAGTTGCAAATTGCAAATTCGATTGAACAAAAGGAATTGCGGTTTTATGGATGACAAGCTTTACATTAGCCTCCGTTTTAGTCTCGAATATTTGTGGATTAGATTTGAATAACTTAAATTGTTTTTCTAGTTGATTTCGTGTGAGAAGAGTATTATCAACTGCTTAGCATGTTCTTGTTTCCGTCATTTAAGTTTTTGTCAAGTTTCTTTTCGCTCAAGAGCCAATCTGTCAATATTATGGATCCTCAAATCCTGATACACATCACAGAATTTTGCATCTTTGATCTTGCCTTATTTGTTTAGTGATCACTTATCATTGATCTTGTGTCTAACACAGTTACAAATCTATTGTCATTGTCTGCTGCAGATGTTTCACTTGATGCCGACGCCACAAGGAAGCTTTTACGTGTTCAACGATATATTCAGGTTGAACTACGCCTGAACAGAATCTCAGATTGTTAGCATACATCAAATGTTTGCATTACTACTATACATCAAAGATTCCGCTTGTCTTTCTTTTTTTTTTTATATTTTTCTTTGATATGATTTATCTCAGAGAAGAGAGGAACACTGCCTCCTCTCTTGTATGTGGTTTGAATGGTTTGTTGATTTGTCATTTGCAAATCTAATGACTTGATAAGACAATTTGAAATGGTTTCCAATGTCTCTTTGCTACCTTTTTTCTTAGTGGAGTAAGATTTTGCTGTAAAAAAAGCTCTGGCCTCTGGGAAAGTTGCTTGCTTGTCTACATCTTCAGGTTCGCAATTTGGGAAAAGAAAAAATAAACTGAAGGTCCAAGCTTGGCTTATCAAATATGTGGACAAGCAAGAGTTTCAATTACGTTTTAGGAAACAAAAAACATGTGTTCTTATTTTAGTTGAGTTGCAACATTTGACTAAACTAAAAACGAACAGAGGGATGAAGTGTGTGGGTCATATCTGAGTTTGGTCCGACTAGTTTGAAGTGTGGTATCTCAAGGATATCAGTTTGGTTTGACGCAATAAATTTTGATTTTACTCGGTTTTAATTCGGTTAAAATTCCGGTTTAATTTTTCTCCATCAATCTGAGTGTGAAGTACTCGTGACGGTACACGCAACCAGACACAAAGCGCCAAAAAAAGGAGAAAACTTTGTCGTAATATCTTACTATTGGTACCTTGCACGCGATGACCTCAGCGAGATCCTTGATCATCATCACCATCACTTTCTATATTCCTTTTTCTATGTTCGAAACGATTCACCTTTCTCCCCATCTCAATCTCCAGAAGGAAAAATCAAAATGGATTCTTTAACATATTCCTCGATGAAATCCACGCTGACTCAAGCTCGAGGCTCGCTGAACTCGCGTTTGTCTGAAATTGAGCCACTGGCTCTGCTCATAGCCCCGCTTCTCACTCTGTTTCTCGCCCAGATTTTCGGATCTGTCCTCGGCGTTGTTCACGAGAAAGGCCTGAAAGCGTGTCTTCTGGGTCTTATCATGGGCTTCCTCAAGTGAGAATTTTCCAAATCCCATATCTAATTTTATTCGATCCCAATCTTGTTTTTCTTGTTGGAGTATTCGATGTGTGAGACTAACGATTCTGTGGAAATATTGAAACAGAATGGTTCCTGGAGTTCAGAAGTACATAGATGCTGAGAAACAAAAGGTGGGTTTGTACTTGAATCTGTAGATTGTTCGTGTAATGGCCATGTTTGTTCTTCTTGTGCTATTTAAGAGGAAACAATTCACAAAAAGAAAATGCCTGACAAGTCCATTAATGCTATATTCTCTTCATTTTATATCTTTACTAAGTTCTTAGATTATTTTTTCCTATTTTAAATGTCTGGTAAAGCAGAGCAGCAGCAGAATGTCTTGGACCCCATGGGTATTTGTAGCATTGAGATATGAGTTTTCTGAAGTTAAGATTACACTAGAAGTCCTCAATAATAGAAAATTACTTGTGATTTGAGACTGTAAAAATAGTTAAAATTACGTGGGACTTACTGGAACTGTACTAGCTTCTTTTTAAGGGTATATGTTTGCTTCTTCTTGGATTAGTCGCTGGGCTAGAGACTTCCACGCTTAGTACATCTCTTTGTGTCTATGTTCGTATGCGAAACTAGCATCGGTGCTAACTAGTTTGATGTTTGTTTCTTCTAATTCACAGGTTGTTGATCAATTGCAATCTGGTGGCAGCTCTAAGAAAAAAGATCGGACTGAAGTATTGCCGGCAAAAGGTCTAGGAGTTGAAGTTCTTGAGAAAATGGAGACTCAAAAGAGGAATGATGCTATTTGGCAAGGAAAATGCTCTGGCACTGTGTATGTTTGTGGTAGTTGATGCTTTTATTTATTTATTTATATGTCCTCCGAATGTTGAGAATTTGTTTAAACTTCTACTACCATTCCAACAGATACATAGGTGGAAGCGAGTCTGAAGGACATTTTGCATTGATAAATCAAGCATGTTCAATGTAAGTTACTAGTGAGATTTTAGCTCCAGTCCTCATGGAATATGACTTAATGTTTTCCTGTGGCGATTTTTCTTGTTTATGTATATTATATGGTTCATGTTGCAATGTGTATATGGCATGTACGGATGATGCTTTCCAGGTTTGCGCATACCAATCCGTTGCATATAGACGTGTTCCAGAGCGTGGTGCGGTTTGAGTCAGAAGTGGTCGCAATGACTGCTGCGTTACTCGGGAGTAGAGAAACGGCTTCAGGAGGACAAATATGCGGAAACATGACTTCTGGTGGAACAGAAAGTATTGTGTTGGCTGTGAAGTCGTCTCGTGACTATATGAAGTACAAGAAGGGAATCACACGCCCAGAAATGTATGATTCCTTTTCCTCTTTCGTTTTGCATTGATCAGTTATGTAATACAAACTTAGTTGATGGAACAATATTTATATATAAGTGTAGGATTATACCTGAATCGGGTCATTCGGCTTATGATAAGGCGGCACAGTATTTTAAAATTAAGCTGTGGCGAGTTCCAGTAGACAAAGAATTCCGAGCTGATGTTAAGGCAATGAGGCGGCATATTAACAAGAACACCATCATGGTAAATGTGTTTTGGTTCCATGGTTTCATATTCTTGGTCTGTTGTACATATCCAGCCCTCTCCATATATTGATTTTAAACCATATTGTTTCAGATTGTTGGATCAGCACCAGGATTCCCTCATGGCATCATCGATCCTATTGAGGTAAACCGGTTTTTCCGTCTCCTGCAATTTTAAGGACATGTGTTATGTGTTCTTCTATATGCAATGAATGTGTAGGACAAATTCGTTTTTTTTTTTTGTTTTGTTTCATTACAGGAGCTTGGTCAACTGGCTCTTAGCTATGGAATATGCTTTCATGTTGACCTTTGCCTTGGTGGTTTTGTGTTACCTTTCGCTCGTAAACTTGGGTATGTGTAACTGTTTTTTCTCAATCAACTTTTTAAAGGCCTGCCTTTTTCCTACAGAAAGAGATGCAGATAGTATCTACTTTATACAGGGTTAGTACTTAAGAAGCTATGTTCATAACGTAGAGAAAAGAATGGTATCTTTCTATCTGTTTTATTGCCACTTCTCTTAGTTTCGCATTGGATCTCAGGTTTTGCATTTCATGGTACTACAGTATTTAGATTAACAAGAAAAGTAATAAAGAGTGGTTTCATCTGTTGATTATTATTTTTCTTGTTCCTCACTGTTCCCAGGTACCAGATCCCAGCTTTTGATTTTTCTGTACAAGGAGTTACTTCAATTTCGGTGGATGTGCATAAATATGGTTTGGCCCCTAAAGGAACTAGTACAGTTCTCTACAGAAATCATGAGATCAGAAAGGTAAAATACTTGTTGTTTTCCACTCTAATGCAATTTTTTTAGGTTCAATACCAAGCACATATGAATTGGTTATATTCAGATTACTGTGTTCTGATTCTGGCATGCTTGTTGTGTCATGATTCATCAACAAAACATACCCACGATATCACTTACTTTTGTTTCCCTGGAATCATTCACACTCACATTCCTCTTATATAGTTTTGAAGTCTTTTGTATATCCTATTCAGTGCTGTGCAAAGTGTAGTTTTCTGTATACATCGATTTAATATGACCTCTGCCTGACATCTGGATTTTTCTGCCTGCAAAATATCTGCTCCTGCATCTACAAAACAGCACCAATTTGTTGCTGGTAAGTGTTTCTTGCTACTTTTGTCTCTAAGAAAATAGGGGAAATCAAAGAAACAAACAAACTGTTGAATTCATGCAAATCCTAAATTCTTGCTGTTTTGGATGCAGTAACTGAATGGTCAGGAGGTCTATACGTGTCTCCAACGATAGCTGGAAGTAGGCCTGGTTCTTTGGTTGCCGGTGCTTGGGCTGCAATGATGTCTCTCGGCGAAGAAGGTTTCACTATAGATATCTCACTCTCTCAAAGCTTCTGGTCATTGGAGTGTGTTAATGCTTTAAATGGTTGATACTGAATTGCTTCTGTTGCTCCACAGGCTACCTACAAAACACAAGCAAGATCATGGAAGCATCAAAGAGACTAGAGGAAGGGTTTGTATTTACTTGTTTCCTCTTTCTTCAAACTTGAAGGTCCTTGTTGTTTAGATTCTTATAGCTTTGGCTATCATAATCTGCAGAGTAAGAGAAATCCATGAACTGTTCGTCGTTGGAAAGCCAGATATGACAATCGTGGCGTTTGGTTCCAAAACATTAGATATCTTCGAAGTCAATGACATTATGTCTTCAAAAGGTTGGCATTTGAATGCACTACAGAGACCCAACAGGTAAAAAGCATCCTCATCATCTTAAAAATCAAAACTTTGGTGTCTCAACTATTTAAAGACCACATTTTTCTCTCTCCATTGTTCTGAGACAATCCATGCCTGTGTGTTTTTTTGGACCAGCATTCACATATGTATTACTCTTCAACATGTCCCTATTGTCGATGACTTCCTCCGGGATCTGCGTGAAGCTGTAGAGACTGTAAGTCCCTTAGATGTTTTTAGAAGTGAATAGTCGGTTCCTTTTCCTCAATTGATGATCTCTCGTCGTTACATGGTTTGGTCAGGTGAAAGCAAACCCGGGACCGATCACCGGAGGCTTGGCTCCGATATATGGAGCAGCAGGGAAAATGCCGGATCGAGGCATGGTGAATGAGCTTCTTGTTAGTTTCATGGACAGTCAATATTAAAGGTCAAAAGTATCATTGAGTGGGTAAATTGGTATCTTCTTTTCTTTTATCACAACCTCAGTTGTAAAAGACTCTGTACATTCACAACCACATTGTTTCATTTGCCCTAAATAAATTTCATTACTAATCTCCATAATAAGCAACTTAGTTCGTTACATTACACACACATTCAGCGGAAAAAAGATTACAGTATTAATCAGATTTGTGGTCTGAAGGTCTTGATCTAGGCACTTGAACCGGCTTGTCCTCTTGGCTTTTGGCCAAGATTTCGTCTCTTTCTCTGAAGTAATGGTCGAAAGCACGAGGTAAGAACCGAGGGATCAGGAAACAGAGTAGATTCACTCCGTAGTATCCTAAATTAGCTATTGCTAAATACCGTCCGAACCAGAACCACGCAGCCACCTACAAAACAAAGGCTTTCATGCTGTTACCTCAGACCGATTCTCAACTGTAAAAAGACACTTGTACAGTATTGATAATAGAGGGGGGGTATTAGCCATTACATTGGGTGCAGCATTGACTGGTAAAGATTTGTTGAACCAAACATCTTTAGACCAACCAATGATGACAAAGATTCTCCAGACTGTGTAGAGCAGTGGCACGAGAGCTCTTACCGGCGGCGAGAAGAGAGAAAGCCCACTTATTACATTCTCTGTCAGGATTTGACATGACAGTAGAAACAAGTGTGGTGTTGCTGACCTTACCGCATGATCGTCTCCTCTTGCGAAACCACCTAACACGTAAGCTAGCGGCAAGAACAGACCAATCGTTGTCCCCAAAATCACGTAAACCCTTGCCATATCGGAAAAAAGGGTCAGAATCTTTATCAAGAAAGTGAAGAGAGAGAGATGTTTTCTTTTCTTATTGTGATTTGGAACCTGAAGAGTTTGCTGCCGTGGAAGACTTCAGGGGAAGCGGTGGAAACGCCGTGGGAAGGGAAAGCTAAACGCGAGAGGGCTATTATATAGACAGACGCAAACGCTGGGAAGAGCATGTCGAGAACCGGTACTAGACCGCTAGCTGAGAAGACAAGTATGAACGCGACCAGCTGTAGCTCTATCACCCTCAGTGACCCCATCAAGCCGCCGCCGCCACCACCGGTCGCCGTCATCCCTGACCACCGTCCTTTCTCACCGGACGACGACGTTTTGTCTGTTCTTGCACCCACCGCTAGAGACACGCCTGACATGATTTTGTTCTTTTATAAAAAAATTGGTCTGCTTAGATTATATCTGATGATGATTCAAACGGATAAAGTACTTTGATAACGCAGAAAAGCTTGCAGAAGTAGAATTTATGAAGAGAGGATCTCTAGTTGACGTAGTTCCACGTAAAGCTTGGGTGATGTACACGTGTCCAGGTGAAGACGTGAGTGTTCATTGCTTGCCTTACAACGTGTCATCTCAAATAAACAGAACAAAAATCTATTTTTTAAAGGATGAAAAGCATCAAATCTAATCTATTGTTAAATTACTTGGTTGTGTCTTCTTCCCCTTTGGATCACATTGTTATTGCATCGAAAACAATTTTAAAATAAACTTGACCATAAGCGCAAGCGTGTATAAAACGGAACCCACGGCGAAGTACACATACACCATCGTAAAGTGGTCAATGTATTCATCTCGTCGTTTTAGGATAAAGTCACCAAACACATTCTCGGCTTCCTCTAGCTGGCCTCTCTCGCAATAAGCAGACGCCATCATAGCCAAGCTTCGGATATCAGTATACATAGCATAGTTGGTAGGCGACTCAAAAACCTTTGCTGCACCATCGATATCGTTTAATTTCAACAAGAGACAAATCGCTGATCGATGTCCCTTTCTCTTGTCGGAAGGAGGAAGGTCCTTGTACAGGTCCCATAAACGGTAAACATCTTCAGCCTTTCCTGCATCACCATACAAGGCTATTAACGACTCGTAAGCTTCTTCTTTCTTTGACTCGGAATCTACTGATTTCTCGGCTCTACTCACCATCTTTACGGCCTCTGCCACTAATCCATGTTTCAGGTAAGCTTCTGCAAGCTTAAAGAGAAGTCGGTGTTGGAATCGTACTCTGCTAATAGCTTCTCCACTGTCTTGATATAGTCTTCATCTGCGTGAAGCCGCAGTCTAATGTTTAGCGTGAGGTTGTCCGTCTCGACATTCTTCTCCTCCATTTCCCTCAGAGTCTTGCGCACCATATCTCGCTTATCTAGATGATTGTACAGAGACATCATGTGGTTGAAGGGACTAGGTTTCGAGAGGTACCCGAGCTCTCTCTCATCTTCCCAAAGATGAACTCGGCTTTATCCAAATAATCTTTTCGAGACATCATGTCGTTGATGGGACTAGTTTTCGAGAGGTACCCGAGCTCTCTCATCATCTGAGAGATGAAGAGAGCTCTATCCAAATCCTTTATGTAACTTCTTGAATAGAAGCATAAGACAGTTGTGTAGACAGAGTGGTCTCTCTTTCGAAGAATTTCTCTGCTTTTGCCAAAACCAAGAACCTCGAAAATCAGACTAAGCCGAGCTGCGAAATCTTGTGGAATTAGATGGCAAACTTTCTTCTTACTCATCCACTCTGATACCTAAAGACAAAAAGAAAGAAAGAAAAAGAATCAACTAACTGCAGAGATAACATATATCATCAACGATACATTGAAACCGAAACCGGAGATGAACCTTGAGAGCTTCCTTAAACCGTTCAGAGTCTCCAAGGGTTTCGATGATGCTTCTGAGATCCGATGGATACAAAGGGTTTCCCTGTTTCCTCCATCGTTCCAATTTTAGACTGCACTAAACCAAATCAATATAAACCACTTTATTTGGACTTGTTACATCTCAGAATGATCCTAACAATCGATTTCGGAGGACGAGTGTTCAAGAATGCTAATAAGCACAAAAATGTGATTGAAAAAAATAAAAACGCAACATAAAATATGAAAGATGGTCCATATGATCAACAAAGTAGTTTGACAGGAAATTTTTGAGAATATGAAAGATAAAGTTTGTGGATTTCACGAGCAGTACTCTGAAGTGAGGAAACCCTTATAGAACCGAGATTTTAGTAGAAATATTTTGTATTTAGTTAATTTCGTTCTTGCACTGCTAATTGAAAAATCATTTTTTCTTGTTACATTGCTACAGATCCTCCAAAGCCAGAGGAGATGCTAGCGATTTTCAGATGGTTTAATTTTTATTCATCTAAACTATTAGTTCATTGTTAAATTATAAATCTATTAAAATTTTAGAAAAGAAACACTGTAAGAACCCGGTAAATGAAATTTACGGTTATATCTTTTCCGTTGTGTGGAGTTATAATCGCTTATGTTTATTAGAAGTTGCATTATATGATTGTGTCTTTCTGTTATGAGTAGGGATAGTGGTGATCTTTCACCTGGCCCATCTGTGTACAAGGCTCCCATTGGGAAGTTGTTGTACTTAACAATTACAAGGCCATACATCAGTTATTCTGTTCACAAGTTGAGTCAGTTCTTGTCTCACCCAAGAAGTCTCCATTTGCAAGCTCCTCATAATTTAATTTGATACTTGAAAGACGATCCAGGAAGAGGTTTGTTCTATTCTACACAATCAAAGATAAGATTGAAAGCTTTTTCAGATGCTGATTGTTAAGGTTAAGGTTATCAATATAATCCAACAAAATGAGCGATGGGTAGAATTTACAATTCTGGGAGCTCTGTTTTTTATTCTTATGAGAAAATTCTTCAGACTTGTGGATAGTTAAATTATATGTGTTCTTGTAAAAAGGAACTACTTGAGGCTCTAAAATAGAAATGTAATAATTTAGGAATAAGAGAGGCTAATTCCTGGAGTGAAGTCGCCATTCTGAGACTTACCTAGATGATCTTCTTTAGACCTAACTCTCTATCGGTCACACATACCAGACTACACAAGTAAGCCTTGTGGAATTTGTGAATCCAAATCGTGCGGTAAAATATATACACAACGCAATGTTGGAAAAATTGTAAAAAATCTGCGGTAGTTAAGTAAGGAACCCAAAACTAATAACAAATTTATTATTTTAACGAATATCCACATGACCACCAACCCACTCTCTACCTTCTTTTCTTTCTCAATCTCCACCACAACCACCGCCACCACAGCCACCACCACAACCACCACCACCACCACCACCACCAGCGCTACCATCACCACCGCCACTACCGCTATCATCACCACGGCCACCGCTACTATCACCACCGCCACCATTGCCGCAACTGGCACCGCCATCATAGAAAAACACCGGGTAGTAAGAACCCCCTCCACAACCTCCTGTTCTTCCAAATGCTTTCTTTTTCTTTTCCTTGTTACCATTCGGATAGATGAACTTATGAAGGCGGGACTTATCTTGTTGTGAACCGGCAATGTCATACGCCTCCATTAACACCTCGTTCATGGAGTCTACATAGTCTCCATCAGCTGATAGTGTTCTACGCACAATATCTATCGCTTTTTTTCTATAACCAGCTTTGTGGTAAGCCTTTGACATGGCTTTTGCCGTTTCCTTGGTTAATGCGAATCGCGGATCTCCGTCTTCTGTTTCCATCAGCAACTTCTCCATCGCCTCCATGTTATCGGGTATACTCGCGTAAGCCCTCAAAACGTTGTTGGCCGTGAGAATCTTGTCATGCTCTACTCCCTTCTCCTTCATCTGCCTCAGAATCTCGTCCACCATGTTTTTTCCTCCAAGCATGCCGTAGAGAGAAATCATGTTGTAGTAAGGGTTAGGTTTCGAGAGCAGATCTAGCTCCCTCATCTTCTGGTAAGTGGCTTCAGCTTCGTGCCGTGTGTTCTTGGACTTTGTGTAAAAGGTTAAGAGAACGGTGTAGAGTGAGTCGTCTCTCATGCTCTCAGGAATGCTTTTGAAGAACTTCTCTGCTTCTCCCAACCCTGAATGGATCTCAACGAGGTAAAGCCGAGATGCAAAATCTTCAGTGCTGAAACGGAAAATCCCTCGTTTAGTTATCCACTCTGAGACCTAAATACATGACCAAGAACAGAGATTATATATATACCTTTTTTATGAGAATCTTGCGATTGGATCTCAGAATCGAATGATCGGATAAACGACAAGAGAGAAAGAAACTGAGACCTGTAGGGCGTGTTCGAATCGCTGAGACTCGCAGAGAGCTTTGATGACGTTTCTAAAAGCCGTAGGGTTTATCTTATTGCCTCGTTCTAGCCAATCGTCCAGCACAGGTGAAACATTAAGCCCCCGTAGGAACCTTCTTTCCACCGCCATGATCCGACTTTGTAAAGTGTCATTCAGCTTCGGCGACCTTAGGGTTCCGGAGAATCGAACCGGCTGTGTTTTCCTGAACAAGGAAAAACTTCTTGAGTGTCGTCCAAGGCGTTGCATCATTTTTTGAAACTCTCAAGTTCGGTAAATTTCTGAGAGATGTTAGGGATGTTTGTGAATATAAAAGATAGCTAAACATGAACAAGAAAAGTCCTTGATGAAAAAGGAAGTAAACCTATTCCTTGTACGAAAAGTAATAGATAACTATTAAAAAGGAAATTAATAACAAAAGAAATGTTTAGGCTAAGTCTTTTAAGAATAAGTAAGAATAATAAAAACAACTTCGGTTTAAGCAAACCGGGATGTTAAACGAAATTATTGGATACGTCAAACTGTGAACCGATCGATCTGGAGAACCAGACCTGAATGGGCCAAGGAGGTAGACCGATTCACCTTCTTCAACCGAAAGAACTCTGTCAAGCCCACGGCAGCTTCTGAAATGATCCAAATCTGCGAAATGAAAGACTCCGTCGCCTTTCTTTGACTTTTCGATAGGAAGGAGTTTATTTAATCTATCTCATAAAGGTGGGCGCTGATCGGTTATCCTGAAATTTTTAAGTATTTGTGGTTTGCTTCGTTTTTGACAGATATTTAATTTTGTGATTTGATTTGTTCCGGGAATATACGGATATCCAGATTTTCAGATATCCAGAAAATTTACAAGTATTTGCAGATATTTACGGATATTTATGAATATTTAGTTTGATCCGTTTAATATACACAAAACTGAAAGTACATCAATTTTTTTATTATAAAAAAATATTTTCATCTAAACTATTAAGTGAAAATAACTAAAAGAAAATATTTTATCTTATAAAAAATAAACCTACAAAATTAAGAAGAGGAAAAATAATATTTTATATATATAAATAATATTAACTATTTGAAACTTTAATATTAAACTTTACTAAAAAACCTTTGTTGATATTTATTAACTAATATCAAATAAAATATTATTTATTAACATATTTTAAGTTTAAACATATTATTTATTTTTTATGATTGGTTATTTAGTCATTTATTTTATATAATCAAAAGAATTTAGAAACAATTGAAAATTTATGAAGAAAATCAAGAGTATATTAATAAAAATTTATAATATAATTGATATATATGATAATATATACTAATATATAATAAATTTATAAAGATACGGATCGAATCGGATATCCGACATTGTCTAAACGCATATTTGTGATTTGCTCCGTTTTGTACGGATATTATATTTTATTATTTGCTTTGCTCCAAAGCTTTACGGATATCCGAATTTTTCGAATCGGATCGAAGCAAATATCGATTCGAAGCGGATATAACAGATATTTTGCCCACCCCTACTATCTCATTTGACAGAATTTGGAAAGACTTGATTTTGAATAAATTTTAAGATAATTTTTTTATGAAAATTGTGATGATTTGATATTAAAATTCTATTAAATCTTTTTTTAAAACCATGATTTTTTTTTTATTTTTAATTAAAATATTATACCAAAACATCTTAAAATCATTCAAAATGCCTTCAAATTTATTATTTTAAATATTTTCAATAAAAATGGATTTAAATATACATTTACAAATCATTAGTTCAATAATAATGTAGGATTTTAAAAGACTTTTTAAAATTCATGTTTGAATAACTACAAATCACTTCAAATGCTAGATTGAATACACCCGCTAAATGTTTATGTGTGTGGTTTTTTCGGTTCCTTATTATTGTTGTTGATTTTAAAGTTAATTGTGGGTTAAAGCCCATTAAACATTAAGGTTTTGGGCCTTTGACTAGGTTTGTTTTTTTTTCATGCTTTTAAATTGCAAAATCGGTTCAAAAAAAAAAAAAAATAGGTAGACCGAAATTGGTCTCTTCCAATACGTCTCTAGTTTTCCCTCTTTTGACTCAGTTTTCAAACCAGACTCCGATTTAAAACTCTTTTTCGGATAAAACCAACTTGTAACCTGAAATGGCTCTAACGCAACCTAAAACACCCCTACAAAAATTTAAAACTCGACACTAGAAGACATAGAAAAAATCAAAACCTATGGAAACAACATAACAAAGTGCCAAATTTTAGAAGAGGAAAAGGAGAGATAATACCATGATTAATGAACAATTTTTAGGAAGTTCTAAAAAAAAGAAAAAAAATAAAATAAATACTGACGTGGCGAAACTGAAATGTGAAGTCGACTCTCTGCGCGCAGAGATTGTAGAATCGATTCTCGATGATGTAGCGAGATGTAACTCATCAATTTTTTTTTTCTTTTGAAAATCGATATTCTTTTTAAAAAATCAATTTTTTTTTTAATAATATAAAAATTTGAAAATCTTTTTCTGAGCTCTCTGATGCGGATACTCTAATAATGACTCGATTCTACTGTACAGTAGCCTATAAAGTCCATCCAGGATCTTTTACACAAATGGAGGGGCAAACCCTAAAACCCTACATGAATCGTATTTAAGAAATTCACTTTACCACTGACCTAATTACGAATCTCGTTGAGTATATTCAGAAAATTAGTAAAAAAAAAAAGAGATCACTGAAAAAAAAAAAGCCAGGACAGCTAATACCTGAGACGAAAAAAAGGAAGTAAACATAAAATAAAAACAGAGAATGGAACAACATGATATGAGAGTTAAACTTGGGATGGGCCAATTATGGAAGTAATTGCAGTGGTCCCTAAAATAGAAAGTTTAACTTAGCCTAAAGGTCAAGCATGCGTTTCATGTGCCTCAAGCGACGGGCGTGGCATTAAGTAATGAGTGTCAGATATAGTTTTCATGATGGTTAGATTACAGTTACATATTAACTCTTTACATTAAATACAACAGTCAGCGATGAGATGGCAATTATTTTTTATGGTTTTAACTCCCATTTTTTTGTCTTCACCTTCCCTTCCACCACAAGAAACCCCACACCCTAAATCCTTTTCTGCACATCTACGCTCTCAAGTATCTCTCTGTTTTAGAAATTTCTGTTCAGTGAGAATGGAGAACATGGAAGCATCCTCTAACGGAGACATCCAAACCGATTGGGAAACAAAGGAGGAGAAGAAAAAGATGAAGAAAGAATCAGTTTCATTTGTGGGTTTGTTTAGCGCAGCAGATAAAGTTGATTACTTTCTCATGTTCCTAGGCGGTTTAGGCACGTGTATTCATGGCGGTACGCTTCCGCTCTTCTTCGTGTTCTTTGGAGAAATGCTAGATTCTCTTGGCAGTCTTTCTACAGATCCTAAAGCCATGTCTTCCCGCGTTTCACAGGTTTCTCACAAACATCTGTCTCATCTGTGTCTCTCTTGTTTATTCCATAAGTTGATAAGAGTTTGGTGGTTTGTCTATTCCAGAATGCTCTGTACTTGGTCTACTTAGGTTTGGTCAATTTGGTATCAGCATGGATGGGTACATAAACATTTCTAGCTACACTGATTGATCTATCTTTACAAAGTTATCAAGTATTAGCTGCTTTTTCATGTTTTTAGTTGGATCTTTTGTTGGCAGGAGTTGCTTGTTGGATGCAAACAGGGGAAAGACAAACAGCTCGATTGCGTATAAATTATCTTAAATCAATCTTGGCCAAAGACATTACTTTCTTCGACACAGAAGCTAGAGATTCAAATTTCATTTTTCACATCTCAAGCGACGCCATCTTGGTTCAAGATGCAATTGGTGATAAGGTACTACCCTTTCTAACATATGAATTAATAATTATATGTACTAAATAAACAAAAAATGAAACTGTTGAAATGTTTTGTTTTGTATCAGACAGGCCATGTTTTGAGGTATCTATGTCAGTTCATCGCCGGATTTGTCATCCGCTTTTTATCGGTATGGCAACTTACGCTGCTTACGTTAGCAGTAGTTCCATTGATAGCAATTGTAGGAGGAGTGTATGCTATTGTCATGTCTACCATCTCAGAGAAGAGTGAAGCTGCTTATGATGATGCAGGAAAAATCGCAGAAGAGGTTTGTTTATGATAAACATAATTATCAGTTAGTTTCTCACTAAACACTCATAGTCATTTCTTTTTGTGCAAGAAAGAAAAAAAATGTAAATGGACCTGAAATGATATTTCTTGCCTAGTAAGTAAGTAAGAGACATGAAGAACAAACTAAAAGAGAAAACTAGGAGAATATGTTATTAAATTGATTTTAGGATGCTTAAAAATGATCAAGACTCTTCTACTTATACATTAACACACACACATGAAACTGAAAGATAAAACCACTACAAGTCTACAACCTTGCCTCCCATTTTATTCCATAACTTTTTCAAGAGAGATCTCTTATTACACAAAAATATATATTTGAAAAATGTAAAGGCGAACGCCAAATGCCAAGCTATAATCTCTTCTTTTTATTCAACTCTTACCACTTGGATTGATCCTAGAAAACATAATTCTCTATGGATCTTCAGGTTATGTCACAGGTGAAAACGGTGTATGCATTTGTAGGAGAAGAGAAAGCCGTGAACTCATACTCAAATTCTCTCAAGAAAGCTCTGAAACTAGGTAAAAGGGGAGGTCTTGCTAAAGGTTTAGGAGTTGGATTAACATATGGCCTCTTGTTTTGTGCTTGGGCTTTCCTCTTTTGGTATGCAAGTCTTCTTGTACGCCACGGCAAAACAAACGGAGCAAAAGCCTTCACAACGATCATCAATGTCATTTACAGCGGCTTGTAAGTCCAAAAAATCCGAGACCTTTTTCTTGATATATCTTCAAATTGCATAGCATAAATAATTTTGTTGCAATTTTTTCAGCTCCTTAGGTCAAGCAGCACCTAGCTTATCCGCAATTTCCAAAGGAAGAGTTGCTGCTGAAAATATATTCAGAATGATAGGGAACAACAATATTGAAGGTTCCGATAGATTAGACGACAGTACAATTTTGCAAAATGTAGCTGGAAAGATTGAGTTTCATCAAGTGTCTTTTGCTTATCCTTCGAGACCAAACATGGTTTTTGAGAATCTTAGTTTCACAGTACGGTCAGGCAACACTTTTGCATTTGTCGGTCCAAGCGGTCCAGGGAAAAGCACAATCATATCAATGGTTCAACGATTCTATGAACCGAAATCAGGGGATATTCTTTTGGATGGGAAGGACATCAAGAGCCTGAAGCTGAAATGGTTGAGGGAACAGATGGGTTTAGTGAGTCAAGAACCGGCATTATTCGCCACGACCATAGCTTCCAATATTCTTGTCGGTAAAGAGAATGCAAATATGGATCAGATCATAGAAGCTGCTAAAGCAGCCAACGTAGATACTTTCATCAAATCACTACCTGATGGTTATAATACTCAGGTAATTTACTCGAATGACATTGCATAATCGTATCTTATCATATATATTTCCACTTCCTTACTGGTCAAACCATTCTAATAGGTTGGAGAAGGAGGAACGCAGCTCTCGGGAGGACAGAAACAGAGGATTGCGATTGCTCGAGCGGTTCTAAGAAATCCAAAGATATTACTCTTAGATGAAGCAACAAGCGCCCTTGATGCCGAATCAGAGAAGATTGTGCAGCAAGCACTTGACAATGTCATGGAAAAAAGAACAACGATCGTTGTTGCACACAGATTATCCACCATCAGAAATGCTGACAAGATTGTTGTATTGAGAAATGGTCAGGTTATGGAAACCGGTAGCCATGCAGAACTGATATCAAGAGGAGGAGATTATGCGACTCTTGTGAATTGCCAAGAAACAGAACCTCGATCAATTATGTCGGAATCTTGTAATTCTCAAGCTGGATCTTTAAGTTCAAGAAGGGTTTCTAGTTCAAGGAGAGTATCTAGCTCAAGGAGGACTTCAAGCTTCAGGGAGGACAAGAGAAGACTGAAAAAGATTCAAATGGCGAAGATTTAAGCTCATCTTCAATGATATGGGAACTTATAAAGATGAATGCTCCAGAGTGGCCTTACGCATTACTTGGCTCAATTGGTGCAGTTCTTGCAGGAGCACAACCTGCACTGTTCTCCATGGGAATTGCTTATGTCTTAAACGCGTTTTATTCGTCTTAAACAACGGAAATATCTTCATCGATGGACAATTCATAAAAACCCTAAACCTACGTAGCTTGCGCAAGAAGCTAGCATTAGTCCAACAAGAACCAGCTCTGTTTTCAACAACCATACACGAGAACATCAAATACGGTAATGAGAACGCAACGGAGGCAGAGATCATCGAGGCCGCGAAAGCTGCGAACGCACACGAGTTCATAAGCAGGATGGAAGAAGGGTACAAGACGCACGTGGGTGAAAAGGGAGTGCAGTTATCAGGTGGTCAGAAACAGAGAGTGGCTATCGCGAGGGCGGTTCTGAAGGATCCTTCAGTGCTTCTCCTAGATGAGGCAACGAGTGCTTTGGACACAAGCTCCGAGAAACTGGTCCAAGAGGCGCTCGACAAGCTGATGAAGGGTAGAACCACGGTGTTGGTGGCTCATAGGCTCTCGACCATAAGAAAAGCAGACACCATTGCTGTATTGCATAAGGGAAGAGTTGTGGAAAAAGGATGTCATAAAGCGCTTGTTTCTAAATCTGATGGATTTTATAAGCAATTGACGAGTCTTCAATGTGACTTATGATCGTCGAAATTTATTTTGCAAATTTTGTTTTTTGGATTTCCATAGGAATCACTAACACAAATAAAACATGTGTGTTTCAAGCTCACGGAAAAACAAATTTTCCTTCCCGGTAACAATAAACTGACAATATGTAACTATCATCTAAATAAATACTTACCTCACATTATTGCTAATTTTCTAGTTTCCACTTAAGGAGTGCAATAATACTTTCCTTTTTAGTGACAAAAAGATTCGTAAAAAATGTACTGTAGAAGTAGAAGGATATCATAAAAGGGAAAAAAGAAGTGATATTCAAAAAACAAAGAACATGCTAGGCCTAGGAGAGTTGAACTTGATTGTATATAGCAGCCACTATAGTCAACTGTATATGTGGTCCCTTAAATAGAAAGTTAACTTTGTGGACTGAGGGAGAGGAGACGAATAGAACGATTCAAAGTGAGCAGTTCCACATTTATGGACAAGATCAATTATACACATTTATATGATGCCCTACCCATAACGCTTGCCCGCCCTCATAGCTCTCTCATTAACTACGACAAGGTTGACAAATATGAAATATAGTTCGAAGTTTAGAACGATGGTGAGATTATAGAGCTCCTTGTTTAAAAAACTTTCCATTAAATATAAGCGAGAGCGACATATTTCCGATTTTAATCTTCTCTCTCGGCTTCCCTTATTATCTCTCCCTGCTTTCAAGCACCTCTCTGCCTTTTTGATCTCTGTTTTCAGTAAGAATGGAGAACATAGATTCATCCTCTAACGGAGACATCCACACCGAGAGGGAAGCAAAGAAAGAGGATGAGAATAAAAAGATGAAGAAGGAGTCAGTTTCATTGTTGGGTTTGTTTAGCGCAGCAGACAAAGTTGATTGCTTCTTGATGTTCCTAGGAAGCTTAGGCACGTGTATTCATGGCGGCACGCTTCCGCTCTTCTTCGTGTTCTTTGCAAAAATGCTAGATTCTCTTGGCAGTCTTTCTACAGATCCTAAAGCCATATCTTCCCGCGTTTCACAGGTTTCTCACAAACAGCTATTTAGCTCTCTCTCTCTCTCTCTCTCTCTCTCTCTCTCTCTCTCTCTCTCTCTCTCTCTCTCTCTTGATTTTTGGTGGTTTTTCTTTTACAGAATGCTCTGTACTTGGTCTACTTAGGATTAGTCAATTTGGTATCAGCATGGATGGGTACGTTTTCTATCCAAATCGATTATTATGTTTTGTAATGTATTTCTAAGTTTTTAGCTGTCTTTTCAAGTTTTTAGTTGAAATGGTTTTATTGGCAGGAGTTGCTTGTTGGATGCAAACAGGGGAAAGGCAAACAGCTCGATTGCGTATGAATTATCTGAAATCAATCTTGGCTAAGGACATAACTTTCTTCGATACAGAAGCTAGAGATTCAAATTTTGTTTTTCACATCTCAAGCGACGCCATCTTGGTTCAAGATGCAATTGGTGATAAGGTACCCTTTCTAACATATGAATTAATAATTATAAGGACTAAACAAACAAAAAACGAAACTGATGAAATGTTTTGTTTTGTATCAGACAGGCCATGTTTTGAGGTATCTTTGTCAGTTCATCGCCGGATTTGTCATCGGCTTTTTGTCGGTATGGCAACTTACGCTGCTCACGTTAGCAGTAGTTCCATTGATAGCAATTGTAGGAGGAGTGTATGCTATTGTCATGTCCACAATCTCTGAGAAGAGTGAAGCTGCTTATGCTGATGCAGGAAAAATCGCAGAAGAGGTTTGTTTATGATAAACATAATTATCAGTTAGTTTCTCACTAAACACTCATAGTCATTTCTTTTTGTGCAAGAAAGGAAAAAAAATGAAAAAGGACCTGAAATTTCATTTCTTGCCTAGTAAGTAAGTTAGAGACATGAAGAACAAAGTAAAAGAGATATTAGGAGAATATGTTATTAAATTGATTTTGGGATGCTTAAAAATGATCAAGACTCTTCTACTTATACATTAACACACACACACACATGAAACTGAAAGATAAAACCACTACAACCTTGCCTCCTTACTTTGTCCCCCATTTTATTCCATAACTTTTTCAAGAGAAATTTCTTAATACACAAAATATATATTTGCAAAATGTAAAGGCGAACGCCAAATGCCAAGCTATAATCTCTTCTTTTTATTCAATTCTTACCACTTGGATTGATCCTAGAAAACATAATTCTCTATGGATCTTCAGATTATGTCACAGGTGAAAACAGTGTATGCATTTGTTGGAGAAGAAAAAGCCGTGAATTCTTACTCAAATTCTCTCAAGAAAACTTTGAAACTAGGTAAAAGGGGAGGTCTTGCTAAAGGTTTAGGAGTTGGATTAACATATGGCCTCTTGTTTTGTGCTTGGGCTTTCCTCTTTTGGTATGCAAGTCTTCTTGTACGCCACGGCAAAACAAACGGAGCAAAGGCCTTCACAACGATCATCAATGTCATTTACAGCGGCTTGTAAGTCCAAATACTTTGAGACATTTTGTTTGATATATCTTCAAATTGTATAGCATAAATCATTTTGTTGCAATTTTCAGCTCCTTAGGTCAAGCAGCACCTAGCTTATCAGCTATTTCCAAAGGAAGAGTTGCTGCTGAAAATATATTCAGAATGATAGGGAACAACGATCTTGAATGTTCTGAAAGATTAGACGACGGAACAACTTTGCAAAATGTAGCTGGAAAGATTGAGTTTCACCAAGTGTCTTTTGCTTATCCTTCGAGACCAAACATGGTTTTTGAGAATCTTAGTTTCACAGTACGGTCAGGAAAGACATTTGCATTTGTCGGTCCAAGTGGTTCAGGGAAAAGCACAATCATTTCAATGGTTCAACGGTTCTATGAACCCAAATCAGGGGAGATTCTCTTGGATGGGAATAACATCAAGAGCCTGAAGCTGAAATGGTTGAGGGAACAGATGGGTTTAGTGAGTCAAGAACCGGCATTATTCGCCACGACCATATCTTCCAATATTCTTGTTGGTAAAGAGAATGCAAATATGGATCAGATCATAGAAGCTGCTAAAGCAGCCAACGCAGATTCTTTCATCAAATCACTACCTGATGGTTATGATACTCAGGTAATTTACTCGAATTTGCATAGTCAATCGTTTCATATTTTTCACTTCCTTGATGGTCAAACCATTCTAATAGGTTGGAGAAGGAGGAACGCAGCTCTCGGGAGGACAGAAGCAGAGGATTGCGATTGCTCGAGCGGTTCTAAGAAATCCAAAGATATTACTCTTAGATGAAGCAACGAGCGCACTTGATGCCGAATCGGAGAAGATTGTTCAGCAAGCACTTGACAATGTTATGAAAGAAAGAACAACAATCGTCGTTGCACACAGATTATCCACCATCAGAAATGTGGACAAGATTGTTGTATTGAGAAATGGTCAAGTTATGGAAACCGGTAGCCACTCAGAACTGATATCAAGAGGAGGAGATTACGCGAGTCTTGTGAATTGCCAAGAAACAGAACCTCAAGAAAACCCGAGATCAATTATGTTGGGAACTTGCAAATCTCAAGCCGGATCTTTTAGTTTAAGAAGGGTTTCCAGCTCAAGGAGGACTTCAAGCTTCAGGGAAGACCAAGAGAAGACTGAAAAAGATTCAAATGGCAAAGGTTTAAGCTCATCTTCAATGATATGGGAATTGATAAAGCTAAATGCTCCAGAGTGGCCTTATGCATTACTTGGCTCAATTGGTGCGGTTCTTGCTGGATCACAACCGGCACTGTTCTCCATGGGGATTGCCTATGTCTTAAGCACCTTTTATTCACCTTTTCCTACTTTGATCAAGAGAGAAGTCGAAAAGGTAGCTATGGTCTTTGTTGGAGTTGGAATTGTATCACCTCCTATTCATCTCCTCCAACATTACTTCTATACATTGATGGGAGAACGTCTTACTTCTCGGGTCCGCTTATCCTTCTTCTCAGGTAAACACACCAAAACTTAACATCCTTGTTTTGGGACTGACTTAAAAGATTAATGTTTATTTATCTTTACAACAATTACTGCAGCGGCTCTAACGAATGAGATTGGGTGGTTTGATTTGGATGAGAACAGCACTGGCTCACTTACTTCAATCTTGGCTGCTGATGCAACTTTAGTGAGGAGTGCTCTAGCGGATCGCCTCTCGACGATAGTCCAAAACTTGTCTCTTACAGTCACAGCATTAGCACTTGCATTTATCTACAGTTGGCGTGTCGCAGCTGTGGTAACTGCTTGTTTCCCTCTTCTCATTGCCGCTCCATTTACCGAGGTAACGCAAAATCAAAGATTCTCTCAATCATATTCTGAATCTTGAAACTAAAAAGATCTTGAAATATTATAGCTTGGACAGATGACTATCAAAAGGTATAGTATAATGAAAAAAAAATGAAATGAAATAGAAAGAAATGAATAAAGAATTTTTAAGAAATAAATATAAAAAATTACTCAGAAGAGATGAACCAATTTCAATTTTTGTTCCTCATTCAATTTTGATGAGGACTAATTTTGTTCTATAGTTATTGTAGAGGAATGAATTTGTAGGAAACAAAAGGAAAAAAAATTAACATGTCTGAATATTGAAAATAAATTCTTCCTAAATGGTGTAAATGGTGTAATTAAATTTTGAGGAATATCAAATTTAATTTTGAAGTATGCTTTTTTTTCTTTCTTTCTTTTTGACTAAAAAATTTACTATTGAAAAATGTTAATTGTTACAGCAACTGTTTCTAAAAGGCTTTGGAGGAGATTACACAAAGGCTTATTCTAGAGCAACTTCAGTGGCTCGTGAAGCGATTGGGAATATAAGAACGGTTGCTGCATTTGGTGCTGAGAATCAGATATCGGAACAGTTTGCTTGTGAGCTAAGAAAACCCACTAAGAATGCCTTTCTCAGAGGTCATATCTCTGGATTTGGATATGGTTTGTCTCAGTTTCTAGCGTATTGTTCCTACGCTCTTGGTCTTTGGTACATCTCGGTTTTGATTGAGCACAAGGAGACAAACTTTGCAGATAGTATCAAATCTTTCATGATATTGCTCGTCACGGCTTACGCTGTAGCTGAAACGCTTGCTTTGACCCCGGATATCGTGAAGGGCACGCAAGCACTCAGGTCAGTTTTTAGGGTTTTACATAAAGAGACTGAGATATCTCCAGACCAACCTAACTCAAGATTGGTCACTCAGATTAAGGGGGATATAGAGTTGAAAAACGTCAGCTTTGCATATCCCACAAGACCCGAAATTGCCATTTTCCAAAACCTATATCTCCGAGTTTCCGCTGGGAAAAGTCTTGCCATTGTGGGAACAAGTGGTTCAGGAAAGAGCACGGTGATCAGACTGATTATGAGATTCTACGATGCGACCAACGGAAAACTCTGCATTGATGGGCAGGACATTAAAACCCTAAACCTACGTAGCTTGCGCAAGAAGTTAGCGTTAGTCCAGCAAGAACCAGCTCTGTTTTCAACAACCATACACGAGAACATCAAATACGGTAATGAGAACGCCTCGGAGGCAGAGATCATCGAGGCCGCAAAAGCTGCGAACGCCCACGAGTTCATCAGCAGGATGGAACAAGGGTACCAGACGCACGTGGGTGAACAGGGGGTGCAGTTATCAGGTGGTCAGAAACAGAGAGTGGCTATCGCGAGGGCGGTTCTGAAGGATCCTTCAGTGCTTCTCCTTGATGAGGCAACGAGTGCTTTGGACACGAGCTCGGAGAAACTGGTCCAAGAAGCCCTAGACAAGCTGATGAAGGGACGAACCACGGTGTTGGTGGCTCATAGGCTCTCGACCATCAGGAAAGCGGACACAATCGCTGTGTTGCACAAAGGAAGAGTTGTGGAGAAGGGAACTCATAGAGAGCTTGTTTCAATATCTGATGGGATTTATAAGCAATTGACGAGTCTTCAAGAAGTGGTGTGACTTATATATGATCGTTGGAGTTTCTTTTTACCTTTTTCAGAAGAAAAAGATTATACATACACACACAGTCACACTATGATATGTTATACGATATTGTCAGAGATATCTGGACTCAAAAAACATTTGTTAAGCAATGGCTCTTTTAATAGTATAGATGATATTGTTTGTCAAATTAGATAATCTATAGTACAGTGGTACGCAAGCAAAGAGACTGAACGGTATATACCGGTATGGCCATTGCTTCCACATGCATGTGATGGATAGATTTGTGGTTTAAGACGCGTGGTTAGTTTATTTAATTCTCAAAGTATTTATCCGTGCTACGCTGCATGATATTTTTTTAAATTATATATATATAATATTATAAAATTAAATTTCTAATAAATAAGTATTATATTTTTTTATTAGTTTAAGCTATATATTTATATGTTTTAAATCTGAATAAACATTGTATATCTTTAATTTTTTATTTTTCAAAATTATAATTTGCTATCAAATTTGTTTAGCTAACTAACTATAAATGTATATTAAAGAATAAAGCAATATATTTGTCCAATAAATATCAATGATAAATATAATCTATTTTCTCCAATAAATTACCACTAGATCCTTTTTTGTAATTATATAAAGCAAAATACCTTTTTAAAGAAAAGATTTATGAATTAATATGATTATTTTAAATTATAAAATTTATTTATTTATCAAATATTTATTATAAAAATATGTTTCTAAAACTATGAAACTATAATTCAATAATATTTATATCAAAACAATTGTTATTGCTTTAAAACTAAAAAGAAGGTTATGTTTGAATTGTTGAAACATGGTTTTAGTTGAAGTTAAAAGAATTAAATTTTGGTTACTGTAAATATATTTTAACTTAGAAATTTAGCACATATAAATTTTAACTTCTTACAAATCGAGAAATCGCATTTCCCATCAAAACAAAAAAAACTTTTTTTTTTCATAAAACTGAAATATTGCATATTCCCGCTAAAAAAAAGATCATTTTCTCGTCAAACATAAAATTTCATTTTACCACTAAAACAGAAAAATTACACTTTTCCACAAAACCAAAAAATCACATTTTCCCGCGAAAACCAGTGTTTTCCCATCAAAACCAAGTAATCACGTTTTTTCACCAAAACCAAAAGTTTTCATCTTCCTACAAAACAAAAAAAAATCATATTTTTCCATCAAAACCAAAAAAATTATTTTCCCGCAAAAACCGAAAAATCTTCTATTCCCGTCAAAACCAAAAAATTCATTTTTTCATCAAACCAAGAATCACGCTTACCAAAACAGATAAACTACAATTTCTCGATAAAACAAAAAATTGCATTATATCCGGAGAAATTGCTTTTTCTCGTAAAATCGAAGAAATCGCATTTTCTCGCAAAAATAAAAAATATCACATTATTCGTCAAAAACAGAAAATTTGCATTTTTCATCAAAACCGAGAAATTGCTTATTCCTGCCAAAACCGAGAAATTTTTTTTTCTCATCAAATCGAGAAATTACACTTTCCGCTAATATCGTCATATCGCAATTTCTCGTGAAAACTAAGAAAAATCGCATTATCCATCAAAAGCCAAAAATTTGTATTTTCTATCAAAACTGAAAAATCACATTTTTAGTCGCCTTTCCTTTCAAAACCAAAAATTGTTTTTTTCACTCAAAAGTAAGAGATTTTGTTTTACCGTCAAAATCAATTTTTTGTTTTCTCACTAAAATCGAAAATTCACATTTTTCCGCCAAACCCGAGAATTCACTTTTTCCTTCCTAACCGAGAAATTATGTTTTTCTAACAAAACTAAAAATCACATTTTCGTACTGAAACCAATAAATCATATATTCCCGCAAAACAGAGAAATTTTCTATTCCCGCCAAAGCCAAGAAAAATTGTTTTCTCGTCGAACCAAGAAATCGTGTTTTCCTAATAAAACTGAGAAATTATATTTTTCCGCCAAAATCGTCAAATTGCATTTTCCCGCAAAAGCTGTGAAATTGTATCTTCGTGCGAAAACCAAGAAATCGCATAATCAAAAACAAAAAATTGTGTTGCCCACCAAAATCGAGAATTCGCATTTTCTGTGAAAACCGAGATATTTTTTTCCTATCATAACCGAGAAATTTTGTTTTCCATCAAAATGTAAAAAATTTATTTTCCTATCAAACTAAGAAATCGCATTTTTCCGACATGACAGAAAACAACAAAATTATTGAAAAATAGATAAAGAGATAAATAAATTGAAAATACACTAAATATATATTTCTGAATTTTTTCAATTTAGTAAGATAATTGAAAAAATACACTAAATATTTTCTCATCTTTGCCTACACTTTTTTCAATCACATATGCCTATGTCAAACAAATATATAGCTAGAATTTTTATTTATTTATTTATTTTCTGTTTTTTTATTATTTGGGTTTGAGTTTGGCAAAAAATAAAACAACGATTTTTTTATTTACTGTTATTTATTATTTGGGCTTAGGTTTGACAAAAAATAAAATAATTTTTTATCTAGTGTTGTTTATTATTTGGGCTTGAGTTTGGTTAAAAATAAAACAAAAAATTAATAGATTAATTATTTAGATTTTTAATGGGTTTAAATTTAAAAATTAAAAGTACATGAGTTATATTAATAAAATATTTTGATTGGTAATTATTTTGGTAAAGTGTCATGCTTATAAAACTTCAAAAGTCTGATGTGTCATCTCTAGGAGAGACACAAGGATTATTATTGTATTGATTAATAATACTCATAAGTAATGTTAATAGTTTTCCACACAAATTAAAAAAAAAAATCTTTCTTTTTAACAAAAAAACATCATTATTATCTATAAACATATCTCAACCAACAATGAAATAGTTTACAGAATACAAATAATTAAAAGCAATACCAAATTATTTAATTTTATATTGAAAGTTGGAAACATCATATACTTTGAAATAAAAAAATTTCCCTCAAACATCGTTAACACTTTCGTAAAATGAAAGGAGTAGGTTTTCTATTTTTTTTGTATTGTAAAAAAAGAAGATTAAACAAATCAAAATAAAAACGTGCCATACAAGCCTAAAACGTGCCAGACACACCCGTATATTAAGTTTTTTGACATGTACAGTATATCTTGAAAAACTCAATTAGTAAAGGCATCCAGAAAAACAAACTTTTACACACACAAACCCTACGTACCTTCTCCGTGTGTATCTTCGCCTTACAGAGTTCACCATGATGAGACTCCTACTACAACACGCAACGCGTTACGGGATTCGTCCCTCAAGAACGCAATCACTCCACACGGTGGCGGCGGCGGCGGTGGCTAACCGATCTCTGCAGCATCGTATCTCAGATGCTCTTGATCGGAATGCACAGATAATTCCGGTGCTTAAACAATGGCGGCAACAGGGGAATCAAGTGAACCCTTCGCAGGTGAGAGTCCCTATCAAACAGCTTCGTGATTCCGAGCAGTCTCTCTAAGCCCTTCAGGTTCCATCATCTCCCTCTTCTCCGATTCGGCTCCCCAATTATGTAACTCGTAATTCTATATGCAGTGGAATTGATTTCTTTGCGGTTGATCTTATTAGGTCTCAGAGTGGATGAGTGAAGAAAATATCTGCGATCTAACTCCAGAAGATTTCGCAGCTCGGCTTCATCTGATAGAGAACGTTTTAAGGTTGGAAAAAGCAGAGAAGTTTTTCGAAAGTATTCCAAATAGCGCAAGGGACGGTTCTGTCTACACCACTCTCTTAACCGCTTACGCAAGATCAGACAAAACTCTGTGTAAAGCCGAAGCCACGTTCAAGAAGATGAGGGAGTTAGGTCTTCTCTCGAGAGCTTCTCCTTACAACGCGATGATATTCCTCTACACTTCCTTAAAAGATCGGGATAAAGTTGAGGAGATTTTGCTTGGAATGAAAGCTAACGACGTGGAGGCTGATAGTGTCACTGTGAACCAAGTGTTGAAGCTATACTCGGATTTGTCTGACGTGGAGGCGATGGAGAAGTTTCTGAATGAGTGGGAAACTGTTCGTGGGATCAAACTTGAGTGTCTCACGACTCTTAACATGGCAAAGGCTTACTTGAGAGCCAGTTCAAGAGAAAATGCTATAAAAATGATGAGGTTAACAGAGGAATTGGTGGATCACAAGGCGCTAAAATCCGCCTACGAGAGTCTCTTGAAGCTGTATGGTGAAGCTGGAGAGAAAGAACAAGTTTTGCGTATATGGAACCTTTACAATAAGAACATAGAAGAATGTGATAACGATGGATATCGAAATGTGATTGGTTCGCTCTTGAAGCTAGACGATATTGCTGCGGCAGAAGAGATTTACAAAGAGTGGGAATGCTTGCCTCTTGAGTTTGATATCCGACTCCCGACTATGTTGGCAGATGGTTATCGAGAGAGAGGGATGATAGATAAGGCTGAGAAACTGATGAACAATAGAACCATCAAGAACAAAAGAATGAAGAAACCAATCACCCCGATCTTGGAGCAATGGGGAGATAAATTGAAACAGTCTGATCTCAAATGCCTCATCAAGAACCTCTCTGATTCCAATCAGTTTTCCAAGGCCCTTCAGGTTTGTTTGTTATAGAATTTGATAATCTATATATTACACTTACGCTCTACAGACTTTGATAAACTCTTATGTTTTTGATAATGGTTAGGTTTCAAAATGGATGGGTGAACAAAGGGTTTGTAGTCTTTACTCGGAAGATTACGCAGCTCGGCTTCATCTGATTGAGAATGTGTTGGGTTTGGAAGAAGCAGAGAAGTTCTTTGAGAAGATCCCTGAGAACATGAAGGACTACTCTGTCTATGAAACCCTCCTAAGCTCTTACGCCAAATCTGACCTAACTTGGGGTAAAGCTGAGACCACTTTCAAGAAGATGAGAGAGCTCGGGTTCCTCTTGAAACCTTCACCATTCAACTCGATGCTCTCTGTCTACAGTAAACATCACAAGGTCGAGGAGATTCTTCGTGAGATGGGTGAGAACAACGTGGTTCCTGATTGTCTCACGGTGAACAAGATTTTGAAGGTATACGCGGCTGAATCGAAAGCTGAAGCGATGGAGAAGTTTATGAGACTTTGGTGTGGAGAAGATGGAATCAAACTGGACAAAGGCACGAAGGTTGCAATGGCAAAGGCTTATGCTGACGCTGGTTTGATGAAAAAGGCGATAGAGATGTATGGTGACGTGGCAGGGAGTAAAAGAGAAGTGTGCCATCTTTGGAACAAGATTAAGAAGGATGAAACAGTGGAGGATGATGCATATCGAGCAGTGATTAGCTCTTTGTTGAAGCTGGACGATGTAGAAGGAGCAGAGAATGTATATGGAGAGTGGAAACCTAGTGGACCGAAGCTGGATTTAAGCATACCGGGTCTGCTGATTTCTCGGTTTTGTGCAGAAGGTAAAGACTGGAAGGTTGGGGAAATAATAAAGTCGATTATAGAGAAGAGGATTGGGATGCATTTCAGGATGTTGAAGGCTTTTGCAATCACGGTCGTGCAAGGTGTTGCTGTTTTTGTGTTCTTATCAATAATCTTTGTCCTAACCATTTTTAAAAAAAGCTCACTCATGTGGTTTTTTATTTTATTTTACAGAGTTTTTAATTAATAGATTCTAATAGTTATTGATTATAAAATTTTGGAATCGGGCAACATTATTGATTTATAAAATTTATTAGTATTTATCGAATTTATTAATTTATCGAATATTAATTTATAGTTTCTACTAGAATTAAGTTTTCAACACAATCTCTTATGGCTGCCACTTATGTGGTTACTTTAACCAGCATACCGATATGTGGCTATTTCTTCCACATGCAATAGCTTAAAGCTTAATGATAGATATTGGTGGGATTTGGGGAGCAAACTGTGGATCCTGAAAGAAACAGAAATTTTCAAGTCCATATAACACATATGTATCAACACACAATATCTATCATTAAGCTTTAATCTAGAACATAAATTTTCTAAGTCCATATAACACATATGTATCAACACACAAAATAATTGGTGACATCCAATGTTGAAAGTACGTCAGACAACGTCCTTCACGAGCGTGAGTTCCGACAAATAGGGCATGAACCATGAATCTTGAGCCACACGTCTATACATTGGACGTGGAAACAGTGGTCACACTCTGGCATGCACCGTATGGTCTCTTTGCAAGCATATTCTGACAAACAAATGGGACAGACGATACCATTAGGACCCGGAAGCCTTCTACTTTCTCCCAGCTCGACTTTCTTGTATGACTCTATTGTAGACTGGTCAAGACCCGTGGTGAGTCTGGTGACCACAACTCCTCTTGGCTGCTGCGTAAGGTCTCTTGCCGCATTTTGTCTTCTCTGAAAGTTAAACCTCTCGGAATTGTAAACACTCATAGCTATACAAGCGAAGATTGAGATTCCTCCGATCGTGCAGAGGGTTATAAGTAGTACTGAATTAGCCCCTAAATGACCTGCCCAATAACATTTTAAGAATGAGTTTAAACATTTCGTATATTGTAAAAGTAAAAACCCATTTGAAAGGAAATAAAATTGTGTTTTTTTGTTTCCATCATTTTTCAATGACGCCAGTTAATAATAATGTGTTATGTTTAAGTCTTTTAGGATCGAGTACTCTTGAGTCTCTGAGAAACAGTTTTTTTATACGGAGTTATCTCTTGTGTTGAATGAGAAATTGAGAATACTTCCGAAGGTTAAATTTGATAACTATTTTTAAGCAACTAAGTAATTAGTCAATCAATAGTCAAATGCTAATTGCCAATTTTAATCCCTAGTAGTAGGATTTCTCTGTTTTTTTTTTTATAAACCTAAAATAATACCTGGATTTGACGTTTTCCACCAAAACTTCTAAAGCCTTACCAATAATGTAGTTTTCTTTGATTGTAACTTATAAAGAAACAAGCGTAAGTTAAAAACAATCAAAGATCGTACCGGATGTATCAGAGAAGCATTTAACCTCAAGAGAGGCCTTGTTCTTGAAACCACATCTCAACGAATCCATCTCACAACCTCTACAATTCGGCGAGCTCCATTCCAGCTCGAGGTCTAAAACGTTCATGACACTAGAGAATCTGTTATTTTCAAACAAGACATTAATCGGAACAGCTACTCTCTTCTTCACGATCTGGCAAGAAGGCAGCATCGATTCTGCGAGGGACAAATTAGACGTGGCAAAGAAGGAGTAGGTGGAATTGCTTAGGCAACGGATAGACGGATACCAAGACAGCTTCACGACCTCGTTAGGACAGGTCAAGAACGTGTAGTAGACGCTGAAGCGAGGAGAGAAAGGAGACCCTGAGGTATTGAAGGTTAAAAGCCGTTTAGCCAAGCAACCTTCAGGGTCGTTGAGAGAAATCTGCTGCTTCCTGTAGTTGATTTCCTGGACAAGAAATGTTCCGGACATTGGAAGCTCTATGGCTGTCTTATTGAGGTCGGTGCAGTGGACATTGAATCCCGCGTGGCCGCAGAAAGGAAAACAGATGGAGACTCCGAATCGTCCGCATGTGTAAAATGATTCCAAATAGGAAGAAGAACATTTTTTAGGGTTTGAGGCGTGTAGGGGACGAAAGATGAAGAGGGAGAGGAAAAGTAAAGGGAAGAGTTGTTGTTTTGAGAGATTCATAATGTGGCTTGTTACTAAGGTAATTGTTAAACGAGAAAGATTATACAAGAGTTTAACTATTCTTATACACACTAATAAGAAGAAAAGTCAGAGAATTGTATATATGTCTTACTAGAAAGAACAGTCAAATGAAGAAGTAACAAGTGTTTTGTAAATGGAGCGTTTATCATAATTCAAACTTGGATTACGTAAAGCATAGTTTTGAAAATAAACTTTCAATTCACCACTTAACATACTAAAATGTATGAATTACGATGAATTCGAAAACGGGAAGGTATTTTGGAATACCTTTAATAGGTGGAAACAGTAGAAGATGGTTAAGATCGAAGAGGAGCAAATAAATCGCTATAACTATTCGAAGCGTGGGTGTGGGTGTTAACTCACGGTCCCAACGTCCTCGCTGCACCACTAAGCCACTCAAATAGTTACACTAACCATAGCAACTTTCTCTTATTTAACCTTTAACCTCTCCGTTAATAATAAAGCGTTATTGCTAGTGTTTGCTTCTTGATTTACAATTCTCCAACGTCATACTAGACTTGACTTGCTAAGGCATATGATATAATATCTTGTGAGAGTTCAGAATGGTATTTATAATTTGCTTCTAGAAGTTTAAGAAACAAACCTTGTTCAACAACAGAAGTTTACACAAGGTACATAAAAGGGACCAGATATAACAAACAAAATGAAAAGGGAGGACAAATGAAACGAGACCGATCTATATACATTTACGAGGAACCGCAAAGTAGCAAAAAAAAAAAAAAGTTCCTAACTTTGTAGCTAATAGGAGAACCTAAGTGAAAGAGACTTCAAGGATAAGGAGCTTCAGAAGCTTTCACAAATCTGCCTTTCACACGCAACCTTGTGTCAGCTCTTGCTTTCCTCGATTCATATCTTATGGTCTTGTCATATCTGTAGGCAAGTAAGATCCAAGACAAAAGTGAGAAACGTAACACTGGTATTAGATTATTCGAGGGAAATGAGATGAGCGATAGAAAAACTTATCAAAAGGGTGAAGAAAAAAAAAGCAGAGTATATTTACCTTCTGGTTTTCCTCTTTTCCTTGTAACGCTGCATTGCATTGCCCCTGTTCTGAGCCAGCCGCTCCAGATCAGCCTTGGTTGCCACTAGCCTCGTGGTCTTGCAGCTAGTTCCAGCAACTTGTTCTGTGAAGTTTAACTCATTGGAGGAGTTGGAACCTTTCTCGGACCCAAAAGCAATTGGACGACTGTTGCTCTCAGATGTTGCTTGTACCTGGCTTGAGGTTGATCGACTGTAATTATCCTGCAATATAATCCTAATCAGCTTCACAGTATGTGTGTGATTGTAAATGCATTGTTATATTTCAGTTGCCTAGCACATCATAGTGACATAATAGATATCACAAGCCAAAACGTTGGAACTGGTGTACAATCTCAGCTTGAAACTTATTTTAAGTTTTCAAGTTCCGAGTATCTATCTTATAACTAAAAGAAGCAACTGTCTCCAACAGCTTGTCGGCTTCACAAGGGTCAATGGGAAAATACTTAAATAACAAAGGTTTAATAATCTCTTGATGAGGTCGCATGAGAAAGCTGAAGGTTAACTATTTACCTTGAAAATCTCTTTAACACCTTTCGCTTTAGTGGAACAAGTATCATTGGTGAGCTCAACAAAGTTGTTGATTGTGAACGAAGCTGCATCTTTTGTTGCATACTCAGCTTTCATTTGGCCATTGTCCTCTGGTCCTCTTGACTGTCCCAAGTTAAAATCCCATATCTGCAATTTCAAGGCAGCACAGGTTTACAAATCTCTTCATTGTAGAACCATTTGGGAAACATTCCTACCTTATACAACCATCTCTAGACTTGATCTCACCTTCTAAAGCGAAGAATCAAAAGAGAGAAAGATCGCACAAACCTGAGTATTCTGAGTCTGAGCACCACCATTAGGATTAGCAGCATTCCACAGCAAAGATGTGAACGACGTCGTTGGAGGCTGATGGATAACTCCTGCTCCGCCATCGACCTCCTCCACATCTCTTGACCATTCCAATCTCTCCGGCATCTCCGGAACCATAAACCCCTCTCCTCCACCTCCTCCTCCGTCTCCGTCTCCGTCTCCATCGCAATCGCCGTCACGGTCACAAACCCGGTCAACATCATCTTCACAGCCAACGACACCACTCCTGAGCAACTCCTCGAGCTGTCTGCACAAGAGCTGCTTATACCTCCCACAGCTAGAGCTGCGCTTCTTAAACGCCGTGTCTTTGGGGACGGGTACCATCAGCTCCTGTAAAACGTTAGATCCAGAAACCCACGAATCTAGCTGCATCCCGAAGTTATTCTCCATCATCATCAACGGCGCTTCCTTCTCTTCTTTCCTCCCTTCCAGATCGACTCCCCATAGAGCAGCAAGCTCCAACGCCGATGGACAGCCGGAGAAACCTTCGACGGCGGAGCGGACATGAGCGTCGGAGACAGAGCAGCTCCCGTGAACATCCCAATCGCACTCCTGACACAAGACGAGGTTGTCGGTGAAGCACCGGACGGAGACTGGCTCGTTGCCGCAGTTATCGCAGATCTGAGATCGCACGTGCTTCCTCGACAGTAGATTCGCCGTGTGCACGTGCTGGTCGCAGGGCAAGCAGAGCTTCGCCGTATCGGCTCTACAGAACAGAACCGCCGCTCGCTCGCCGCAGAATTCGCACGGAACTCTCTCGGAACTACCCATTGTTGATTCCTCAAATACCCTAAAAGCCCTCTCTTTTATCCAAATTTTTAAAAAGTAGAAAAACTCGAAATTAGTTGCAGAGATTATGGACGGTGAGAATGTTGATCAACCGAAGAACATGACATTTTCATTTCTCACGTTTCCCATTTCGCACTGTTTTTTCTTTTTTTTTTAAGGATTTTGTCAAAACTTTATCTGCAAATCTTTCGAGTAGAGAAGACACAGAAAAAAAAGCGAAAACTGTCTTTCTCAAAAATAAATGTGAAGTATCTCTAATTATTGTACCAATTAAAACACTGTTTGGTTTGGGAATACTCCTCTGTGTTGCGATGTATGGAATGGAACTACTCAGATCGAGAGATGATCAGATCTAACGGCGTCATAGGCCATTATTAGACGGCGAAGCTTACGTTGAGGTACTGTAGGTGACAGAAAATCTATGAGAAAATATCTAATCCTCTTTTCATCCTTTTATTTTTTATTCTAAATATATGTTCTAATTTTTTTTAACTTATAAAGGGAAAGTTATATCAAAGCAAATGTTTTTATAGAATTAGCTCTTTCCCTAAATGGCAATTACTTAATTTACTTTTTGAACCCGTGGAGTTTGCGTTCATTATTCAATCACTACCAATAATATTAGTAACGGCTTGAAACATTTTTCTTATCTTCACAAACATTTCAATATTCAAGGTATTGGTGGGCAAAATATCCATAATATTCGCTTAGAATCGATATTTGTTTCGATCTGATTTGAAAAATCCGGATATCCGTAAAGCTTCGGAGCAAAGCAAATAGTAAAATGTAGTATCCGTATAAAATAGAGCAAATCACAAATACTCCCTCCGTTCTAGAATGTATGATGTTTTAGATATTTCACAGATATTAAGAAAACAATAATTATTTACTTTTTTAAAGTACTTTTTGTGTGTTTATTAATTTAATACTAATTTTTTATATTTTTTTACTCAAAAAGTTGTCTTGAAAACAAATATATATTAAATATAATGTAGAAAATCAATCTTTGTGGAACAAAATAAAAAAACCCAAAACATCATACAATATGGAACGGAGGGAGTATATTTCTAGACAACGTCGAATATCCGATCCGATCCGTATCTTTATAAATTTATTATATATTGGTATATATTATCATGTATATATCAATTATATTATAAATTTAATTAATATACTTTAAATTTTTTTCCTAAATTTTCAATTGTTTCTAAATTCTTTTGATTATATAAAATAAATGACTAAATAATCAATCATAAAAAAAAAAATATATGCTTAAACTTAAAATATATTAATAAATAATATTTATTTGATATTAGTTAATAAATATCAACAAAGGTTTTTTTAGTAAAGTTTAATATTAAAGTTTCAGATAGTTAATATTATTTTTATATATAAAATGTCATTTTTCCTCAACTTAATTTTGTAGGTTTATGTTTCATAGATTTTTTATAAAATAAAATGTTTTCTTTTAGTTATTTTCACTTAATAGTTTAGATGAAAACTATTTTTTTATAATAAAAATTGATGTATTTTCAATTTTGTGTATATTAAACGGATCAAACTAAATATTTATAAATATCCGTAAATATCTGCAAATATCTGTAAATATTTTTAAATTTTCCGGATATCCGAAATTCTGGATATCCGTATATTTTCGGAGCAAATCAAACCATAAAATTAAATATCCGTTAAAAATGGAACAAATCATAAATATTTAAAAAAATTTGGATATCCGATCTGCGCCCATCCCTAATCGAAGGAGGAGATAATATCATCTTCTGATTCTTTCTGTGCAGTAGGGCCGTTTGTTGGCAAAAGTTATATGTGCTATAAACACACGTCGTAAGATATTTTTCAGAAATATCCAATCCATCAAAACTAAATGTGGGAAACAAAGTGACGTCAAAGAAAAGTATATACATGACAATAAGATACATGATGGTATAAAATATCTTTGATTTTTTTGAAGATGTTCAACAAAGTAAGGAAAAAAGAAAAGAGAAGACAATAAAAGTTTGACATAAGGCCCACATTAGCCCATAACCGAATAATCTTGCATATGGGCTTGGTCTTGGGTTTGGGCTTGGGCTTGGGCTTAGGCCCATAATGGAAGTGGACAAGTAGTCGGCGATAGATTAGATTTCTGTGTCTTTTCGCTCCCTTGAGTAGAGGGAACGAAAGTCATTCCAGAACTTGGTTTCGCTGATCTTTTATTTTTACTGCTTTTACCCGAGTCGCTGGTTTATTCCGGTTGTGGGAACTCGTTTATAATAGTACCGGACTAAGCAAAACTTCTCGCGAAGAAGAAACCCTAAATCTCGCCATGGATAAGGGGGCGAGATACTCCAGGAGCAACCGGGACGATCGTGATCGGGATTCGAGTGTGGATCATTCTCCGGAGCATGAAGGCGGACGCCGGCATCACGTCCGTGATCACGACGGCGATTCGAAGCGTCGTGATTCAGATCACTACCGGTCATCGAGGCGCGACGATAGGGATGATGAGAGAGATAGGACTAATGATAGAGCTCGGAACAGAGGGAGATCTGCTGAGCGAATCGAGAGGGAAGGGAGTAGAGAGAGGGAAAAGCATCATGAGAGGTCTCATGAGCGAAGTAAGGAGAAGGAATCGAGGAGCAAGAGGAAAGAGAGAGAGGACGAGAATGGGAATAGGGAAGGGAAGAAGAAATCTAGGTTTTCCGACGGGGGTGGTGAGAGGAGAAGCAAATTCGAAGATGTGGCTACGGAGCATGAGAACAGAAACGCTGAAGTGACTGAGGGTTCTGGGGCCATGAATGCAACCAGTGGCGTTCCGATTGTGAGTTTCTATTGCCTAATCTTCTACTGTGCTTGTGATTCCTCAAACATAGTTTTGTTCAAGATAACCTCTAGTCTTATTGCTAGCTTAGCTTCAGTAGGTTTGCTGCTGGTTTCATTCAGATTTCTCAAAAATGTTCGTATGGAGTTTGAATTGCTTGTATTGTGTTTGTCTCTGTGCAGGGCGCTGCTTCGTATAGTTCAATTGCATCGGAAACTTCTCTGGCCCCTAGTCAAACCCTGCGCACTAAGGTATCTTCGATATCTACAACGGATGAAAATAAGGGAGTTAGTATTGTCAGGTCTCATGAGGTTCCTGGAAAATCTAGTACAGATGGAAGAACATCCTCAACGGCTGGGGAAAGTAGTGCAAACTTGTCCCTTGATCCAGTAGCGAAAGCTAAGAAATTACTACAGATGGGAAAGGGATTGGCGGACAGGCTGAAGAAACTTCCTTTGGTAAGATTTTGATTTCCGAATATCCTGGTTATGTGCTTTCATTCTTCTCTTGGAACTTTGTAATTGATAAGTTACTTTATTTCTTCTCTGTGCATATGAACCAGGGTACTAAGTCAATTACAGAAGGTAGCACACATACCAGAGTGCCATCATTGACTCCTGCCGTCTCTGCAGGAACATCTTCTACTTCAGCACTGCCACATTCGGACTTTGCTGGCCTTGGGAGTTTGGCCAACCCTGAAGCTCTTATTATACTGAAGCGAGGTCAGGAAAAGGCAGCTAGTATGGGTTTCATTCAGGATCCACAGTTTGCTCCTCAAATCCCACCAATGGACACGGCTGTTCCACAGAAACCGGGGAAGGCCCCTGTTCTTCGTGTGGATGCGCTTGGAAGGGAGATAGATGAACATGGAAATGTGATTAGTGTGACTAAACCAAGCAATCTTAGTACATTGAAGGTCAGTAAAGTTATTTTAAATTGTCCAAGCTTTCTATCTTTTTCTTTTTATGATCGAGCTCTTTATATATTTGGATATTTGCAGGTTAACATCAACAAACAGAAGAAAGATGCTTTTCAGATTCTTAAACCTCAACTGGAAGTAGATCCTGAAGAAAACCCCCATTATGATCCAAGGATGGGTATTGATAAAAACAAGATTTTGAGACCTAAGCGCATGAGTTTCCAGTTTGTCGAGGAAGGTAAATGGACAAGGGATGCTGAGAATTTGAAGTTGAAGGTATGCATTGTCTTTTCTACAGATTCTTTTCAACCATTTCATTCTTGGAGGCGTTAACTGATTTCTCAGTGTGTGTATTTTTATTATTATTGATTTGTAGAGTCAATATGGTGAAGCAAAAGCAAGAGAGCTGAAGGTGAAGCAAGCGCATCTGGCAAAGGCAAAGGATGATATAAATCCAAATTTGATAGAGGTATCCGAACGTGCCCCGAGAAAAGAGAAGCCCAAGGATCCAATCCCAGATGTTGAGTGGTGGTAAGTTATTTTTCTTACGTTGCCCTTTTTGTTAATGCTGAGTGTTTTTGTTTCAAATGTTCATCTGATTTGACGATTCCATGGCATAACCTTGAGGAAAACAAGTCATACTACAATTAACATCAGCATCTGTGTGATTACTGGTAGAATATGACAACAATAAGTTGACTGATTATAATTGTGAACCACTTGGGTACCTTGCAATGCAGAACAAATATTTAATCTAGCTACTGTGTTCTACTGTTTTAAGCAACTTAGCAGTTTTGTTGATTTTTGGTCTCTTTTCTCTCTATATGTGATGGGTTTTGTTGGCTGATAATTTGTATTCTGTTTCAGGGATGTAAATGTCCTAATCACTGGCGTATATGGGGACATAGCTGATGGAACCATTACTGATAGCGATCTGAAGATAGAAAAACTCACTCATTACATTGAGCATCCTCGTCCAATAGAGCCACCTGCAGAAGCACCGCCTCCACCACCCCAACCTCTTAAACTGACGAAGAGGGAACACAAGAAACTGCGAACCCAGAGGCGTCTAGCTAAAGAAAAAGAGAAACAGGAGATGGTCAGACAAGGGTTACTTGAACCACCAAAAGCAAAGGTGAAAATGAGCAACCTAATGAAGGTTCTTGGGTCTGAAGCAACCCAAGACCCAACCAGGCTTGAGAAAGAGATCCGCACAGCAGCTGCTGAGCGTGAGCAGGCTCACACGGACAGGAACGCAGCACGGAAACTAACTCCCGCAGAGAAACGTGAGAAGAAAGAGAGGAAGCTTTTCGAGGATTCAACAGCGGTTGAGACGACGATAGTGTCGGTGTACAAGATCAACAAGCTCTCGCATCCTAAAGCAAGATTCAAGGTGGAGATGAACGCGAGACAGAACAGGCTAACAGGGTGTAGTGTGATGACGGACGGAATGAGCGTGGTTGTGGTTGAGGGTAAGAGCAAAGCGATAAAGAGATACGGGAAGCTGATGCTGAAGCGAATAAACTGGGAAGAGGCGGTGAAGAGCGAGGAGAAGGAAGGAGAGGAAGAAGATGAAGAGGAAGAGGAGAATGGTGGAAACAACAAGTGCTGGTTGGTTTGGCAAGGAAGTGTTGCGAAACCTAGCTTTCACAGGTTTCATGTACAAGAGTGCTTGACGGATTCTGCTGCCAGGAAAGTTTTCACGGATGCTGGTGTTGCTCACTACTGGGATCTCGCCGTCAATTACACCGACGACTAAAATCATCCTCTCTCCCTCTCCTTCCTCATATTCAGTCAATTTCTGTAATGTCTCTCTGGTACCAGACTTATCTCAGTCATCATCATTCTCATGTTGAAATGCTTTGACTATTGAACATGTTATGGAAATTTTAGGGGAACAGGTTTTGTGTTGCGCTTCTTATGTTGTCGGTTGAACAAAAGTTACTAGTTTTGACGAGTACGCATTGATTAAATTGCCTACTCCTTCAAGTAAACTCGTTTAAAGTGTTATTAGGCATATTCACAATAATTAATTTTTTGTTAGCCGAAACCATGATTATTATCTATTGTCACGCGTCTGAGCCGCGCGTGTAGAAGAGGGGACATATGTACTCTCCATTACACGGACGTGCGACAAAATGCGAGCCTCACTGGTCATTGTGCCCCTGACAGCTACGGCCTTGAGCCTTTCTCTTTACCCAACAATAATCCCAACGCGCTACAATCCACACGGCGCGTGACTCAGTTTCCTGATTGAAATCGCGAAAATTACCCAGCAATAAAAGTCTCTTTTTTCATTTGTGTTTGTTTTCTACCTTCAATATTCTCTTTTTGTGTCTTCTTTCCTCTTTCTCCTCCTCTGCCTTGAAAAAACATTCCGGTGGGTTCGAAGAAAGACAAAGTGGAGAGGGTAACGGAATATCTGGAGAGATCGATGCAGAGGAATTGTTCGTTGAGTAACCGGAGAAGGAGTGTGGGAGATGATGATGATGATGGGCTTGGTATGACGGACGAGAGCGACGATCATATCCCGATCCCGGATACAACGTTGGAGCTCAATTCTCACATCTCTATTCCTTCTCATTTGGAACAGTGTCTTGATCTTAAGGTACTTGGAATTTTCTCTGGGTTTTTAATATTCTCTGCTGATTCAGCTATGAATTTGTGTCGTTTTGGGGATCGCATTTACTGCGGAATAATGACAATCATTTGTTGGTTTATATGGCAACAAAATTGGCTTCTTTTGTTTCCTTATTATTGATTGATTTTGTTGTTCTTGTTGTTGTTGATGTTTTACTTTGCGTTGCATTTATTGCTTCAGCCCTTTGTATCTATCGACTTAAATGCTCACAGGGTTTGGTTTACAAGCCTGATTTTGATAAATCAGTAGAGAAACCCTAACTGAAACTTCAGGTTGTGGAATAGAAATTTGTTTGCTTGACTTTGAGAGATTTACACAAGCTTTATTCTATTTAAATAAGCTGGATGATTTTCTTTAATGGAACAAATGTTTTCTTTCGTATTATCACCACAAATATACCAAAGGTACAGAGAGATTTGCATCTACTAGTCCATTGCATTGCATTGCAAAAAAGCAGAATCATTCTGTCTCCTCTTTATTCTTTCTGGCAAAATTATAAAATAAAAGATGAAACTTTACTTCTGTGGATTAGTCTATGAGCCTATGAGTATTATTACCCTTGCGATATAAAGAGTCTTAAGGTTTATTGCTTTTGGATTTTTAAGACAGGAGAGATTTACTACGTAAACTGGAACACCGGAATGAGAGTGAAGGAAGATCCAAGGAAATCGGTGAGCAACAACAATGCAGATGAACTCAGTGGAGAATCGGATGTAACTGTGATATCAGAAGAAGATAGCTCGTATGCTGAAAGCGAAGAATCTTCATCAGAGTCATCGAGAGTGAATCACAAAGAAGAAGAAGAAGAAGAAGAAGAAGAAGTGGTTCTTGTGGTAGCTGGTTGCAGAGCTTGTTTCATGTATTTCATGGTCCCTAAACTGTTACACGATTGCCCCAAATGTTCAGCTCAGCTTCTCCACTTTGATCTACCTCACTCTGTTTCTCCTTGAGCCTCTCTCTTTCTCTCCTCATTGTCGTTTTTTCTTTTTGGTTTCTTCTCATTCTCATTCGCTTCACATAGATTTGTAGGTTTTCTTCTTTTTTTTTCCTCCTCTCTCCTTTAATCGTATATGTAGACTATTGGTCGTGTTGTGTCTGAATTACATTAACACGAGGTTTGAAATTTGATGGTAATGTTTCAAACAATAGAACACGAATTAGGCTTAGAACATGTGATTATGGGATTTACATGTTTGTGAGATTGATAAAATTAACGATTGGTTATGAGAGTGTTGGGAGGGAATGTTTGGTAGTAAAAGATTTAAAGTTGGTCAATGGAAGATTAAGAGCCCATAAGACTCGCGCGCTGCGTGGAAAGAAAGAAAGTACAAAAAAGCATAATCATTGCAGCATGTGAATGTACCACATTTTCTGTTCCTTTTGTTTCCCATTTTTAAATTCCTAAATCAAAATTTCCCGTCTTTAGTTTTGACCAAAATTAATTAAACTTTATTCAACAATTAGGATCAAACTTTGATAATATTTTTGGGACCTTCTCATAAATTCGAATAGATCCCCCAAAATATTGAGCTTTTTTTTTTACTTGTATTTTCTACGTTTCAATATAAGTGATGCTTTTGAATATAATTATTTTGTGTGAAACATATGAGGTATGTTATAATTTCAAGTGACAGTTTATCTTTGTGGAGATCTATAACTGGATTTAAGTTTAAAGTGTGGAAAGATCCAATGAACGATTGAACGGTAACTATTTAGCCCTTACTTATATTGGCAGTTTCTATATTAATGTAAACAATCAACGGAGCATTACCATTATGTATAATATATATAATCGAGTTTTAATCTAAGATGCTCCTCGGTCTAAAACCAAAATCTCAAATATTCTTTTTTTATTTTATTTTTCGTTTTGAATTATTTTTAATTCGAAAATCATTGTATATGTTTATGTTATCCCTTGTTTTTGTTATAATTATAGATCCAACCATATTAAACCTACCCAAACCCATATTTAATGGATCAATCCGAAATAAACCTAAAATTTTCAATCTTTGTCGTGAAAAAAACTCCTCAGAAATCAAAAAAACTCTTCCTCCTCTCTGACTCCTCCTCTCTATCTCTTCCTCATTTTTCATCTTTCTTCGTGAAATTAGAGATTACTCAATTGATTTTTGTTTTAATCGATGGCTAAGACAAAGTGGACAAGAAAAAAGAGGAAGATTGCTCGAGATGCAGAGTAGAGAGATGCAGATTCGGCTGCCATTGTTGAAGAAGTTCAAAAAAAAGTAGAAAAAGAGGGATATGTGATTCTGTTGGGTGAGAAAGACAGATCTAATTCGTTTTGTTTATGAAGAGTCTCATGATTTATTTTGCTCTTGATGTCAATTGTGGGAATCGTTAGATTTGATTTAGAATTTCTGGGTTCGCACATGTAATACTGGCATAACTTGGTACAACTAGATGTTTGTTGTACTAGTTATCCATAGTTATAAGTTCTTATAAGTAATACTAGTAGAACTAGATAAAACTAGTTGGATTTTGTATGTAAAACTGGCATAACTTGGTACAACTGAATGTTTGTTGTACTAGTTATCCACAGTTATATGTTCTCTTTACTTAGTAATACCAGTTGTATCAAGTTTTACTCAGTAATATCAATTACACCAAGTTTTACTCAATAATACCAGTTGCACCGAGTTTTACTCAATAATACCAGTTGCACCGAGTTTTACTCAGTAATACTAGTAGCACCAAATTATACTGAGTAATACAGTTGCACCAAGTTTTACCCAGTTTTACTATATTTATTGGTAAATAAAAAATAATAATTATTTAGTTAATTTCATTAAAGGTAAAATAGGAATATCACTTATATCAAAAGTATATAGATTATTGAGGGATATAGAAGATTAATTTTGAGTAAGAAGGGCATTTGAAATCACGACTCCATATAATTAGGCTTTAATACTGTCACATTAAATGCTTGATGATAAAAAGTCAGCTCATGAGCTAATTTCAACTCTCGGACATCTGTGTGTTTAACTAAAGTATAGTATGTAGTTGACTTATCTGTTTTGTTAGCTGCTTCCACCTTCAAAAATGGAGAGAAAGCTGGTTATTCATGTTTTTTTTTTCATTATAGAAACAAATGAGCTATACTTCAGTCTTCACTATCGAAAATAAAAATGTACTTTTTTGTAATCCATATCTAGGTACCAATTAGTAGGAAAAACATGCATTTTGAATGTTTTTTAATCTCTAAATAATTTGGTTTGAACAAATTATACAATAGCAAAACTGGGTACTTAATTAATTTGCTCTTGTTTTGACATGTCTCTGGATAGTATATGTAGGCCACGTGACGTCTCTTGTTTGTTTTAGCGAGGTGAATGCCGTGAAGAGACTGAGTCATTTAGACTTAGAGGTGTTGAAAGTAATAGTCTCGTGTGTGCATCACATGTTTGGGAGGATGAAAGTATGCCAAAATATGAAGCACACATCAATCTCATACAATTGAGGAATGTAAACACAATGAGAATCTTGGGCCTGGTCAACAAAAACAGAAGCGATTGAAATGTTGGCCTTCGAATAAGAGTTTGTGGGGTCTTCGTACGTGTGCATATATATATAAAAAAAAAAAAAAACTAAATGAGCATACACTGTCACAGATGTGATAGTAGAATCGTACGTAGGACAGTCGATCGAGTAAGGACTATTTGGAATTATTAGATTTGTTCATGTAACATGGTATAAATGAACAAAAAGAGATTGGTTCTAGAGAATTTCACAATCATATTATAAAGTGTGATGATGTTGAACAATTGCAAAAGAAAAAAATAAATTAGGAAGCGATTGATTCAAGTGAGATTTTGTTCTTCTCTCTTATCTTCGTATTTCTTCGCCGTTCTTCATTGGTTTAACAATCTTTACATCGTATTAAAGCTATGGAGAGTTATATATAAAGCTTTCGTCAGTTATACTGCACATTTAATGTCTCACGTATGATGTAAAAAATCTGAGTGCTTTTACCAAATGAAAAGACAATTCCACACCTAAAAGACAATTATAATATGCATGCTAAAAAAGGTTCTTTACTACTCTATCTCTAGTCTGTTCTACGTACAACCTTTTCTTATATTATTACTACAATAAATTAGCGATATTTGACAACGGAATAGTCATTTCAGTTGTTACTATGTCACCATTTCGTCAAACCATTGCAACTAATTAGTGATAATTTTTTAAAAAATATTTCACGAAAATATCAACTACTAAGTTAATATATATACCACCATATATATCACGAGTCAGGTGCGTTTAACATACCGGTACTTACCCACCATTGTCATCGCTTGACATCCATAAGGGGAATTCGACTCTGTAGACATGAGCAGGTTGGGTAAAACAAATATTTTTATTATACAGGAACCTTTGTTTATAACGGAAAAATATTTATAGATAAGCTATGAGCTTTTTATGTAGACATTTTTGTTATATTATTATAATAGTTATTTGTTTTCTATTTGAATTATTGAGAAGTTTAACACCTGATAAATATATTTTTTTAAGTTAAAGAGCATAATGTAAACTAGAGTAACTGAAAACAACTGATGCAAAGTAAAAAACAAGTTTATTCATTAAACGATCCTTTTAAAAATAAATAATACTCATAGATTTGACAAAAAAAATTAACAAATACCATATCATTTTACCTGATAACAAGTTATTTGACATTATATAGCATTCTGCCATATGATTTTTCGGTTTGCCAATTTTGCCTATGCGTATAGTAACAAAGTCTCACGTTATATTATTTCCTTTTTCATCGTCACCGCCAAAACTCAAATTCGTTGCTTCAAACAGCTCTCGTTTTAGGACTCTGTTATTGTCTATCTTTTTGTCGACCACTATAGTCTATCTTTTATAATTTCGGTGTTCTTTTTTTTTATATACTAACCAGCATGTTTACATAATAGTTCATCTGTTCATGGAAGGTAAAAAAATTGCCAGCTGCAGCAATGACTACACAAAATTATAGACAACTTATATATGAAAGATTGGATATATAACTGAAAACAAAAATATATAAAAACAAATCGAAGTAAAAAGTATATATATGTATATGTATGAATGCAGGGGAATTGTGGGGGTCACATGGAGCTCAGAGAAAGAGCAGAATAGTCCCCACGTCGTCTGTGTTTGGGTCCTCGGGCTCTGAGGATGCCAAACACCATCATGCATGCCCAACTCTCTTTTTCATTATTCTTTTCTTTCTTTTTCGGGTTTTTTTATTTTACCATTTTAGGGCTTTCTTTTGTATATTCATGTCCCTCCTACACCATCGAATATAGTATATATATAAAAAAAAAAAAGAATACATGCTTTACCAATTTCTACTCCTACTTTGTTTCTCCTTACATCATTTCTTTATTATTAGCTTTCATTCTTTCCTCACGCTCCCTTTTATGGTTTCCTTTTAGTTTGATTCAACTTCCCATCATGCATGTATTCATATTTTATTGTATGTAATATTCCAAGTAATCTATCTTATTATTGACATTTTGACAGATATTGTCATCATATTCCTCTCCACTCTCTGCCCATTCCACTTGCCTCATTTCTAATCTAAAAGTTATATTTTATTATTTAATCAACTCACTCATGCACCCTTTCAACTAGTATATAGTACTTCATTTTTTATTTTCCCTACATATATTCTTAAATTTTATTTACAGAAATAAACGAGATGCACGTACCTTTACTTCATACATTTCTATACCCAAGCCATCAATCACTAGATAAGTAGTTAAGTCACTAAGAAAAAATAATGCATTGATCATCGTTAAGCAGAACAAACACTTATTTAGGATACGGAGTATTATGAAGAAAATCATTATTCAGCATAGGGGTACCCTCAACATATCTATTCCTACCAGTGCTACAATATAATCAATTATCAATAGTATTTTTAAACATCATTTATCAGTGGTAACATATTTTAAAAAGTTAATACTTTTTTGTCGATAAAGCAAAAAAAAAAAAAAGTTATACACATGATTAACTTTGTGAAGTACTAAACTGTAATAAGTCTAACATTCATTAGCCTCGATATTCACAGATTCTTTTGTTAGGGTTGATACACATGATTAACTTATGATGCTATTTCTCTTAAGACTTTATGAAAAGATATTTGTAAGACTGTTGAAATATTTTAGGAAATGAGTAATTTTTATAGAAAACAAAAAGAAGATTGCAATGATGGTATTTGAAGATTAAATTACTTGAAATGTATCTTGACATATATATGATCTTTATATACATGTATATGACATGGTTTTCGTTACACATTCATGGATTTCTGTGCATAATTAAAAGTGAACCAGTAAGTAAAAAAATGCTTCTATTACATTTTTTTGTAAATCTGACAGAAATTTCATGGTTTTTTATTGTGTTTTGTGAAAGAAACTACATCAAACAATTTAGAAGGGTGATGTCGATGGCCTCTATTGGATAGCAAAATGAATAATATATATATATATATAATAATAATAACATGGATATGGTCTAGAGGCTCTAAACAAATACAATGAAGAATTAATCACATTTGACAAAACCACACCCGTATGTACAAGTTTTTAGTTATTACGAATAGTTAAATGAGACAACTAAATTAGAAGACCAAAATTACAGCTGAAAAATATCCCCAAAATCCCATAAAAAGCAACCCATTAGGGCTAAAAATAAACTTTTAAGAATATTAATAATTAAACTTCCTTGAAAACAAATTAATAACTTTGGCTGTCAATCTTTTTGTCCTCGGAACATGGCCTTAAAAAGCGATTAGCTGGATCGATCACACCCATTTCATCCTTTTCCTCGCCCTGCATAGGCATACCTTTCGTTCTTTTAAAGTCAATAAAACCCAAATAAACTTTTACAGGAATAATTAATATTGTTTAATCATTTTGAGTAAGAAAAAGAAAAAGTGTAGTCCTAAATTATATAAGCTTTTACATCACGTATATATGATCTCTACGTACATGAAAAATTCCATAATTTCAGATATTTTTATTGAATTTGAATCTGACAGACAGAGAGACCATCACACTCCTCTCTCTTTCTTACATTCCCACAAGCTTCCAAACAAAGAGAATTAATGGAAAGTAAGATTTGCAAAGGAATAATTCTCTTCCTCGTCCTCTCTCACTCACAACCCTACACGCATATAATATAATTAAAGAAGTACATGTATTAAATATAAGTAAAAAAAAGAAATAAATAAATAATCAAAACCCTTATCTTCTTCATGAGAATCATTTCCTCTCCACAAAACCATGCCTTCTCTAAGCTCTCTTTTCACTTTTTCAACAATCCCTCCATATATTGGCTCATGCTGAGATCATATGACCAATATGGTTCCTCTTGAATCCTCACCGCTTTTCGGCGTTTTCAGCTACGGCGGTTGCAGCAGCGACGGAGGCGGTTTCACGGACGGGATGATGATTAGAGAAGCAACAATTAACAATCAAGATTCTAGTGGAGAAACATGCTCCGTCTCCGATCCAACAGCAGCTTCTACTAGTTATTACAACATCTCTTCCCCTCAGGCCAACAAAGACTACGGATCTGCCTCAAAGAGCGACGTCGTTTCTTGTATTAACGTAGAAGATGATAACAAAGACAAATCTTGGCTCCGTTTAGGTATAGGCCCTGAGGAGAACAACAACAGAAACAACACGGCGTCGTATAAGCTCCAACGTTGTTGTAGCAAAAAGGCAGGGGGAAGAGAACATTCGTTAGAGCTCAGTTTATTCTCCTCATCCTCAACCGCGGCAGGAGCGGTTAGTAGTAGTGTAGATCATTCGCAGCCGCAGCCGCCGCAACCACTGCAGCCGCCGTATTCTCATGATCAATTGCTGACGATGCGTGGAGCGTCGTTGGTTTACAATCACCAATTAGTTCGGCCTCAAACGTTATTTAATCGTGATCTTTCGTTTCCATCTTCAAAGCCATGGATGCCTCAATATACGGCGCCATTTCGACCGTCATCATTAGGAATGATGAGTGAGCGTGACGTCACTAACAATAATAGTGTTACAAGGAGTTGTTGTGTGGAGGAGGGAGGAGCTGGACCAAGCTCGGAGTTTAGGGTTCTTGATCCTCCAAGAAGACCACATTCTGGTCTTTGGTTTCTTCTTCAAGCTTCACAATTTCAGTAATTAAGACCTCTCTTACCCTTTCTTTATCTAATCATATTAGTATGTAACAGATGACGACTCCCAAGTGTGTATGTGTATATATTTTATAACATTGGATTTGTGAACGCAGGGAAAAGGAACCGTTCTTGCCTCAAGTAAACAAGAGCTACTTGAGAATCAAGTAAGTCTGTTTTGTCTCATGCATATTATAGAAACTTCTTTGTTTAGGGAAGTTACTGACGATTGTTATATTCTAATTTGAAAATTTGTCTTGAATTTGCATGGATAAGGGATGGGAGAATCACAGTTAGATTGCTAATTAAGTACCTTATGAAGAAGCTTCAATTGGATAGCGAATCTCAGGTAAATATCTAAAACTCCAACTCTTTTATAAGTATATCTTAATCTTCTAGATTATGTGGATATGAAATGAAAATGACATTGGAACTAAATCCCCAACTTAATTAGGTCACACGTCTGATGTCATGGTGTCGTAATGTCTATAACGTAGGTCAATAAAATCTTAGCTAGAGATATTCAAATTATAGTAATATAGGTGAGTGAAACCACTTTCTCAATATTGAGAGTTACACGACATCTTCAATTAGGTGCAAATCTAATCAATACTCATGAATAACCTAGGGTTCGGATATTTGAACTCGATTACTTATGTGTTCAATCAAACAATTTCTAAGGAATCATTTCATGGTTCACCAAAAGATTTTTTTTTGTCCACGCTTAACCCTCTAATAAGAAATTTGATTACCCAAAAATCAGTCTAGTAAGAAAAGAAAAAAATAGTGGTTAATTAGGTTTTTGATTGATCGTTTCTCGAAGTACCCACCACCTTATCAATAATTATTATCATTATTGTTGTTATGTTTATATATTCTCATAGGAAACTGGAAAACGAGAGGGGAGCTATAACTGACCTTTTTGTTAGTTTCAGGCCATAATATAGTTATATATTAATTATAATAATTTAGAATCATGTTATTTCTGGAATAAAACAAGTCTGAGTCATCAGGCATGCTTGCTTTGAGAATAGTAGAAACCAGAAAAGAAAGGATATCTTAATCCAACCTCAAAAAGCTTACATGCGTATTTGTGTGTGTGGATGCTCTCGTTAATCAGAATTTACAATAATCTAAGTATATCGCATGTTTCTATGGAGTCTAGATAGGCTCATAAACACATGTTCATGCGATATGAAGTCTTGTGCCCTACAAGAATCAAATGCATGTATAGGTGTGTGCGTGTGAGTGTTGTATATCGAAAGAAAAAAGTGTGTGTGTGTGTGTGTTAGACCTTAGGTGACAAACATTTTTTGGTTTCGTTATAATCGGATATATCATACTATATGACTAATTAATCGGCTCGGCTCGTCTAGTATCCAAATAATAGATTAGCGCTTGCTAATTTATTATTTACTACATGATTTCATTCTACATATAACCAATAAATGTGTAATAAGCGGCTAACGCTTTCTAAAACATTAGTTGTGTAAAGTAACGTCTAATCATCCTTTTAGACGTGCTGTTAAACGGTCAACATAACTCTTATGAAAACTAGTTGTGTTATAGTATAGTTCATTGGTGTCGTCTTCATTACTACATAGTTTAGTACGAGTATAATTTTTAATTTCGCAACAAAAGACCTTGAAATTATCTAGCACCAATACTTCGATACAGTTAATGTACGGCGGTATCAAGAAATCATGGCGTTAAAACCTTTTAAAAATTGGTAATAAAAACCTGAAATTAATGTGAATGAAAATCAATTATGAAAAAGTTGGATTTCGCGCAAATATTAACCATGACAAATCTAATTTTCCGTTTAATGCTTACAAGTTTTCATGTTTTTGCTTATTTTCTGAGAGCATGCATGGTCACAAGAATATATTGATATTTGGTCCGAACAATTAATACATTATGAATATAACATTGTATATTGATAGTTGATACTTTAACTACATAGCACCATGATAGACAAATGGGTGGCATAAAATATTCTTATTCAAATAATCATTTGATGAAAAACGTGATTTGAAAGCATTGATGCATGATGTAGGAAATCAAGTGGTGGTAGTCTAGTGGTTTCCACTTGAGGAGGAGTTGTCCTATTGGTCAAGGCCAGAGATCGATTCCCCTCAAGTGCGAAGTTGCTAGATTAATTCTATTTGGCCACATGAATATGAATTTATGCTTTCGGCCCATTTAAATATCTGGAGAGAGGATCTATCTGTGGACTGGGCTGCACCTCCCCCTAGTGGATTAATCTGAATCTATCTATCTGTGGACTGGGCTGCACCTCCTCCAGTGGATTAATCTGAATCTTTCCATAAGTCTGGGATGTACCCTAAGTTATAAAAAAAAAAAAAAAGCATTGATGCATGCATGGCTAACTTTGTCTTTTCCATCAAGCCAAAAAAATGTCTTTCCCACTCAAGCATATCCAAGTATCCCTAATTAATCTTTGGATCGTTTGATACTTTTCCTAGAGTTAACTGGTTGATACTCCATCCAAAAGTCAATCCAAATTGCGTGATGATAATTTAGTAGCATCTCTTCGGGGTTCCTTTTTTGCATACATATCATCTTTGATAAATAGAGAATCTACAAGTGATGAGGTTATTCATCCGTAATATAGTAACAAATATATCTTATCTGATATAAAAAACAGTGCGCAAGTGTTTCGTTTTTGTTTGTATTCTTAGGTGAGAGATATTTTCAAAAACCTAAATCAAAGATCATTTCAAAAACCTAAGAAACCATCACGAATTCATAATTAGATGACATTATATTAAGAAAAAGAAGTGAGACAAAATTTCTGTTTTTTATTTATTTAAATCATATTATTAAACCCCACAGACAACAATTACACCTCAAGATTCCTGAATTTACATCTGAAAACAAATTAAAGACTTCCTATAGTGGTGAAATCATGAAACTATTTCCCTTTATAAGAAAAGCTATAGTGGATAGCTCACACAGTCACACATCCAAAATAAATTTTAAAAGGCGATAAAGATAGCCTTCCTAGTGAAGAAGGTGTCTCCCGATGAATAGAAAAGGTAGGTAATGATAACTCTGTTATTGGCTCAAATTAAATAGGACATGCCATCTAAATTTTCGTCTATTACCGTCGTAAGTTTGTTTGGTTTTTTTAATATATATATGTGTGAGTTAGCAGCATGCTACTATAATAAAGTTAGTGAATTTTCCTATAAAGAAATGCTATGAACACTCAACACTGTTTGAAAATAGTTAATATATAGGTGACTTAATCTTAATATCCATTTTTCTTCACATGGCTTAGATTCTTTTAGCAACACACTGGGATTTTGAAACCGTATTGTGCTCGAGAAGAAGAACTTCTAAGAATTTATTTGGAAATGTATATACTGAACTCGATCTTTTTTTTTGAGAGCCGTTGCTACGAGCGAAATTCATAGTCAGGTCAATATAATTTTGTTAGGGACTGAAAATATATGGAGAGACGTAGACGTTTATTTTAAATATATAATTTAGTGTATAACTACTTGATTTTTAACAAATAAATATAACTATACTTGATCGTGAAAGAAAAAAATAACTTGGACGAGATTAGAAAATAATACTGTAAAACCTCTATAAATTAATAATATTTGGACTCTCAGATTTTATTAATTTATAGAGTTATTAATTAATCGATAAATTATTAATTATTAATTTATCGATAAATTAATATTTTATTAATTTATAGAGATATTTTTCGGTTCAAATTGTTAATGTTCATCGAAAAACCAAAAACAATTATTTCAACAATGTAAAACTCATTCAAAAAATGTCATAATAATGAATTTAGAACATAAATCAAACAAAACTTATAAACTTGAAACAACAATACTATCATGTTTTACTATATTATATTATTTACATATTTCTAAATATATAATTATTAATTTATATTATTATTGGGACTATATTTTTACATAAGATTTTTTAAAAAAGTATTATCTTATTATCTTATCGAATTTTATCAATTTTTACACTGACCCGACTTGGGACCGACAAAAACTATTAATTTATAGTGATTATTAATTTATCGAGTATTAATTTATAGAGGTTCTACTGTATGTTGTACATTTCAATAAATATTTTTTCACAGCTAATCTAAGGTTGGAATATATTATATAAGGTCTCTATATATGGTTCAATTTTTCTAAAGTTAGTAGTAATGGTGACAAAGGGGGAGAAATTAACCTTGTCGTCACGCTTATGCTTGCTAAGGTCAGCTATTCTCTCTTATTTCTCGTCGAATAGCATATATTTTTGTTTAATCTCATATACATATTAAATAGGGGACTTTAAGTTACGTGCAAAGTGTCGCATCATAATTCCAAGTGGTGCACTTACATGAAAATAACTTGATCATCTCCTCACCAACCAATCACGTAGGAACGTGATTAATGTAGGCTACAAATAATAGAACACAAACCAGCGTATTTATATAAATATAGAGATCTGAAAAAACGCTTGACACTTGAACAGCAGAATAATACTAGACTTTACCTGACTACATGATAAAACATTTGCATCTTTTTTGGATGAATTTACTAATAACTAATAAACCAATTACCTTCGTGTCATGTCATTTTGTTTTTTTTAAAATTCACAATATCGACAAAATTTGAAGCATTGCAATTCAACAATAATATATAAATTATACAAAAATGAAGCATATAAGACTCGGAGACGGTAGCTTATAACCGGCTGAATTCAAAATCAGATTTTGGAAAAGTCGAATCATGTCTAGAGTTTGAGTTAGGTGCGACATTATATATCTGGGACCGAACTCGGTTATAAAAAAAAGGCTTAGGATGGAAATAAAAGCAAGCAAGTATAATGAAAACGTGGATACGTGATTGTGACCAATATAATTCTACATTCTCCGTCAAAAATGCAATCTTACTGCACTACTATCTCAAAAGTAAACACACGATCCTCGAGTAAAAGTAAACACAAGATCCTTATAATAGAGTCAGCTGACTAAATCTTGGTTGTTTTTTAAAGATGTTTTTGTTTTTTTTTTGGTTTCACTTCTTATCTTTGGCGTCAAGTGGAGGAAAAGTGGGTATTTTAGGGTAAGGCATACGTTACATATTTAACTACGACAGCAACAAAATAAAACCCAAGTTTTTCTTCAATGAAAACAATAATATTAGTTACAAAAAATATATATATATATATATATATAAAATAAACACATAAAATACAAAGTTAGAGTCATATACACCAACGGGTTATCTAACCGGTCAACTTTGCAGATCATGTCATGTACTCTGTGACCTTTTAGCATATCACACGAGCGGACATATTATTTGGTAATTTATGTGATTTTGACTCGTTTTTGGTTTGTTTGATGGACGCATGCAAATGGAAACAGATAGAGATAAGATGCAGAGGACAACAATTATCGCCGTTGTTGGCGATGCAGCATGTAAGAGATACCATATGGAGTCCAAAATCATCATTACCATCATCATCTCCCTCTTTCACTTTGCTTCGGGATTCATCAACTAGTGATCATGTCATGATTTTGCATTATGGTAGGACTGCTTAATTAATGTTTTATTTATTTTTATAGTTTTTGCTCTACGTGTAACATTTTTTTGTTTCGATCTTTTGTGTACCTATCGAGTTTTTAAAAAATATCCCTCTCTTTTTGTTTGGGTTTTTCGATCGAACTTTTCATAGTTCACTCTCTTTTTTTTTTTGGATCGAAAACTAAATTGAAAAACGCTAATTTGTCTATATATATACATTGGGCTTTTTAATGGAATTAACGGGGACTACCAACTGAGTCAACATTCTATTGGGCTGTAAAGGCCCATATTGTTTCTTTTTTTGTTGTTTCTGTACTATCTTCTTCTCTCCCAAAGTCATCTCCCTCAGAAATCTGAGATTCCGATCGGTTGCTTCTTTCTTCTCCGACTCGTAATGTCGTGATATGTTAAATAAGCTTACTACAATGGCGTACGGTTCTTTTGCTCTCTCATCGAAAGCTCTAGTCTTCTGCCGTCCTTGCTATGGCTCCATTAGAGACCTCCCTTTCTCCCTCCGAACGCCTACAGTTTCGTCTCCATCTCTCTTCTTATCCAATTTTTTTTTGCTTCATTTCAATCTTCTTTGATTTCCCTTCACATTCCTGGCTAACTAAAAACGACCTGAAATGGAGATGTTCTCAGATTGGGCATTGTGGATGTGTTGGAGCAATCGCAGCACCTAGAAATCTGGTGAAACCACGCAAGGAAGAAAGCCGTGGTGATTGATTATCATTTTTTCTTGGAAACTCCTAAATTCAATTCAAATTTACACCAATCAAGATTTTTTTTTATTCTAACAACGCGGGAACTCTGGTGTTGTTTTGTTTTGTCATGAAGATTTTAGTAGAGAACGGAGAAGTAAGGAGAAAGCGATGCCATGGAAGAAGTTAGATGCTAGTGAGTTTGGTATACAGAGGTCCATGATCCCTGAGTCTACACGGATGGTTCTCAATAAGCTCAGGAAGAAAGGTATTTTTTTTTTTTAAACTTCTTGTGAAGTTTAGTGTTAAAGCTTACGTCAGGCTTTGAGTGAACGGCTTCTGATTGATTCTGGTGATTCTTACTGTGTCTAGATGTCATATATATATATATCTCAGCTTTCGTTCTGAAAGAATCGGATTTTGCTTTTTGAACATTACCTGAAAATTTGTGTTCTTGTAGCTTTAGTATGTCGACTCTCTCGAGCTGTTGAGATTTCTTAATCCAAGTAGCTCTAAGCTTTCTTCAATGAACCACGTCTTTCGCTGAAATCCGTTTTTTTTTCTTTCTGACATGTGCTATGATGTTGCAGGTTTTCAAGTTTACCTAGTCGGAGGTTGTGTACGGGATCTTATACTAGATAGAATCCCCAAGGATTTTGATGTTATCACTTCAGCCGAACTCAAGGAGGTTCTGTATCCTTTTTTTTTATATATATAAAACCAAGTCCTTTTTGCCTACATTTTGTCTTTCCTTCACAAATTTACACTTCTCTGTGTGTGTGTACAGGTACGGAAAGTATTTACCCAATGTCAAATCGTTGGAAGACGGTTTCCCATATGCCATGTTTATGTCGATGACATTATCATAGAGGTTTGTTCACCGTTTCATTCAGTTTTCATATCTACCTATCAGTTAAGTGCGATAAAGCTTTAAAGGGGTTCTTTTATTAAAGAGTACTGCTCACAGTTGAGTCAGAAAGAACACTTTTTTCTTATCTATGTTACTCTCTCAAGTACTTAAAATTGTGTCTCAAGACTTAATGGCGCTGTTCAATTTTAACAGGTTTCGAGTTTTAGTACTTCAGCAAGGACTGGTAAAGCGCCAAATAAAGCCTTCAGGAAGCCTGCGGGCTGCAGTGAACGTGATTATATCCGTTGGAAGAATTGCTTACAGCGTGATTTTACAGTCAACGGGTAGGCACTGCCACTATCTGTGTTTTCATTTGTGAATTGTGAAATCCGTATGTAGCATGCATTAACATTCACATGTTGGATTTTTTTAGGTTGATGTTTGATCCATTGGATAATGTAGTGTATGACTATGTAGGAGGAGTTGAAGATCTAAGGAGTTCCAAAGTAGGGCTCTGCATTTTAAGCTATCATTCTTTATAGAAACCAGTTGACATATGAATGAATTGGTATCAGTCCTAATCAGTCGAGTTTATTGTGTAGGTGAGGACAGTATCTTCGGCGAAGCTTTCGTTTGTAGAGGATAAAGGTCAGTTGTTTGCAGATACAATTTGGTTTTGTCATTGGTATGAGATTTGTTTGTTTGGAAAGGGCTTCAAAAAGAAGGTAACGGTGTTCACTTTACAGCTCGCATTTTACGTGCAATTAGGATTGCGGCGAGGTTAGGATTCAGCTTGACTAAAGACGTTGCTGTTTCTGTGAAGGAGCTTTCCTCTTCATTGCTACTACTTGACCCTGTTAATATCTCTTTCCCCTTACCCTTGTTCTCTCCCTCCTTTACCTTTTCTCGCTGGGTTACTTAGGACTGAGCATCTTCTCTCGTTTTCGAATATTCTGCAGTCAAGAGTCCAGATGGAAATCAATTATATGCTGGCGTATGGGTCTGCAGAAGCTTCTTTACGACTGTTATGGAGATTTGGGCTCATGGAAATTCTCCTACCTGTCCAGGTTTGGTGAATCTTCTGAAGCAGTGTGGTGTTATGAAGTGCATGTCGAGTATTGTTTCATAGTTCGTCTAAATGGATTTATCTATTCGCAGGCATCTTATTTTGTTTCCCAAGGGTTCCGGAGGCGTGATGGAAGGTCCAACATGCTTCTGGTACATGATTCTGCTTTCCCAATTAGACATATGGCAACTTTATTTTTAGTATATGAGTAAACACTAGAGACTGCAAAAGAAACAGTTCCATAGGACTAACTGCGTAAACTCTCTCTCTTTCAGTCGATGTTTCGCAATCTTGACCGACTTGTAGCTCCTGATCGACCATGCCACGAGTTCCTCTGGTGAGAAGTCTCATTTTTGGTGGATATTATCTGAGTGAATGGTTTCTGCCAAGTTAAGTTAACAATATTGGAAACTAATAAATAACTTCAGGATTGGGATCTTAGCATTACACAAGGCATTGGTGGATCAGCCTCGGGATCCCAAGGTAGTAGCTTCCTACTGTCTTGCCATCTACAGTGAAGTATCTTTATCCGAAGCCATTGAGATTGCAAAGAGCAACTCTAAACAGCACAGCTCAAACTTCCAAGAACTGTCGGAGATTGTTGACTCAGACAGCAAATTATCGCAGCAGGTCATGAGCTTAGCAGATTCTATAAAATCAGCTGCGAGAAAGTTGAGTGATCGGGACTACTTAGCTAACGCAATGAGCAAATACCCGCAAGCACCGAGCTCGGACATGGTACACACACCCACTTGAGTAAACATTGGAATTTCACAATCAACTGAAGTGTTTCCATATGCTTCATTTGTTGTTTTTCAGGTGTTCATGTCAAGAGCAATGTTGGAGAGAGTGCAGAAAATGTTTGGAAGTGTGAGAAGAAAGGGAAACGAAGAGAGAGGTGTGCCAAGTTTAGACCGTAGGATAAACTACAAGTCTCTTGCTCTTGGTGACTTTCACGAGACGCGTCGTGTTTTTGCTCGCATTGTTTTTGATACCGTTTATCCTCCGACTTAAAAAAAAAGCCCACCAATTTTTTTATTCCTTTTTTCTTTATTTCACACATTCAATTTTAAAGATGGTATCAATTTAATTATCTTCGGTATTTATAATCTCTATTTCTAAAACCTTTCTAATTCTGTGATAAAAAAAAAGTATGTGAATATGTAACTATTTAACATGTTAAAATGGGCAATTTTTTTTCTTGGCTTCTTTTGACGTAAATGTGCATATCTACTAATGCGTAGTCCATCGTAAGCAAATCTTGAGAGTCACATCACATGAGTCATCATGAGTCGAACCTAAGCCGTTTCGCAAAATTCCAAACCATGTAATGTCACTAATTGTTTCTAGAAAATTTTACATTTTAGTTAACTGATCGGTTTCGTGACTTTCGGTCCCATAGATGCATGTCCTTTTCATGAATCCTTTATTTCATGGTAGTTTCTTAAGAGTCTCAGTTTTGTATAATAAATCTGATTAGTTAAAGTTACACATTTTTTGTCATTATTAATTTTTAGTTTTCAGTTCGTGCTATTACAATAAGATTATTCAGAAAAAGTTAGGTGTGCATAAATATGCGCAGATCTTAATAAATCTCTATGAATAGCAGATTGTGAGATCTTTTAAAGTGATTGCGTTAGGATATTTACAAATAGAAGATCGAAATATAAAAAGTTCCACTAACTTTGTTAATAGACAAATGAAAAAGCTGCAGCTTATGCAAAAATAGCACCTCTTTTTCCAAAATTTGGTCTCCAAAGTTTTTTTGAGTCATTTATTTATATTGCCTATTTAATAGTTTTATTATGAAAAATAATCTTTCATAAAATAATTTATAAAAAGAGTTTACTAATGTACATTCAATATGCTTTTAATCAGCTATTAATTTGCATTTAATCTATTACAGTATTTGTTTATATTAAATCTGTTTTTAATTGTATAACTAATTAGTTTGTGAATAATTTGTATTTAGTCTGCTATAAATCTACATAGGAAAATAACTAGAATGGTAACAGTGATATTTATATAATATTTCTTAGAAATATTATTTTTACAATTTTCCTTCAGTAAGATATATGTTTCACATTATTTTTTCATTGTAGATCATTTTGGATCATTTTTTCAAATTGTTATTTATACTAATGATCTTCAATCTACGGTTGTATTTTGTCTACTAAAATCTCATATCACCTCTCTTGCAAATATAGAAAATTATGAAATATCATAACAGAAAAATATTTTTAACTGAAGAAATGAGACAATCATGATTAATTAATGATAGCAAATGAAGAAGGTGGAAGATGATGTTAACTTAGGATTGGCGCGAAACAAGAAAAAGCTCGAAAGGAGAACAAATTTGATTGGACGAAGAACCAAAGCCTATCCACTTCTCTTTCTCTTCCTATTACCAACGAGAACCTTCATCATCTTCTCTGTCGGCTCCTCTTTTTTTTTATAATTTTTTTTTCCTAGATAATAGAAAATCCTCATTTTGTTTTTAGTTTTTTTTTTTGTGGAATTAACAAGAAAAATTCTTTTTTTTTTTCTCAAAATACACAGCGTCGATCTCGCAAGCCGAAACCTTTTGCGCTCCTATCTGAATCTCCTTCTCGTAAAGCTGCTTCAAGATTTGGGTATTTATAGCTGTTGTATGAATTTCTTGGTTTTCTCAATTTTGGATTAGGATCTTGTAATGTAGTACTTCTGCGAATTTAACTGTGTTTACTCAGCTTACATGGTTATCGATTTTGGGCAACCGCTGGATTTTAATTTTGACTTTTTTTCTATTTCGTTTTGCGGACACATGAATGCAACAGTTACTCTGTTTTGATAAGAGAGATTCCGCAAATGGTTTTGGTGTTTTTGTTTTCTTTCGAATAATTCCGCTAATAGGAGGAGACAATCCTCTGTTTTTGGTTTGATCTTCATTCGAAATTGAAGACATTGGATTAATACTTTCTTTGTTTTACTGAGCATAGTGCTTCTTCTTTTTTCCCTTTTCTGGGATTTATTTCCTAAAATTTTCTAGCTAAGGAATACATACCCAAATTAGCTGCTCTACAGTTAAAAAGTTGACAACTTGGACATAATTGTGTTAACTACCATCCATGTGTTAATGATTCTGTCTCTGTCTTCTCCATGGATATACAATCCCTTTTTGCTATAGTTTCTTTGATTGAGTGTGGTAAAGATTCCAAATGCTTTTATGTCAATTTCGGGTCTTTGCTGATTAGTTAAGATCTCCATCTACATCTTCATAACTTGTCTCCTAAGGCATGTTTTTCTTAATATATGTGGCGTAGATTGCATCACTCCAAGTCCATGGACGTTGAAGAAAGGGGGATTTCATCTGGCTATGCCAAACCTCCATGGATATTCAAAGGAAGGCAAGAAAACCCCTTTTGAAGCTTTTTTTCCAAAGAATGTCTCAGGTCTTCTTCTACTATCTGTTTTGCTGAACTTTCTTTCTTCTTATTGTGATTTCAGTGCGTTGTATCAGATTCATCTTGTGAAGGCTGCGACTGCTCGAGCATTCATCCCAAAAGAGTTTCGACTAGTTGAAGCTTTTGGGTATTAAAAAAATCTTCCACAGTGCTCGTTTTCTGTTTGAGAATCATCTTCTTCAAACTGTCTAAACCATTATCGTTCTTCATTATGGGATTTACACAGATACACTCTTGGTGGGTTTTTCCTCGCTAGCTACGATGATAGCCCCGCTGGTGTCTTTGATGAGGTCTCTTCTTTGCCTTTCCTTACTTTAACTTATCATTCCACACAACATTCTTAATATAACCAGTAGATGTCGTTCTCTTGCTTTTCCCCCAGCTTGTTGTAATCGCAGGGATTGTATGGAACCCTCCTACATCATGCGCGTATGTTTTTTCTTCTCCTTCTTGCACTGATATAGTCATTCTTTAGTAAAGCAGAACTTGACTCAAGTGACCAAGTTGGGGAATATTCTGCTAGTTAAATCCATGCTTATCGTTATCTATGCATATTTCTTCTCATCCTTTAGATGGGCCGCGAGGGTGCTTGTGAACAGCAATGAGGCTTGTCATCACGGACGCAAGGTAGGTGGGTCTACTTTGTTCTCTCTTTGTCTCTCTATCAATGGAATGTTGAGAGATTGGTTTCAGATTTGCGAACTCCTGTTGAAGGATAAGTAATACTAGTACATTATTATATAACATGGTGTATGTTGTGTTGCAGGAAGTAGGACTCCCTAGTCAAGTTGCAAGATTTTCAAAGGTTAGTGTCTCACTTTGGTCTTAAAAGTGATTTTAGCTTTTAATAATTACTGATTAGGCTCTCGATGATAAAGTAAGTACAGTTTCTTTTTAATCACCAAATGAGGAATACAAGATTAGTTTGGAAAAGAAAGTGATGTTTGTCTACATAAAGCGGAGGAGACACAATTATTATTAACTACAATAACATTCATCCTATATTCTTGGAGTATGGGATGAAAAACATGTGTCTTGATGTTGTGCGTTGAGTAAAAGTGATATTTTAGTGTGGTTGGGAACAGAAAATCTCTGCAGTTCCAAAGAGAAAAAGGGAGAGAGCTTTTGGTTTCTTGGACACATTAGGTTTGGGAGCTACTCTGCCTCATCCTGAGGATTTGGTGGAGGTTAAGGTTTGTGAAGTTGATGGTGCTGCTTCTGCAGATCTCTGCAACATCCAAATTAGATCGGACGGTGAGTGCTTCGCTTATTGGCCTAAACTTAAGCCTCTGTGTTATATGATATTTGACCTTGGTCTTAAACTGGCCACTTCAGAATCAGAGGCCAAACTCGGAAAATGGATGGGACCAACAATCAAAATGTCACTCCCGAGTTTTAGGTAAAAAGGTTTGGTTCTTGTGATTGTTATAAGAGAGACTTCTTGGCTCGTAAGCTCATCAAGAATGTTAAATAATTTGGCAGTGGTAATACAAAGTACAACTCAAACCTGCTCAAGTACTCATGCCATCTTCGCTGCAGGTGTTGCTACCGCTTCTTACTTTAAGTCAATCTCTTGAGGGATATTATTACCAAACAATGCTTATTAGAAGGGATCTGTAATTGAAATCTTGCAGGGTGAGACCAGTGAAACCTGCTGTAGTATCAGGGGATTTGGAAGATGAGGTAGAGAATTTTCCAGAAGAGAATCACACGTCACATGATAATGAGAGGAGGTTAAGTGTAGCTGTGATGCTATCGAAACCAATCATAGCTCTTCAATTCAAAGGCTTAACAATGCAAGTAGAAGCTCCTGTTGTAGTTAACACTTCAGTGTAGTGAACACAACACTCAGATTCCACGAACATACAGCTTCATTCCAACAAGGTTCACTTCACATCTTTACAAGAAAAAAAGCAAATCTTTCCGAACTTTTTTTGCTTTGCCGATTAAATAATATCCATTCTTAGGATAAAACATTGTTGCCAAAATCTATTATTTTATACTTACATAAGCTCCAACAGATCATATGGTAAAAAATATCAGAATTCTTCAGGAAGAGGATGACCATCCAAGAACGCCTTGAACAGCACAAGTGATCTCTCAGGCTGTGAGAATGGGACCTCGTGTGAAGCTCCTCGCACCGTTGCAAATGACAAGACATTTCCATAGACCTGAGTCCACCCACCGACCTGAAAACAACAAACCCAATGTGTTAGTTTTGTCTTTTCGTTTCATCTTTCTTTTTTGTACCATTAGAGAATGTTTGCTTGTTTCACCTGTTGTCCTGCAAACCAGACTCGATAAGGCACAGTTGTTCTTAGTCCCAATCGTTTGGCCAATCTACTAACTAAAGTTCTACTTCCTGTCAATGGGATCACGGAATCTTGATCTCCACTGTTCTTGCAAGAAATAAACATCCACATTTAGTTCATCAAGACTAGTAAAAAGCTTTAACATAGAGACATTGTTATATACCTATAGACAAGAACCGGAACTCCAGCTTGAACAAGGCTCCCTACGATATTAATCGTCGGTTTCTCCACGTCAAGCAATTGGTAATCAAGCACACTATTATGATCACGAGAAAAACCAAAATCAAGAATCCGTTGTGTTCAGTAACTTACTAACATCAATTGTAATCATCTGTAAACTGTTAGAGAAGAAGAAAAGTGATGACTAACTTGCTGCAAACTGTCCATTCGCGTACTCCGACGAGCCTGGCATGAAGAGCTTCCTGCACATCTCTTCGGTTTAGGTAGTTCACTGTCTCATCTTCCACACAGACATCCACAGATTCTCCCACTTGCTGTCCATCCCAAGAAAAAGCAACAAAGTTCATAAACACAGTCACAGAATTAATAACAAAGCTTGAAGTATTTATGTTTATTACGTTGCGACTCACGTTGGGGCTCACGACTTTGGACTGAGACAGCACAGAGGGGATGCAGACGTCGAGGGTGACATCATATTTGTCAACAAATCGACTCGTCTCAGTGCTAACTTGACTCATCACTTTAGAGCACATACTAGACATTGACCCTCTATAGTACTCACTCACATAGCGTGAGTAGTTACAGTAAGACGTGAACATTTTGTAAGTAGAATCAGATATCAAGCCATGAGACCAAAAGTACTCAGCTCTCGAATTGAAATCAGTCGCAAACTCAAGAACCGGATTGCCAATCTACAAAAACCGGATTAAACATAAAACATATTACCATGTTAAAGAAAATGAGAGAGCTATTTTTGGAGGAGGAGATAATGTTTCTTGTAACTTACAGCAATTCCTCTGAGATTGAACAAATGGTGCTTCTTGTTGTACTCAATCATAAGCTGAGCTAACTGGGGAACATAATGGCCTACATTTGCATCAAAACATTAGTGAAGAAAACGACAAGTAAAAGCATTAAGTGATTGAAAGAAGAGAGGAACATTAAAGTTTTTTTTTTACCGGCATAGCTTTCACCAGTGATGAAGAGACTTCGATTGAGATAGTGAGGGAACTTGTGGAACCATCCTTGCAAGAACACAAGGTTGTCTTTTGCTGGAAATGTAAAGAAAAAACAAAAAAAAAATGTTTGAGATGTGAAGACAAAGAGAAAGAAACAAGAAGAAGAGAATAATAATCTTCAGATGTGATCTACAAAAAAGGTTGAATTCTTTTGTTCTTTTTGTCAGTCTGAGACAGAACAAGAAACAAAAGCTGAATTTTTTTTTTTTTTACAGAAGTTTAAATATTATTCGACTTTCCTGTAAAAAGGAGAACAAACAGAGGAATTGCATTCACAGGTCACTGCATCATCATCATGACAAAAAAATTGTAATTTTTTTATATCAAAAAACTTACAAACCAAAATTTTTTCAGACCCTTTTGTGTAAAGATGTATCTTTTTATATTTATAGTGGTTACAAAATCGTACTTTAGATTTTATTTTTTTCTTTTTGTTGTTGCTGAATTTAGAAAAAAAGGTAAAAGTCACAAAAAGTATGGGTTTCTTTATGCAATGACTAAAATCAATCAGCACAGTTGCTCTGAAGGATTTTGGTTTACAGTATAATAATCATTTCATTTCAAACAAGAATTGAGAAATAAAGAAGAAGCTTAAATTTAGATTAAGAAAAAAAAAAAAAAAAAGAGGGTTGAGAGAGATTAACCAGTGATCTTGTCATTCACACTCTCATAGGAGGAGCTCTGAGTTGAGTAAGAGAATCCAACACCAACAGGTGTCTCTAGATACAACATATTAGCCTCTGCAACCACCAAGAAAATTAAATTCAAGAACTAATCAAAACGTGAAAAATGTGGAATTAAGAGGCTTTTATTTAATATACCTTGGTTCCAGCTATGATGATTCTTGACCAAAACCGATCCTTTGGGTCTAAATGGTCCGTTCTCAGAGAATGCACCAACACCCAAAGATGAACATCCAGGTCCTGCATTCAAACCCCAATTTTAACATTTATTCTTTCTTTACTTTTGTAAAGAAAGAAAGAAAGACGAAGATTGATTTGAGACGAACCTCCATTGAGCCAGAGGACAAGAGGCTTAGAGGTTGGATCGATTTCTGCCTCGGCGAAGTAGTAAAACAGAGCCCTCTGTTTCTTTTCGTCGACGGTGACGTAACCTGAGTATTGCTGGAACCCGACCCGGGGTTGACCGGGTAAAAGGGTGACCCGATCGGGGTGAGACAGAAGAGTGGAGGAGGTGAGAAGAGAATGGAAGAGGATTAGGGCAAAGAAGATTGTGAGGCATTGGAGAGGAGGAGACATGATATGATATGTCACTTCTTTCTTTGATGTTTGGTTTTGCCGAGAAGAAAGGAAGTGGAGACAAGTGATGACTTTGGTCTTTGCTTTCCCACTTGCTCCTTTGCATCATAATCATATATATATATATATATATATATATACTTATTGAGAGTATTCATGACGAAAAAATTCAATTTAATTAGTGTTTTTATTAAATAAAAAATATTAAATAATATATAACTAATAGTTTAAAAAAAATATATACAAAAAATCATAATAAAATTTTTTTAAAAAAATGAAGAAAAAATTTAACTAATAAAACACATAAAAGAAAATTATATCAAAAATCTAAACTTATATCGTTTGTTTCGTCTTTGAATTTGAATTCCAAAATCCTAGCCACGGAAACATGAACTCTGGTCAAACTCATGACAAAACCGTGCCACCAACACCATTGCATTTACGGCTTATGTCTATTCGATTCAACTACTCCGCTTAGTTTTGGCTTTTTCGAATTGCGGAAGATGAGCAGTGACAGTGTAGTTTCACAAGTGTTTTTTTTTGTGTGGATGTTAGCATAATCTCAGGACCAAGAACATGCATGATCTCTAGAACAAAAATCTGAAAGACTTGTCAAATGCTCTATATAGTCAGATTACAGTGGAACCTAAAGTTCTGAACTTTATACAGTATATTTTATTTGTGACAGCTGGTTGATGGAATTAGCAAGAAATGCAAACCTAATATTTTTGTTAATGTCAATTAATAGTCTGAAATTTTACAGGAAAAAAAAAACTACTCCTGTAGTTAAACTACACTATTTTTATATTATTTGTTTAAGGATCTGGGAAAATACATATGTTAAAAAGAAAAAGGAAAATTAGTTGTGACACTTTAAATTAGATCGATTTAGAGTCAATTAGCAACTAATCAACTGACTAACCAATAATTAGTACAAAATTGTTAACTTAATTTGATGATGTTAGCAAGCAAGGGAGTGGACAAGCGTGGCTGGACCTCACTCTACACAGCCTCAAGTCCCCCCAACCTAAAAGTCTCTTTCTCTTTTTTCCTCTTCTTCCGCTCATCTCTTTTTTTTTGTTTTGGTATCAACTTAGGTTTCGTTTTTAGAATTCTTGTATAAAAACGATGATATACAGTTACTTTATCAAGATAATTGTGAAAACCAGCGTCTTTAGAAATTAGATGTGGATCAAAGTTAACATTTTGTTCTCAACTAGTATTAGAGTTCTTATAGCAAAAAAAAAACTAGTATTAGAGTGACAAACTGACGATGCTAATGTTTCATCTGTGTGATTATGTGCATTTCTATATGTATACTGTACTAAATATAAAAGTATATTTACCATATACAACTATCTGTTGTTACACCATAATTAAATCTAAAATAATATTTGTTATTTTTTATTAAAAGACGAATTGTAAAATTCAATAAATATTGTTTGCATTTATCTGTTTGACGTTTTCATTCATATTTATCTTAATTTTCATTCAGAAATAAGAAATACTGTTTTCTCATATAATGTGTTTGTATTAATATTAAACACTATGTATTTTACACGACATACTAGTTTGTTTATCAAACGTTATTTGAGAGCTGTATCCGTTTGCGTTTTGCAATTATGTTTAATATGTTCGATATATATTTGGAAAAATCACTTAAGTTCTATTTTCTTAGAGATAAACGGAATAACTTAGTATGTATTAGAAAAAAAACAAATTTAAGCATTAAACAATATAAAAAAAAAACACCGGACCCTAAAGAGAATTATCAATCTAGTTAACTTAAAATATTATAAACTTGAATGGTTCACAATACTTTAAATTTTATAAACTTGAGAAGAACATGAGTGTGGCCCAGTTATAATTTAAATTTTAGCTAGGCATGGTAGAGAAAAAATAATAAGGCCAAAGAAATTGAGAATTACAACGACAAGAGTGGTATGGTATGCGTGTAAAGCAACTTTCAACAATGGCACTCGCAGAGACCACTGCATGCAATTATGCCTTTCAGCTATTTTATTACTTTTAAGGGTTACTTTTTTCAGCATTGAAGATTTTTGCATTACTATTTTGTGGCCTTGATATTGTTTTGCTTCGTAGTATAAATTTGAGTTGATATTGTTCGCTTTTGCTATAGTTTCATAGTATATATCTTACAGATAAAATAAAAACCAAAAATTTTAAATTGCTGTTTATGATTTAACAGTGGTCTTCAAATCTCGTAAATTTTATTTGATACCAAAATACTTGTATCAAGCGGATCTACACTCATTGCTAATCCGAATGCGTGTTCAGTACTCAAATTGGAATGGTTCGTAAGATCGAGAGATTGGAACTTTTTTTAACATAAAGTTATTATTCTTTAGTCACTGTATAATCCTAGATTAAAATATCATGCTAATTATTATTATGAATAAAAGGTATATTATAATATAAGCAAAGACTAAGCGATATAATCAAAGTGGATAAACAGAAACGAACAAAAAGGGCATTGCTTACAGCCATTTTGATGCTCCACGCCAAGCTTTCTCCATCTTTCCCAAGGCCAAATCATTTCTCTTTTCTTAATTTTCATTTTATTAAACGAGTTCTCTCTTCATTCCACCACGCACCCATTTGTTCATTTCTTTCGACCTTTCTTTAATCGAAAGAGACTTGTTTGAAAATATTAGTACCTTAAAACTTAAAAGTGGTAAGTTTTATTAATTCTATTTTTGTGTTTTGGGGAATGTGTATAGAATGATGCATAATATGCTTTTAGGAGCTTTGAGTGTAAGCCAAGTCTTTTTAACCTTTTTTCTTATTCTTCGTCGAAGCTTTTTGATGTGTTTTTTTACCCAATTATAATTCGAGAAAAAGCTAAATAACTTTCTGATAAAAAAATAAGGAAAGCATAAAGAAAAAAAAATACAGTATCCTTTGACGACATATATAGATATAATATAGTATTATTCTTTTTGTAGGCATTCAAAAAGAAATTCCAAAAATAATAGACGATTGTAACTCATCGAACCACATGTATAATTGATAAAGGAGAAGATATTACCAAAGGCTTTTTTCCAAATTACTAACGACTTTCCATGAAAAAAACAAATATCAAACATATTCTTAACTTTTTAAGAAAGATAGTATGATTTAACAGTGATCATGCCATTCTTATCTTTGAGTTGAATTCCATGTCAAATATCTTTTTGAACAATGTTTAACGCTTTATAGGATGATTGTCAAAAGAGATATAATTGATCATTGACATACATAAGAGTTATATGAACGTAGCCATCACGGAGGGAGAGAGAGAGAGAGAGATAACATTGATGATATTGATGATGATGATGGGGCCAAGGTAACAATGTTCCCCACTTGAGAATGTCGCCGGTAATTACTCCTACCATTCCTCTTATCTAACCACTATATCATTTTCAATTGTTATTTTTGTTTTCTGTAATCAGTCATAAGAGTCTTGATAATTATAGAACCCTAACGATAAATCCCTAAGCACGTCCATTCTTCGTTTACGAAATCTTTGGTTTGTAATTGTTACTGCCTTAACATCTTTACAAACTATTAATTTGATGTAATCTTTCATATGAATTCGATTAAAGCTTTTTTGTTCCAATCTATAATCTAGGAAACCATACGTGCTTCGTGCATGTATTACTCTCGTCGCGTAAACTCGTAAAGACTTCATATATTCGATTCATCTCTTAAGTCATCCATTCAAAGTTCAAACACAATATTGGTAAAACAATATTAAACCAAAAACATAAATGTTTCTGAAGAAGGAAAAAAAAAAGCAGAATTTGATCGCAGTGATCGAATATCAAAATTTGTTGGGAACTGAAAATACAAATAAAAAATAAAAATGAAAAGGGAAGGAGACAGACTCCATTTGGTCTGAAACTGAAAAACAACTTTTGCCTTTATGGGTTGGCTAAAGGAGTGGGAATGGCCCATCCCCACCCTCTCACGTCTTGTCTCTTATATCCTTCTTTTCTCATTATCCTCTTTTTCTGTTTTTGTTTTCATGATAATTACAAACGGAAACACTAACCAAAATCCATTCCTTTCTTTGTGTCTTCTTCTTCTCTTGCTTTGTTGTCTTAGTAATGTCTTTTGGCTTGGATTCACTTTACTTCACTTAAAAGTTCATTCAAAGTTTTGACTCTCAATCGTAATTTGTATGTTTAACATAAAAGGTAATTATATGCTCCAAACAAAACAACAGCATGAGATGTGTTATTAACCACTTTTATATGATTAATAAAAAAAGCACTCCATACAGTTTGAACTTTTTTTTGTATGCACCAGATGGGTTTACACTAGGAATGAATATTCACATATTTTTTGTGTGTGATATTTTCACTTTGGTTCAACACATTTTTGATATGATTAGTTAGATTTTATTACCACCAAAAAAATGCAGTTATATTCTGCTCAACAAAATCAAAATATAGTGGATTTTGTTATATTATTTCCTTAATAAACTTAGTTTATACGAATTTTCTGAAACTGATATCACAGTGACATATCACGAATTTTTTCTAACCCTTGTTCTTGTTACCAACAGACCACATCCAAGAACAATGATCCCATACACGATTTATAACCATCACATACCTTTAAGACCATTTCCAATGTGTTCCTCTATTTTTTTCTCTAAAATAGAGGAACTCTAAAATAGAGGTGCACTTCTCTCCAATGTGTTTCTCTATTTTTTTCTCTAAAAGTAAATATTTTAAAAATATTTTCTTTATAATTTATTATTAACATCTTCTTTTCATAAAATTCACAAATTAACCTCATTTATATTATTGTTTACAAAAATTTCCATAAATAATAAAAATATATTAAAATTAAACATTTATTTCATAAAACAAAATTCAAAATGACTATAGAATTTGTAATTTTCCATAATTTTCAAAACATTTATTAAATCACTATAGTATTTATCATTTTCTATAATTTTCTGTATTTTAAAAAAATTATTGTAATTTATCATTTTATTTATAATTTAGTTTAAAATAAATGAGAATTTTCCAATTTAGTTATATTATATGTTCACAAAATTTTCTCAAACCATAACAAAAATTATTAAATTTATTTATTTATTGGGTTTTTGTATTTAATAACATACAAAACTGTATAATGTAACTTTATTGAGGTATTATTGTACATGTGTATACTATATTGCTATCCATATTCATTTTTTTTTATCGTGGATGAACCACTTTCATTTATAAATTATATAGTTAATTAAAGTAAATAATATTTTCTGTTTTTCTATAATAGTTATTGTCTGAAATGATGTTGATTTTATTAAACTTTATTAAAGTTAGATAACATTTTATAATTTAATTAAATTTATATGTTAGATATATGGCTATTTATTGGATATATACAAACTAGATTATGTAAATATTTAATTTAACTTTTTATTTGTTATATAAATAAAAATAAAAAGATGTAAAAGTTAAGGGACCAGTTTACAAAATAAAATAGTACATCTCTATTATAGAGGAACAAATAGAGTTCCTCCAAATATAGAGGGAAATGTAGCAACCTCTATTTTAGAAATAAAAATAGAGTTGGATTGGAGAGAATTTTCTTCTAAACTCTATTTTTTCCTCTAAAATAGAGATAGATTGGAGATGCTCTAAGGCTTAAATTATAGAAATGACTGGTTTCATTTTTTAAAATATATTTTACCTTTACATATTGGTTTATGTGCATATATACAAATACACATATGTATATATACTACTGGAAAGTTAGATAGAGGAAGAGAAAGGTAGAGGGTTAGGTCAAAACGAAAGGCTGTGTGAATTTTAAATTGAAAAACTTTAACGGTAACAAGTGTTTTGTATAAGGTTTATTTGGCACTGCAAGCAAAAACTAAATTATTTGTTGTAGTGGGAATTGTTAAACCAAAGAGAGAACATGCCTATATTACCTATCACTCCCTCTTTTCTTCTCCACACCTAAATTTCTCACCTTTTGTCTTCAATTTTTCCTTCTGTTCTTTCGGTCTACGTAGTTATTGACTTTTGTTCACTTAGAGGAAATTTCTGTTAACATACTTAACATAAAGAAAAGATCAATTCTATTAAAAAATTCTTCGTTACTATAATCTTCTATGACATGCCATTTTCCAAATTAAACCAACAACGTACCTCTAAATCATCAGTTGAAATTTTATTTCATGTAATAATACTGTCAAAGTTAACCGCATAGAACATGGCATAACAACAGCTCGTAATTCAAAAAAAAAAAAAAAAAAAAATCTTGCTTCTCTAAATATTTTCACAAGTTTTTGCGTTTTGTACATTGAATTCAACTTTTACAATTTGATTTTGAGCAAGAACTGAATCACGAATGAAAAACAAATAGGTTCCGATAAAATTTAGCTTACACATTGGTTAAATCTTTCGGTACTGCATAAACAGACGTTTTTAATCGGCAGTCTCAACCATTTTAAGTGAATAGTTCAACTACAACTGGATCTACGGTGCTACGTTTGATTTTGATTTCACTTAGGACATATGTATGAAGTGTCTTTGTCTCGGGACTAGCTTCCAAAGAAGAAACTGCCAAACAACAAAGGTCGAATAAATTATACACTATGCATACTGACTGAATCTCAACAGTATAATCTTTGGAGGGTTGCGGACAAAGGAAGTACTCCCTCGCTGGAAACAGCCAAGGCAACAAAAAGAGGGGCATAATGACTAGTGCTAAGGGAGTGACACTAAAACACTTTTCTTTTTGGACTCTTATTGCATTATTCGCTAGGTTCAAAGTATTAGAGACATTAATCATGCCATTTAAAAAAAAAAACTTTGGTTCAATTTGGTACAGTACAAATAAGATTATTATGAATTTTATAGTAAAATAGAAAAGAGTCCATTCTTTAATGATGCAAGAGGGTTTTTAATCACAATCAAGAAGCAACGAGATGATGTAATTGTTGATTGTTCCATGGTTTTCATCTACATGAATCCATATTACCACAGTTTTGTACACATCTCCTAATGGGTTTTATGATACGTCAAATGATCAATTTTCCACATTGCCCGATGATACCTGTAATAACACAATCATTTAACTTAAATAAACCAGGTGGGATCTAAAGGAAGAGAGGGTTTTATATATGGCGATTAAGTGTTTATACCTTGCAAGATGACTTGGGGTAAAGGATATCGTAATGGCCTGGACGATACAACAAGGTTATAAAAGGAGCAGAAGCTTCTTCTTTCTCTTTAGTGTCCACAGGAACAAAGTCATGATGGTTCACAGTGACACCTCCATTATCACATGAGCTACGGTCAAGATACACGACCCGGATTGCAACACCGAGCGCATCTGACAAAGCGGTTATGTGAATATGGTCACTCTCTTCCCCCATTGGTTCAACCGATGACTTGCAAAACTATAACAAACAAAAAAAATTGTTAGAATTTTGCATTCACCTATCCTCTATCTAATACGCTATTTGGAGGGATTCAAATCTTTCTAAAGAATCTTTGGTTTGAGCAAAAGCTGTAAGGCACAAAATATCTCAGAACGCTGAAAAGTCCCATACAAAGCAAGTAAGTTTGGCAGCATCCAATATATGTAGTTTTCTATATTGCAAATCCATAGTTCTTTTTTTTTATATTTCTGCCAAATGCTACAATGTAAAACTCGAAAGGTTCCAACAGAATAACTTTTCAGAGGCCACATATTGTAGCTAAAAGAATTTGAAATTGGCAGGATTATCATAGCACTTTTGTATATCCATCACCAAACGGCTTGAATCCAAAAGCATGTGTACGTACAAACCTGATCAACTGTTGAGTTCGACAATCCTGTTACAAAGGGTTCGAAAAATTCGGCACGGGTTCGAATTTCACCAGCAGTAACAAACCTGAAGAACATTACAACTGAGACACCAGAATTTGTCAAAACCGTGTTTCGTTGGATATTATGCGTCATCAGAATAAATTTAGAGTGGCTTACTGTAGTCAGAGACAGACTGATCTCTACTTCTGTTAACCAGCTCTTCATAGCTATAAGATAAAAGATATTCGCACAAGGGATGGTATAATATGAGAAGAGACTTATGCCAATTCAAGGAATTCAGAACTTATCCAAACTCAAATGCCAATGAAGTCTAGATAGACAGTCATCTACCTTATAGACTCCTCACCTCCTTGGAGAATGTCGTCTAGTTGCTCGAGGAACAACTGTATCATTAAGAAAACTGAAATTGAGCATTCTAATTGACCTTACCAGATTTAAGTGACAGGACACAAAAGAAAACAAGGTGGTGGATTTACCGCAAAGAAGTCCTCAAATGTAAAATCTGTATAACCTAAGTTCTGCAGAGTCTTTCTACATTTCTCAACATTGACCTTGATACGATCAACTTCAGCACGATCTTGCGATTCCAAAATATGCTCCTACAAATAATGCAGAACAGAAAACAGCTTTAGCTAGAGATAGAATCAAAGTCTAGCCAAAAGAGTACGGTTCAGAACCGCAACTGTAGAAACAACAGTTAGACACAACTGAAGAAAGAGAACGTACAAGGTAAGAGAACATAAAACTTCGGAAGAAGCAATTTCCATCGCCTCTTGTTCTCCTGATTGCAATATATTGATTGTCCAGTATCTACAAGTGTTGCAAATAGGATAAAATAAAAATACTGAAAGGAAAGCAACAACCACATAAAAGAAAGAAAAAAAAAAGCAGAAAGATACGAAAAAAGGGTAACCTTTATCTTCTCCAGCAAAATGGGACTCCCTGCTTGATATTCTGCAGATAAACTAGACAGAGGTTCCTACACAGAACCGAAAGAAAAACACAGTCTTTCATAGTTATAAACAAGAAAAGGTTTGCTCATTGGGTAAGATATTCCACAGAAATTAATACACTTAGAAGTTAAATGAAGTCACATAGCCATCCCAAACAACTCATAGGGAGTGCTTTTCACTTCTAATCAGATGCAAGACGTTAGTTCTGTCGACAGATTACAGAGTAGAAACAGAAGATCATTCATGTAAGATTGATTTGATCTGACCTTATCACCAACATAAGGAACTTTTGCAGCTTCTTCCTCTTGAAAAGATGGTTCCATGACATCCTCCACTGAAGAACAATTTCCCCATTCTTCACCTTTCATCGCCGAAATCGATGCAGCGACTTCCGCTTCATCCTTCACAGTGTCATTCTGATTCTGCATCGTCACTACACCACACACAGTACACACTCTAGCTTAGCCTGATCTTAACGAATTCAAATCCAGAATTTGACAGTACGATTTGAATTCAGACGACTAAAAACTTCACACTGTAATCAACTGATCCTCAGTAAAACAAAACTCATTCTAAGTTATATCATCATAGCATATTGTTCATCAATAATCCACAAATCTGACAAGATAAACAACGAATCCCCACTCATACACATACTCCAAATCGAGAAAAGAGAAACGGATAAGAAAAATCAATGGCGGGTGATAAAGAGAGAAGGAAACCGATTTACCTGGAAACGAAGATCGATTCGAGGAACCAAAATTTGATCTTCCGACCTAAATTCAAGGGATTGGGAACACTCTGCGATGGTTACAGAAAGAGTGGAGGAAGAAGAAAAGAAAAAGGCTTTGTTTAGCAAAATTTCTGAAATTGGGGAAACCAAAATTTCATCAATTTGATTGGAAGGGCAGAAAAGGTAAGAGACGTTTCGCTTTTTCCCGAAGTACTGATTTGGATATTTTTATTATTTATACATTAAAAAATAAAATAAAAAGGCCGAATCGTTTCTGGACCATAAAAACGACGTGCATGTGGCTTCGCTAATAATGGAACGACAAAAGGTAGAACTCAAAATGGGCCAGATTTTTTGGGCCCTTTAGTGGACTCGGCTTTAATAAATAAACGACCAAACCGGAATCTGGATTTGCTTACTCGGCCGGATTCTACACTGATCTTATAGCTAAGCACCATGTAGCTTAGCAAAAAAAAAAAAATTTAATTTACTTCTATTCATCTTTGAAGATTAACATGATTCGAAGATTCAATATTAATATTTTTCTTTTCTTTTGTTTAATTTGCCACGAAGTTCGGAAAGGAGATTAACTAGTTTTGGTGGCTTTCGTCTCCAATGCTAAAAGTTATGGTAGTGATGATTGGTCATTGTTTTTATTTTTTTTTTACTATTAAAGAAAAATCAGCCCATTGTGTCACTAGTTTCTTTACCTTTACCGTGTGCTAGAGTTGTTTAACGCTCGCGAGAAAGTCTAGATTGCAGAAAGTCCTCTTGCCTAACTTTTGCATGACGACAAAAGTTAAGCTCTGCAAAATAGAGTAATCTATGTTATATAGTTTTTTTTTTTGTCTAATGATGTAATGTTAATTCATTTTGTAGTGTTTGAGATGTTAAAAGGCCAACCGAAACAACATGTTCTATTAAATCTCGTCAACCAAATTATATTTTCTTTCACATGCACCCTAATTCTAGATTACTAGTATTATATAGTTTATCTTGTCTCGTTAGAAGACAAAAAGTAATAATACGATTTTAAATATAAGGAGAAAGACGTCTTAGTTTTACCTTTTTTCTTATCTTTTCCACGATGGGGCGCATGGGCAAAGAACTACAAATAACCTTAAATTTATGCCACAATTTTTTTGACATTGCCCCAACAAATTATTGGTCACTACGCCGAAGAAAAATTATTGGTTTATTAGGCATTATGCAACATTTTTTAAAGTCTGCTTGTCGGAACTTCGTTTGATTTGTTTAGTGTTTTGTGTTTGAACCACTTGGATCAAGTGTCATCAAAGAAGAAAAAAAAAACATATTTAGTGTTCGATTTATCCGGAGGTATAACACCTTTTTAATGACTTGGGTATTCAAGCGAGAGTTGGACTGCTGTTAGTAATACAGATTAATTAGGACATAACAATCACGAACTGTTTCCGACTATATAGTGTGCATCAAATGAAACTTGATGTGGCTTAGAAGTTTGCCCAACAAAGAAACGTGTTTCTGAAAATCGTTCAACCTCTAACCTATTACTGCGTCGCATGCAATAACGACCTTCTCCATAGATCGGTCTTAGCATTTTGTAGAGTTCAAACATCTCTACGATCAAACATATAATTTCAAATAATAAAATAGATATTGGCGCTACGAAACTCACTAAAACTAAGTTAACGTAGTTCTGCGAGACTTAGCAAAGCTACATGGTGCCTAGCTATACGATTCACCCAAACTAGATTACAATGTATTACGCGATCGTTCAAATCTAAGTGACAATTTTAGACCAAGCATATATATGTACCATTTTGTAATTTATTAGCTAGCTCTACGTACTTGTTTATGTAATAAAGCTGCCACTAGGCCCACAAATTGATACGCTTTTAAAACTTGTAACTATCATATGTTAGTAGCTAGTAAGAAGATATAGCACTATATTATAATCACCTTAACATTGAAAAAGAACGTAATTGTATTAATTTTACATGTGGAAATCAACTTGAAACACCACGTAGTGATAACCACAACCTCGAGATTGATATAGACAGTAATTGAAACGTGGATTTAGATATTTAGGGCATAATTAATTTAATACACGAACAACCTTTGCATTGGTGTTTATGTTCATAATAATTTGTAAACTTCAAAAGAAAATGCAAAGTGTATATATCGAGTTATCGGTCTGTGGTTTGTGTTTGGCATTGGCTGCGTAGGCCACTTAAATATTACGCATGGTTCGTCTTTTCAACATACGGTTAAGCTAATAAATAACATCACTATGATTAAAATGAGTTGAATAATATAAGACTTTACTATACCCTATACTTTTTCAATCACCCTTTTTCGCTCCTATTTCTTCTCCTCATTTCAGGACTACATGTGCCCTCCTCGAGACACTTGCTTTTGCATTTACTTTATGTTAATCTGAGCAATAAAAGACCTCTAAAGACCAAATCTAAGCAAATCCCTGAACAAATGTCCTAATCAACAATTTAATTTATAGTATACTACTATACTAGTTTCTTTTCACTCTCAATGCGTTTACCAAAAACCAAACAACTCTTTACACAAAACTAAGCCTATTCACTTTGGGATCGGTGATGTGCTTATTGCTACTATATATTATAACTATTCCTTACTCTCTACTATAATTTTAACTTAATACTTTAAATGATCATAGTCTCTTCAATCGCAAGCAATGTACCACTTTGTTTATGTTGTACACCATTAATTTATTGCTACGCAATTGAAGTTTCACTTTAGATTTTGTTCAACAACCCATTAATGGTTGAGCTCATATAGATACACGACATATATTAGAATCATGATCAGGTGGAATTCTCAAAATCTAAGGCATTTCTTTCCATAAGTACACATTTAGAATAATTAAACCTAAATAAGTACTAACAAACTACACAAAATTATTCCGTTCAAGATGCCAAATTTATGTAATGTTTCATTGAGTATACAACAAACTTGTGTTTAATCAATTATAAAGACAAATGATTTAAGATATTCGGGTACGTAATCTATTTAACCAGTCATTAGCCTTGCCAAATGTAGTTGAACACTATAAAGTCTAGAACCTTGAAGATTATATACGTCTTGTTCATGTTGATTGAAGTCGTATTTTGTTTCATCACGAATATATATATATATATATATATATATATATATATATATTAGTTTTTTATTTATTAGAGCACTAGAATACAAATTATTTAAACATACAATTAATTACTAAAACTGAAGAATAGTAGTTAAATTAGTGTCCATATTTTCCATTAACTTGTTTGATTATCAGTGTCAGATTTATAAATTTTCACACATATAAAAGAGATTGAAATTTATACTATACCTATCTTATATTCTCCAGTTTCATAATAAATGTCGATTTACAATTTTAATTTAAGGTCTGTATCTTCAAAATAAAATTGTCAGCAAATATATAATTTTATCACTATGATTTCAGTTTATTAACTAATATAAAATGAAAGTAAAACTTAACATATATATATATATATGTGTGTGTGAAAGAAACGGAAAAAACAATCTTCGAGTAGCCTAAATAAAATATTCTCTTCATCTTTGTATTTGATATTTGATTTGATGGTAATGAATAATGATCTCAAATTCTTTTCACACAAAAGGTTTATAAAATTTCGTGCGACCACTAGCAGCCAAAAATAATTATATAATTATATAGCAACATTTAGTTATTAGTAGTACTTTATGATTTCCCCCCCATTTTTTTCTTTATTACACGTCTATTTGTTGATTAGTATTGAAGGAAAGTGGGAGGGTACTTTTTGGAAGACAAGAATGCAGCATAGTATATTACAAGGAAAATTTGTGAATTTCTAGATAAATATTTGTTTCTCGAGGGGAAACAAGATATAAATTAACTATGTAGAAAATATACTTTTCTTTTTAAATTTCAAATATAGAGTTATTTTAATCCATAAATTCTGTCCAGTTGATATTTCTTCGTTTTAACAAATAGCTACGTCATCCATTATAAGTTTATAACCAGAAACGTACGAGCGTTTACTATCGTTAAAAGCTAATCCATATGATTTGTGTTTACATGTCCCAGAAAGAAAACATGTAAGCTTCCGAAAGATGTTGGTCATATACTCATATATTATATATATACTTCAGCTCTGGTTTGTCAATCTCTTCTTCAACCAAACAGCGTAATCGGACAAAATGAAATTAATATTCCACTTTGATTCTAGGTTTGTCAATGGAGACTGAATGTACGTAGTCCTTTCTGCAAGTGATAAACTTATTAAATTTTCAAATATGTTATGTAAAAGCACAAGTGTACCAGCTATATAATATATTCAAGCTCAAGCACAGTTAAATTTTGTTTAAACCCAAATAGCTAGACCGAAGACTTTCTTACTTTTTAACTCGGTAACTCGAAATCAATATACTCACAAAACTATTAAAGTTAAAGTCCGATCATATTCTTATCAAACTTAATATTTAAAACTGATTTCGTTAAACTTGAGATTTAAACTTCTACAAACTTTTAAAATTTCATTTTCTCTTTCTGTTTTTTTCTTATTATTTTCTCTTAGGGTTTTGTCGTGTATCTGGAGTAATTAATTCACGTCGTCATGCACGATTTTGATATCAATTTAAATACGTTATCCCTCCATGAGAAGTAATTGTGTTGTGCGTATTGGTTTGAAGTAGTCCACCCAAAGAGCAATAATTGCAATGTTCGTAGCTTTGACCCATTTTTTTTGTCCTATTACACTATTGATTGTTAAAAAAATTGCCATGTTTTTTTTTAACAGCCTTTTTTCTGGCCATGTTTATACACTATTATTCTATCATTGTCAGTATATAAACTATACTTGAACAAGTTTTCGAAATTTTTTTAACCTAAATATTTTTCTCTTGTGTTTTTTTAGATTTTTTTCAGTGTCTTACTTTATTTTATTTTCTAATGTAAATACTTATTATTATTCTTTTTGTTAATTACTTTAAACTTGTTAATAAATTCAAACTCTGGTTATTACAATGTAATCAATCAATTCACATTTGATAGATCTGACCTGCAGTGCACAAGATTTTTGGAGAACATTTAATCTGCAATCTAGCTAGTGGCATGTATGTGCATGAAAATTTTCAAATATTGATCATAAAGCAGCAAATTCAACATTTCAAACCTATTGGGTTTTTTTGGTCAAACATAGTTT